AACATTTAGTTTTGGGAGGACGTGTCTCATCTTTCACTGGCCTCCAAAGCAGAATTAAAGGCGGCGCACACAGGCCTGTGTGGAGGCTCATCCCCAGAGCACAGCAAATAACCCGGGTGGAAAACAACACAGCTGTGTGCATTTTAAGACACCTGGGTGAGGAACCGCAGGAGGCGAAAGAGGGGAAGGGAGGGAAGGAACGAGGTGTGGGCAAAACAAGTGGAAAGAGGAGAGCACACAGACAGGTGGGGCAAAACATGGATCTGAACAATGAGGGGGGAGAATATGGTGCATGAAGGGGGTGAAAAAACAGGGAGAATGAGAGGAGAAGGGAGGTAGGAGGGAAGGCTGGAAGGATGGGAGACAGAGAGGAAAACAGATGTCAGGAGAACCAGATGGAGGAATACATTTGTGAAAATTGTACCATGTAGAGGAGGAGATGGAGGAGTGTTGACTCGTCTATTTAACTATTCCCCTCCTCTAATTTTCACCCAGTCAAAATGAATTAAAAGTAGTACTCTGAACAGTTGTTACGCCCCAGCATACACGCACGCTTTTCAGCTTTGGGGAGAATAAGGGAGGATCAAAGTCCTTTTTAAATTCCAGCCCTGCAGTCCCTCCACAGGATGAATGGAAATATGCCTATCAAACCCAGCCCAACATGTACTTCAGCCTTTGGGAAATCTGTTTGGGATCCAGTGTTGTCACCTGAGCTACTTTCAGAAGATCAATTGGTGGACAGCAAGCGCACGCCGTCTGTGAGCATACCTGTGAGCACCTTACTAGCAGTCTGCAGAGTTTAGCGGGGGCCGCGTCCCATTTGTGGACCGGACACACAAAGGTCTGTTTTTAGTCAAGCTAGAAGTGAAAAATCTACTCAACTGGCTGATGAAAGGGAAAATACAGAGGGGGACTGGAGCTGACTCCTGAACGCCGTCCAGAGTTTGTGTGTGAAAACGACTACAGAGAGAAACGGCGTGCGATAGAAACTTATTGTCAGAGCCAGAATATTACAGAACAATGTGAGAGCTCCTTTCTGACAATGTGCACTGCAGTTACCACAGAGAAGATGTCTCTCACATGAAAAAAACTAAACTATGAATACATAGGAAAAAACACAAAGCGGCAACTTCATGCTGAAAAACCAAAAATGAGGCGGGTGCGCCACAAGAAGAGCACAGATGGAAATTAAAGACAAAGGTAAAGACCAAAACGAGTTTTGAGCTTGTTATTTTCACATGGAAACACATAAGTGATGTAAAATTATCTAATTTCATTAACGAATGGCTCCATTCTGCTCACCAGTGGGTTACAGAACAGCATTGAGAATCATGCAAAGCACATGCGTAAGACACACCCTCCCTGGTTTTAGTAATTAGGTCCATCATAGTTAATCAAACATGACTTGTTTCTCTCACAAACAGAACCAAAATCTTCCCCCCAGAATTTCTCCATGTTTCCATATTCCTACTTGGATCAAAAAGGTAGCGACATGATTCGATGGTGGATGCTGTTGTTTGTTCAGCCTCCAGCTAACAGGCATTTACATCCAGCTGAATCTGGAACAAAGCTCTAATGTCGACCGCCTGTCAATATTTTTTTGTTTATGTGCTCTGAAATAATAAAGACCCAGAGGAAACTGGTTTAACTCAATCAAAAGTTGTCTCTCTATAAATAAGACAAAGGTTTGACACGCTCTGCCTTTTTTTATTTGCAGTGTTTGTGTGTGTTGTCTTTGCGCTCCAAAGAGAGAGTGAGAGATTGGTGTCAAACATGAAGAAGGAGAGGATGTTGCCCCTCCACCACCCTGAAAGAAAACTTCTTCAAAGAAAATTCAGAATTGCAGGAAAAAGCACACATCTGAGGACGTCTTTGGTCTGTGTGTGGGTTTGATGTGTTATCTGTGCTGTGTTGCCTCTTTGTGCGTCTTTTTCTGGAACTTTGTCATCTTCACAGTAACTGTGGCTGCGCTTCCTTCTCAGATTACCGTTTGCGGCCCAAAGTCTTCCCAGACTGCAAGTAAATCTGGGACTTTAGTACAAACCGCTGTGACAAAATGTTAATTTGATTACTCTGAGGGAGAGGGATGAAAGCGCGGACATGTCAAACCCTCCGACTGGTCATCTTCTCCATTACAGTTACAGTACAATTCACCTCTGACTCGGGCTGAAGATGGACAGTGCTAAAACTAAAGAGGTTTGCTTTAGTTTGCCACTCTGCTTGCCTTAGATGTCTGCACTCAGCCCGGCTCCGTCTGAAAGTCTGCTTCATGTTGTTTTTGTGCAACTTCCACTCATAAAGAATTACTCCATCTTGTTTTATTTCTTCCATCTATTATCCCATCATCCACAGCTCTCAATAGTCTGAGAACTTCACTGTTGTTTCTTTGTTTGTTTGTTTGTTGACCCCCAAGCGATCTGATCCTGCTGCGATGAGGATGTGTGTATGTGTGTGTCTGCGTGTACTCCCTTAGCATTTATCACTCATTACTTACTTGCAGCCTTCAAGGCCTGTAATTAACTTCAGCTTTGATGCCCCCACCACCTGCTCAGTCCCTGCACACACATGCATTCACACATACTGTGCATCTCTCTCTTCTCACAAAGAGTCCCACTAATAACTGCGTGCTCACACACAAACATTCTGTGACATGCTGTGAGACTAATTGTGTTTTAGTGAAAGCAGGAAACACACGCTTTGGACCAGTCCCTGCCTGCACTGTGCATGCGTGTGCGTGTGTGTAGCTCCACTGTTCAACAACTGTTCTTTTTTTTTTTTTTTTTTTACATCAAGACAACTTACACACACATATAATGCCTAAATCAATGGAGGATTCTTGCTCCTGGGTTGATGAATGTCTGCTGCAGGGTGAGCAGATGTTCCCATAACATTTAGTCAATATCCTAAAAGTATGATCATGGTTTTGACCTCTAGCCTGTGTGTTAATCTAAACCCAGCGACCTCACACACACAGGCAGAGATATCAATGTGCTTCTGGCACATGAAAAAAAAAAATCGGCATCAGTGGATTCATAAGCTTTGCAATTTTTACCATTGATTCTTCTTGTACAATTTCATTTTTTATGTGAAAGAGCGCATTTTTTAGGCTTTGATTACATGCCAAGCTATTATATTACAACTTAAAGTGAAGTGCAACAATGTTTTTCTCTTCTGTATAGACATAGAGAGAATTATTTTCAAATACTATTAAAATACTATTAAAAAGATAAATGGTACAAAGAAATATTAATGTTACAAAGACCTCCATATCTGTATGGTTAAGGCAAATAACATTGAGGCTCATATAACTGTCACTTTTATCTCAGCAATTCGTTCTTTTGAGGTAAAACTCTACACATCCTTACTTTATATATTCATTAAAAAATACAATATTTTTTATCTTCTTGTTTCTCTATTGATTCTGACGTGAGGAAGTCTTTGTCTGTCTATCCTTCAAAATGCTGAAAATCCAAAATCTAAAAACGAATAGGACAAGGATCTAACTGTATATATGTTTAATAACATTTCCGTACATCATAAACTCATGCAGTATTTAAACTTCTGTGATTATAATCTGTTTAAAAAACAGCACATGGTCTGCTGCTGTCTCCTTACCAGCCTCATTAAATTCGCATATGTCTGTTTAAGGGGCTTCATCTGCCAAAAAGAAAGCAACAGTTCTGTCAGCAAGCATCCAGATGGAAAAATACCAACAGATGAAACAGAAAATCATCACATTAAAGCACATACACCAAAAAGCACCTTCCTTCTCACGAAGATTTGCAAAACAGTCCCCTCTGAGACACCATCGAGTAAATCACTGACAGGAATAATTAGGAAGATGAATTAAAATAATATAGGTGAAACTCCAAAAAAGTTTAAGAATTTAATGTGAAATACCACTAAGCATTTTATGTGCTGCCAGTTTCTGACCAAACTCAGCTAATTAAAAAAAAATCATATCATAATTAGTCGTATTTATTAATGACGTACCATTGAGCTCAGTGGCCTCAATCATTATATAATACAGTAAATCTATCAGGCCAGGAGGGACCTGGCTTTCATGCCTTCACAAGTATCAGTTATCAGTTAATCAATTATGACTACGTATCATACATAAATTACTAAAACTGCTGTACAAAGTACACAAGAACTATTTTATTTATTTACACACACAGCGTTTTTTCTGTTGTATTCCAATAAAGAGCCATGCTGCCATCTTCTGGCTTGTTGGGGGACCAATTCCAACGTAGATATTTAGGAGGAAGCACGCACACTCACATTTTAAATGTGGATATATCCATATGTACGTAGACACACAAAAACATGTCACACATACTGCGCGGTGTTCTGGGAGCGCCGCTTCTTACCGGGTGAAACAGTGGTGGCAGACCTCCCTGGCGTGTTTGTTGGACACACAACTCGCCAGCGGTTCGCCGGAGGTCACCAGCTCTCCTTTCCTGATCCTGGTTGTAGTCCGCAGACCGTTACCTTTCCCGGGGCTGACAAAACGTTCCAGAGTCGGTGCCATCCTCTGCTTTTCCCTCCACGTGAACGGAGCTGTTTACATCCGTAGTCAGAGCGACGTCATCACGTTCCCCCTACGTGTACGCCTTCGTACGTAAGAGTCGCGTATTATGTGCGCAAAATAATGAGGAAATATTCCTTGATATATAGTTTCAACAAAAGAAAATCTATTTTTTCTGTGAAGACAAATTGATTTTTTTTCTTGCAAATTTAAAATCAAACAAATGTCCAAAACAGAGCTACGCTATTTCTTTTTTTATAAGTTTTTCTCTATAAATGATCAGTGATAAAAAGAAAATTCAACCATGTTCGATTACTGATACTTAAATTGCAAAAAGGCTCAGAAAAAAAATCCAATATGACTATGGTGAAGGGAGCCTGTGGAATCACGGGTAATATTCCAAAAATAACATGAAACATCTTACCTAACATATCACACACAAAAATGAAAGGAATTGGGACTGGGCCCAAATGTGGCTCATTTTCTTTTTAATTGTATCGAGTGATGAGAGGCTTGCAAAGGAAAAACATTTTTAATGAAGAAGTGGCTTTTAACAATAAAATAAAAACCATATCTCCATGTTACAGGATGTAAGAATAAAATTAAGTTCATGATGTATACAAATCTTTCATCAGGCGGACAAGTTGTGCATAACTTATCCACTCAAAAAACAACTATTCATTCATTTATTCATTTATAATGTTCAAAGTAATTACTGAAAAAGATTTATATGATTACAGATGTAACATAGGGAAGACATGACAAATTGAACCATCTTTAAGAGAAATAAACTGACAGCAGTAGCAGAAACTCACAGTTTAAATCATCTTTAGAAAAGAAAAAATTTAACAAACCTTCAAAAGGCCAGTTGTGATGTGGGAAGTACAACACAAACCAGAGGATGTTTTTTAAACCACTTACAACTGATATTCTGTGTATCATAAATAATCAAAATAATCTTGAACATTAAATAAGAGTTTTTCTGACTAACTGTCATCTGAACCAGCCAGACAACATGTGCAAATCAAAACAAGGATGAATCAACAATACCAAATGTCATGGAAGATCCTCTTATCCCAAAGAAGTCATGAGGTTTATATGAGTGGCGTTAAAAAAGCAATACACAATACTTTTTCTTTAGCAATGCATAGGTAAGGTTGGCCTTGAATAGATCCCCCTCATGATCTTTATTTCCTGAAAGTGAACATTATTAAACAGGATATGAGGATTTTCACGGGCACTTACTGTTGATACATCACGACAGCAAATAATAGGAGAACTTATTATTAGGACATGAAAACATTTCAATATTCTGCAGTTACACAAATAATGGATGGCTGTTAGGCAGATTCTGCTGAAAATGACCTCAATAAGACCAAACCTTTTCAACAATGAGTAGAAATAGAGCATTTTGTTTGAAAATAAAGTTTTGATAAGAAGTAAGCCTTTTAAATACAAAGTCATGTTTATCAAAGGTGGCCAATCCGATCTATAAGACAAATATGGAAGACCAAGAAGTGACAAATGGCCCTGGGCTGCAAATGGTTATTGTGGACAAAGCTAACTGAAAAAACTGACAATCTCAGCAGACGATGTCAGAAGCTATGTTACAGAGCTCTAGAACACGCAGGCAGAAACTGCTTTATGTGAGCCTGGACTGATTATCTACACAAAGTAAATGATAGTTCACTGTCAAATGAACATTCCTTACTTATAAAATATTTCATACCTTGACACCACCACTTAAATATTAAGAGTGTTCTCTGTTCAGGTGGTCTGTACAAACATTTAGTGCAGGTGGGGGTTTTTTGTGAAAAAGATATGCCGAATCTGCGAATTGGCCGATGTCTACAGAGACATTACAAGCTTTTTTAAACAACTGGATCAGTTCTAAATTGACAGTGTTTAGCGATCTTACTGCAATCCTACATTTCCTCTCCATATTGCATATGCTACACTGAGAACAGGTTGTTCAGACTTTAGTCTCCAGCAGTGGCCATGTTAGCTCACTGTAAACCTGTTGTTGGAAATACATAGAGAATAACACTGAGTTAAATGAGTACTGTAGGCCCAATGAGAAGCTCTTCAGCATCTTTTCACTGCAAACAGTTGTTAAAACAATGTGTCCTGCCCTCCAAATCACAGATCTTGCTTGACGAGATTGTAATGCAATAGCTGCTCACCCATGACAAATATCTAAATATCACTTTCAACATATCTGACAACAAAAAGATTTCCCATATGAATTACCGGTAATTACCAATTAACTTCCAAACATTTAAAAGTTTAAGACACAATTATGACACAACAATTTCATTCCAAGTAATAGACAGACAAGAATGCACCTCCCTCAACCAAGTTAAGTTTTGTCATAAAAAAAACCCATCTACAATAAAAGCAACTCCAGATGTTGCAGCCATTGACAAAACACACACTTTATCCCATTTGTGCACCTCCGTTAACAAACTATACATTAATTTATATATTTATCTTATTTTATTTCCATGTTTTGCAGTTGTTACTTCGCTTTCCTCTCCAACAGATGGAGCCGGACTCCCGTGTAAATCACTGAGTATGTGGTATACAGTCATGGTTGATTTATCAACCAGAGAATTTAACATTAATAGCAATCTCGTTTAATTCAACTGAGTACTCCTGTAACACAATGGCAATTAAAAAAAAAAGTCTTATAAAGGCCTGACATATGCAGAAACTAAAAAAAGCTCTATTTGAACTTTTAAGCCGCTCTTTCTGTGCTGGTTTCCATTTCAAATTGTTGCTTTAATGGGAAAATATGGCCCACAACTTTGAATATACCTTGTGATTGTAATCACAGAGTTTTCAAAAAAGCAGTTCAGTAGGCTTCCAGGTACCAGCTGTGTCTGACATGTATAGATGTTCAACAATCAACAGTCATTGACTCAAATGGAGGCCAGGGCTGTAGAGACTTACTGGAGACATGACCCCAAAACGGATTGGAAGCAGCAGCAAAAACTGCAGGAATCTTCTTGCCTGTGACTCTTTTTTTCTGCTACGAGCCAAGGTTTAGCCAGTGCTGGATCTGTGATATGCCACGATGTAGCTGACCAACGTAGAAGTCCGCATTTCTGGAGAAATCTTGACAAACGGAGGACTGGGCATCCCCGACAGCACAGTAAAGGGCAGTGCCCCCCACACTGATCACTACAGTGACCAGACATAGAAGGAAGAGAAGCAGGCAGGAGTCTCCACCACCAACCTCTACGGAGAACAAGACAAGGACAGTGACAGGAGAGCTTGTAAAGCTGTACATGCTGAGGAGCTAAAAGTCAACATCTTTTTACAAATTTTCTTTTCACACCTCTACTAAAATCTCTACTGTTCTACTTAATTGTGTATTCCCTTTGGGGAAACAAATTAAACATGAAACAAAGTTGTTTGTTTCATGTGTACTCCAAGATACAGACCTGTATGTCTAAGAAATAAAAACAGTGACACACCGTGCTCATAGCTGTCATCAGGAACTTTGAAGCGGACACGTCTTTTGGCAGTGGCTTTTTCAGGCGCAGGCTCTGCACTCAACACATTTGTCCTGTCCACAGAAACACTCCGCTTCTTCAATATGGAGACAAGGCCAGAGGCAGGGGAAATCTGAGAAACCAAACAGGCACAAACAGAACTATTACACAGCACAGAGACGTGTGTACTACAATGTACAAAATTAGTATTTAAAGCGTAAAATCTAATCTAATCTCTTCGTATTCATACACAGAAGCAAAGTGTTTAAGCAATTCTCCTGCAGAGGCTGCGCACCACCAGGCATCTTCACCAGGTGGCAGCGGAGCACAGAAATAAGGATGCTGAGCTGTGTGCCTCCTTATCAACACTTTCACTCATTTACTGCCAGCAGTACCAGGCACTGCCTCCCTACCATACAAGCAAGTCGCACTGGCTCTCAGGTGATCTTTGGATCAATGCAAACATGTGTCAAAGCAGACTTTGACTGGTTGATAGACTTTGTCGAAGTCACACCACTGCTCAAGGCCATATACATTGAAACGGGTTTGGCTAAAATCAAACTGCAAAAATCAAACGCAAAACTCAAACAGGCTCCTTCCAATAAATATGCTTACCACTGAGAGACAAAATAGGGAAACAAAATCACACAGCTCTCCATTCACGGTGGGATGAGGAAACTCAAGCAGTTTGTCAACAAGTGGATCAATTGAAGATCAGTTTCAAACCAGTTTAACAGTATTCTTATACCAGTTTTTTTTCATGAACTATTATGCTAAAGTCATGATCAATACAGGAAATATATTCTGTACCAACGCACCTCCTCAACAGTGATGAGTTTTGCCATCTCGTCCAGTGACGGAGCCTCTCTGATGAGGTCAGCCTGGTCTACTTCGTAGTCCTCCTCCCCCTCCTCCTCCTGTACCTCCTGCTTCATATGAGCCTCTTGAAGAGGGCGTTCCTCCTCGTACTGGCAGCTTTTAGGGCTCTCCTGCAATGATAATGGAGAGCTGTTACAGCTGATGAGATAGTCACTGAATTTGCTGCTCTGAACTTCTTAAACCGAATGAAACCACTATGTGTCATACAAGCTAGCGAAAGTAGCAGAATTAAAAATGAGAGCTGGGACAGAGGAAGTGAAACGTGTTGCAATTCCACTGAAATGTTACAGCGAGAAAACAGGGAAGCAGAGTTCTAAACTCTGACCACCTAAAGCACTAAATCCTGGAGATTTAAACTATTTGCTGGATGAGTCTTAAGCAACAGAGGATTTATATTAACTTGCAAGTATTTTCAGCTGGGAAAAAAATTAATGAACTCACATAAAACGCTGCAGACTAACTGGTATTTTCATTTATCGATTTCTAAAATATATTCGATAAAAAATTTTTTTAAAGCTACAGTCTCTCTAGTAGTTCGAAAATATCACATGCCTGGGTCTCTTGGCAACGTGAAGTCTCATCATGCAGCCTCTCTTGAGCTCCAGCATCCTGGTTTAGCTCTTGAACCGCCAGCACTGCCCCACTGAAAAGAGTCTCCACTGGAAGAGCTTTCTGACAAAAGCTGGAGTCTCCTTCCTGCTGCGTCTCTTCCCCCTCATCTTCTGCTTCCTCTTCTTCCATCTCCAAAGCCTCCGCCGCCTCCTCCAAGTCGCTCTCTCTTTCTTCCCCTTTTGCCTCCTTCTCCCGTACTAAACTTAAATCCTCTCCCTGCTGCTCTGCAGGCTTGGACTGGTCCATTACCACAGCTGTACAGGGGTGCAGTCCATTTCCTGTGTCTGAAACAGTGCCTCCGACGCCTTCCTCTACCTGTTCTCCCTCTCTGCTCTCGCTTCGCTCTTCAGTCAGCTGAGGTTCATGGAAAATGACTTTCCCCTCCAGTTGTCTGTTAGGGTCCTCTCCTCTGTCTTTTTCAGATATTTCAGGGGAGTCGAGCCTTTGAAGCACATCAATGGAAGGCATGGCATGACTAAAGGAGTCTTCAGCTCTATGCTCCATTCCTCCTTCAACCTGAGGGGCTGAATGAAAGAAAGTCATAGAATGAGTCCACATGGCCTTCATTACTTTGTTTATGTCACAATTACTTGCCTTTGATTGTGCACTGCCTCAACATCATGTACATACAAAAAGAAAAATAATGACGCTCATCTTAAATGTGCAAATACAAAAAGTAAATAACAATACAGTGGGAGTCAATGCAATGCTCCATAAGCAGGATTGACTAAAATATCACCCATAAATTTAAAGAGATTTTTCTCATACACAGAGTATAAGAGTTTTTTTTGTAGTTTTTTTAATTTACTATAATTACTTTTTTTATTTTTTTTTTATTTTTTATCAGAACCTGTTCAGGCTAAAGTAACTTTTTTGTTTTACTTTCATTAATGTCAGTGCAGTAGCACTAGTAAAGATGACAATATACACATAAAACAGGCTGTGTTGATGTGAGACCTATGGCGTTCAGAAACCCGGAAACGTTCTCAACCTCTCCACTTTCTTCTTATCAGTACAGAATATCCATCCATCTATTGTCTATACCACTTCTTATTAGCAGGGTCATGGGGAGCTGGAGACTATCCCCCCTGGACAGGTCACCAGTCCATCACAGGCCACACAGAGACAAAAAAACACACACACTCACATTCACTCCTAGGGGCAATTTAAAGCATTCAATTAACCTAAATTGCACATTTTTTGACAGATGAAGGATGCCGGATTTAATACAGGAGAACTAAACCTAACCTCCAAACAAACGCACACCAAAACATTTCCATTATTTCTAAGAGGATTACAACACCCAACGGGTTTGAAACAGAGCTTTTAAAATGTGGTTAAAAACAAACTCACCTGAGGGACATGAAATCTGTTCACCACCTTTATCAATTTTTTGTCTTAACAGATCCAGCGACGCACACTGCACAAACACACACAACACAAAGACACTGTGGCGTTAAACTGTCACATTTATATACAATGTCCAAATCACCAATTACATGTCCACCACTAATACTTCAGATATTGTGTATGTTACATGTCAGTGAGTTACTTCAATACTGTACACAGCATAAATTTGATACACACTGCCATGCTCACACACACACAAAACTACCAATGTCTTACCTCAGCATCTCTTGTCCTTGGTCTATAAACAGGAGAGAGACAGAGTGAGAGGGTGAGCGTGGAGGGTGGCTTCATAGTTTTAGTAAATGAAGACGCAAAAGACGGATGACCCTTCTCTACTCCCCCAATCTAATATTAGACTGAACACATTTCCCTGGTTAGTAAAATGTGTGTGAGCAGGTGTCTGGGTGTGTGGTCAACACATTGCTAATACTGTGGGGGGCCTACATCTTTTATTGTTCATTTACCAGGAAAGTCATACTGTATACAAATTTTCAGGGGGGGAATGTCATATCTGATAATGGGTGGGGTTAAGGGTGATTTAAACTCCAGAAAATGAAAGAAGTCAATATCAAGGCCTCTGAAGTGGAGGAAACATGACGCTGTCTGTGTGGGCGAGTGTCCTCGTGCACAAGTGTGCATGAGTTGAGCAAAGTGAAACCTAATCAGTGAGATGGTTCAAATGTCGAAAAGTGCAGCAGTAGCAGCAGCCAAGAGACATATGTTTTAACCATCACTGCAGAGCTCATCTCAAACGGAGATATACACAATCAAAGCCACACAAACACGAGATACACGCTCACACAGGTCCCTGAAGTACAATGCATAGATGCTAATGTCGTGATATTGTGTGTGATGCAGGTATAACAAAATAAGTTTCTTATAGGTGTTCTGCATGTACGGTGTACAACTGATTTCCCAATTGTTTTTTTTCTTTGTTTTTCATGTTTGAGAGCAGTCTTTAAATACGGGATATTAAGATAGTCCAGCTTGTTGGAGGACAATGGAACAATTCGACTTTAATGGACCGATGGTGCTTCAATAAAAAAGAAAAACTGTAGAAAAAGAAAAAAGATAAATGGAAGAGTTGACAGTTCTCATACACATACATATACACACACACGCGTAGACCCACCGTGTGTGTGTCTGACAGATCTGTTTAAGGGTGTCCAGATGGTGGGTTGCCACGTTAGAGGGTGTCCTTCCACACTGACTCTCTGTAAAGCACAAAAAGGTTACAAAACAGCCGTGTGACTGTGTGTGGGGAGTCACAGAACAGGGCTCCGGTGTTAGAGATCCAAATGTTAAAACTATAAGCCTGACTGTAACCTGATGGTGTCTGACTGCCATTACATATGTGACCCCAACAGGTGATTGCTGAGTGGCTGCAACCTGAAATGTTTAGTTTACTGACTGAGAGTGGACATTTTAATGAATATACACACAGCATTGCCAGTTTAAAACCTCCTGGTTCTGAGTGCAGACAGCAGAGAAAAGATAATACATGATTTATGTGTGTGGTGTATTACCCCACTGCTCTTGAAGTGCATTCAGGTTGTCCAAAACTCTCTGGTGATAGAGTCTCTCTAGCTGGATGAAGCATAATGCCCGCTGGTCTGATGCAAGCAGTTAAGAAATAAACACACATTCACAAAGCCGGGGAAGCTGCTGTCTTTCAAAGCGTAAAAGTCAAATCAGCTCGAAAACTGTCGGATTTCTGCTCATGTTCCATTGCAGCTGACAGAAGTATATCTCTCTGAAAACATATAGGAACACAAAGAGAAAGGGAACGAAGCGGAGAGGAGGAAAGAAGGCAAAGCCAAGAAAGACAGAGGAGGGGAGCGCTCCAGGATGCAATCTCATGTTTATGGATATGAGCAGCTAAAACACAATCCTTCTTTGACAAGGATCAATGCCTTCTCTCACTAACTAACCCTCTATACATGCATGACATAGCTAAGCTGGCTTTCCCTTTCCTCTGACTCACTCATCTCTTCCCCCCCACTGTCTTTCCCCTGTTTAAATATCCAAATCTACCTCATGCTCACTCTATTTCTCTTTCATCTTTTCTTTCATGAACCCCCATCGTTTCCTCCTACTCTGTTTTATTCTTTATTCTGTCCAAAGGTTTGAGTGCATTGACGCAACAGTGTTATTTTGAGTGAGCCTCTGTCTATGGTCTCATTCTGTGTGTACAGAAACAACATCCAGTATGTAATTAACATAGCTAAAAGAACATTTTAACTTGTAGACCAAAAAAAGTTCACATACAGTTAGGCAGCACATAAGACAAGCAGTGAGTGTCTGACACTCATTTGAGAAACTGAAATGGAAACTGTTACCCACACACAACCCAACAGGCTCACAAGGATACAGTCTTCATGGAGGACAAAGGCCTTAGCAATCTGCAACGAAAGACACATTAAAACATTCATTAAATGACAGCCACTCTTTTATCCGTTTTATTAGTTGTAACACAAACTGTCTCAACAACTGTCTTAAAATGCGACTGACTCTGTAATCCACACGCATGATATGATAGCGCTTACAAAGTAAGAATGAATAACAAGGCTTTGGGATTTAGAGAAATGCAAGCACCCCATATCATAGGGCTGAAACAGAGCTACCAGTACTTCTGGAGAAACCTTTGCAATCATTAACCAGTACAGAGAAAACTACCCCATAGTGTGACATAACACCGCAGGTGAGCTGTCCGGCCAAACGCATTAGGAACACAGTTCATCAGGAAAATGAGAGTGAAAGCCAATAGACACAAGGTGAGAGAGAAAAACAACAGATTGTGGAAGACGCTACCTCTTTTCTGCTAGTGTCCCTTTCACGTTGTTCAGCTGATCTGAGAGGAAGAGGTGTGTGTGTGTGTTGTGTGTGTGTGAGAGAGAGAGTGCAACAGAAGAACAGTAAAAAAGGAGGAGGAGGAAAGGACACACAAGGCTTGCATGTCTAATGAAGCGAGGGCGGTGACAACTGAACGGCCTTTCTAGGTAATGCAGAAGAACGGTGGTGTCGTGGTTTGGAGATAAGAGTCTAGACAGAGGACTTTTAAGTTGTATCTGAGTTCTTCCTCCCACTGTCTTTATAGAACGCTAGTAAACTGTGGTTAAACTGTCAGCCGAGAGTCAATTCTCACCGTAGGGGAAACACTGCCGTTAAAAGTGGGTCTTTCATGTGCTTATTAGGAGCTCCTGGCATGCTATTCAGTGTGTGCATCCTGATAGTTAGCTACCAATTATGTGAGTTCTGTTACATTATCATAAGCACCAGCATGTAACACATTTAAAGGCTTGAAGCCTTTTAAATGCAGGAGAAAAAAAGGGGGAGGGTGGAGCTACTCCCCTCCCCTAATAGACACTGCAATTGCTTGTTAACTGTCCTGACTTTTGAACCTGTGATTATTCAAGAAACCTGCAGCCCACTTACTTTCATCTAGAAGTTTCTCATGGAAATGTATTGACACAAAAATATGATCATGTTAAAATATAAATCTCTACAATCTAGAGAGAGTAAATACTGGCTTACAGCACATCTGAAGCAGAAATATTCCCCAGTTGAGTTAAAAGCTTGACACCACAGCAGCCGGGGCAGAAATTATCCAAAAGTGAAACAATAGATTGATCCATTAATCCTTTCCAACATATTATAAATCACTGAATTTAGACTCATGTAGAATGAGTTGTCATATGAACATTATGTTTTTCCAGCCCTGGACTGTAACAACAACAAAAAAACGTTTGACTTTGACAACTTTAAATGTCACTACAACGATATCACTGAATAAATTACTTGTGGAAAATTTGTTTAATTAGAAATGAACCCACATGCTTGTGGGATGCCTTTCAGTCATTTGCACACCTGTTTGCCTTGAAGTAAGCATAGGTCAGGAATGCCTAGTGGGGTGATTTCCATCAAAAGTCAAACTGACATAAATATTCCCACACCTTAAAACGTTCAAGTTCAGTCACGCAGGATTATACATGAGAGCTCATCCAAGCACAGAAACGCAGAAGCTGTACAGTGGGTTTTATTTTACTGTCTGCATGCAGCCTCTGTGAGTGCCTCTTTTAAAATATCAGGAAATTCAGAACACACCCAAGCCTTAGGGTCTGAAGTGTCATTCCAATTACAAGTCTTAGGGAATAAATAGCAGTGTTGTCAAATTCTGAGAGAGAGCAAACTGAGTAGAATGGCATGAAGACTGCAGTGCCTATTGGTAAATGAGAGAAAGGTTACCTGGTGAAGGTACTGTGGAAGGTGGGTGTCATCCCCTCTCTGTACCAGCTGTTCGAGGGACTCCAGGAGAGTAGGGCTGGGAATAGGCTCTGTAGAGCAGGTGGAGACTGAGACACAAGTGGTCACTGGAGCTGAGGTAATCTGTTCCTGATCTGAGGATATATTCGATGAGTTGGGAGTGAATTCCGTGTTTTCTGTAGTAGACCCTGTGGCGAAGGACTGGGGATCCATTGTTAAACCTGCAAGAGTGGAAGTGTTGAGTCTTTTTTGTGCACTTAATGTTAATGTCTCTGCAGCTCCCGTGTTAGGTCCTGAATCTGAACTAGAAGAACCTCGCGCAAAAGGTGGCCCACTGCTGGGGACAGGCTCTGTGGGTGAGGTAAGCTTCTCAGCAGAGGAGTTTCTTGCTGTTCTGTCAGAAGTCTCTGTGGGGCTGCTAGGCGTTGTGTCTGAGGTCAGAGTCTGTGTGGTGAAATGAACAGGTCCTGCGCTGATGGTGGACCCATCTGTGCACATAATGGACCCTGAGGTGGAGGCACCTGATCCAGCAACGAAGATAGGAGAGTTTACTTCGGCATCATTCTGATTCAGTTTTAATGAACTGATGGGAAGTACCACCTCTGGAATAACGGGGGATGTAGGCTCTGGACTGGTCCCAGGGCTGAAAGGATATGGAGTCTCCAACAGGCTACCTACAAAGAGTCAAAGCACCGAAAAATTAATAATAGAGAGATGGATATCTAAAAAGTAACATGTTTAGGTGTATTTAAATAAGCAGCTCATTCATCAATAATTTTAAAAAAAATTTAATCCAGAAAACACAGAAACACACACGTGTCTCTTACTTCAAACATACTTACTATCAATCAGAAGCATAGCACTAGTTGTCTGTGCAATGCTCTGGTCAGTGCCCTTGATGTGAGCACATGTCCAGTGCTTACCAACACAGCAGACGTGTGTGAGTGTATCAAAACATAACAATTCTCTGGTTTATGCATTTTTAAAGCAATACTAGATAAGTTGGTGAACCTATGTCTTTCCTGATTGTACTTGCACTCTATTAGCAGCCCTGTCTCTAACAACAACGTTCATAGATGATAAATTAGGTTTAATGCCCAAAGTGACAAGTATTACACAAAGTGAGCAGCTGGAGACAGCTGCACAAAAAACACAGAAATATGCCGGTGAAAAACCAAAACAGAAATGTAAATTTTCATCTAAACATAAATATGAGTCCAAGTAAAAAACAAATGAGTCCAAGTAAAAAACATTCAGCTAGCAGATCTTGAAAATTTGTAGCTTTTCTGGTGCCCCCATGTGGGGAAAAAGGGGACTATTCACAAAAGAAACCAGGGACTTTAAACTAAGCTGTGTGAAGCCCTGTCATCATGTAGGCACAAACAGAATAATTTTCATGTTATGAACGTGTTTCCGTGACCCCTACCAGTTTCAGAATATGAAGAATCTGTCATAGGAGTGTCTGGAGACTGACAGCGAGTCATACAACTTGACCCCTCAGATTCCTCCTCCTCATCTTCCTTCATCACCTCGTCTGCATCTTCTTCCTCATCTCTGCTTTTTGCTGTGTATCCCTCTTTTTCCGTCTTCTCCTCTTCCTTTCCATTGTTGTTTAGGGAGCTTTTATGGATGATGTCCGGTATCGCTCCATCCTCACTTTGTGGAAGAGGCAGATTTTGATTTGGTGCAAGAGAGTTTGTCTCATTGAGGTTTTGACTTTGTCCAGAGAGGGCTTCAGATCTGGGTGAGTTATCACAGAGGTCCAAGCTGTCCCCATGATCCTGTGACATTACTCTGCCCTCCCGCTCAATCTGACCTGAGGATGAGAGATAAAACTCAGCTGGAATGACAACACACTTAAAGAAGTACAAAATCCTAAGACCAACAGACTTCCACAACCCTATTAGCCTCAGTCTATGTATTATTCACAGGCTGATAACAGACACCTCAGACAACAAATATATTAAGAAATATATATCAACACTGCCACATATTTTCGACTGACTTTTTCACAGTAAATCATACATTATTTGTACCTTTGCTCAGTTGAAAAAAATTAGATTAAATTGCAATAGGAAATATCAACATTCACCACCATGATCCATTGGCCTTTACAGCTTGAAAGCAAGTTAGGAAAGCCCCTCTTAAAGTTGCAGACATGGAAGAAATGAGAAACAAATGACAGAAAGTATGAGACTGACTGGCCGAGTCAGAGAAAAACAAGTTTAGCTCCATTCCCAAGTTTTCAAACAGACCCAGTGGCTTTAAGATATGGACAGTGTGTACGGAACTACAGCATTTCCCACAAGGCCAGAAAAGTAACACCACCACAGACATGCGGATTTTAGAAAGTCAATGCTTTAACAAACTGTAAAAAAAACAAAAAACAAAAAAACAATATGTGTTAAAAAAAAAAACATTGTGTGACCCAAATCTTTAGGACACCAAGGAGCCAGTTTGGCTCAAGCTCGCTCTGAATATGTTCATTTATCATGGAAGGATTTATAAAGAAAAACAATTAAGCATTTTCTGAAACTGAAGGAAACACATTACCGAAAGAGGTGCAACGTTCCAGAATTAACCGTAGTTTTCCACCATTAGCATATAAAGGGAAAAGCCATTCAGCACAATACAAAACCAAATGATGATTCAACACTTGACTGAGTAAATTCACTTTATACGTTTTTTAAAGACAGAATATACTGTAGGGCGAGGCCAACTTCAGATTGGATCAACGAGTTACCAAACAGGTTAATCAGTGGTTTAGTTTACTGCCTCCCTTGTATTAGCAGAAAGGCACCTACCTTTAACTAAATGAACAACTTTCCAACTGTGTTTCCTACAGCACGGCTGTTGTGAAAGTTTCAGGTGTTCTCTAAATATGGGAACTGGTGTAACCTTGTGTTACAATAGGCCTTCATGGCTTAAGGAAGTACACAATAAATGCATTACATATTGATAATACAGGTGGTAATAAGGGTTTGAATTATTGAGGCAAAGGCGAAAACCTGCTTTGTGAATTACACCCCATATAATCGGTTTATCCTTCAGTGCAAGTGCATGCAGGTTTTATTGGCTGGTAGCAGCAGGCAGACTGGAAATGAGGGGGGAAGATAACTGAATGGAAGGGATGACTTGCAGCAAAGGTGAGGACATTTCTGGATGGACAGAGGTCGCACAGTGTACACTCCAGCTGGGGTAATTTGTTTTTCAGCCATCTGTTCACTCCTTTGCTAAGTTTTCAGCAAAATATGGCAAATGTAAAAAAAAAAAAAATTACGACTCCATGGTATAATGTAAAAAAAAACACAGAAATATAGAGCCACGCTGATTAAAGCATATCTCAGAGGAACTCAGCTGTCCTGGTTTCCTGCAGCACTTAGCTAATGGTTCTTCCTACTCCTTGCTGACACAACCCAAGCAGAAGAATAACAGAAAGCAGTGAAAAACACAAAAGGACTTTGATTCTCTGAGTTTGCATTCTTAACTAATTCCTTACAAGCTGTTCCTAAAGACCTGCAAATTCCCAGTAAATACCTTGAGAGACAAGTCCTCGAACAAATCAGCATGAGCGTAGGGTCTAAACATTCCAGCCGGGGTGGGGACCTCTCCTTGATAGGCTTTTAACACTTTACGATAAGAGAGCACCCTCTGAACAGAAAACACTGTGTGCCCTGACTGTGTTCGTAATAATCCTCCACATCACTTTGACATACAAAAAGAGCCATTCATGAGACAGCAGATTGTTTTTATTGTGGAACACTCCAACAGGCCCTCTAAGCAGCCACAGACCGTGAAAAGCAAATTTGATCATAAGAATTGCGAAACCAGAAAACCTCACTGGCACAGAGGTTGTCTGTGATAAGAGTTACTGGGCTGTGCAGTGTCTTCTTCTTTACTAGCCCTCTCCCACTAAGCTATCACTGCACAAGCATCCATCCTCTCCTCCTTTTGTCACTGCCGTACTCCACAGGAGACCATGAATAATAAAAGACCGAAAAGGGACAGTCAGCCAAATGGACAAACACAAAGATGGGGGTAAAAAAAATACTGACTCTGCTCTGTTAGAGGCCACCTCACCTCAAAGCGTTAAGACCATTAAAAAACAGCTTCACATACACATCTATTAGAGGAAAAGTTAGGTAAACCCCCACAGCCACTACCTAAACTAGCTACACTCACAAGTAATAAACTATTGATTGATTTATGATCACTTTGAGTTAGTGAGACAATTACAGGTGAAATGTAATGGAGTAATAATACAGTTAATATTTAAAGAGCGATGGAGTCTTCTTTTAGGTCCTATCCTAGGTAAGCTACCACAACATGATGATAGCTAACTGATGGTATGATGATAGTAACTAACCAATGCTTAACAGAAATTAAAAGTTTTGACTTTAGACTCACACTTAATATTTGTGTGTTGGTAATATTTAGTTACAACACAGACAGCAGTCAACACAAGCTGGCTCCTTCCCCATAAAGACCATTTATTTAGCATAAAGTTACCTGGTTAGTAGTAGTTAATAGCGGGCCAATTAACGACGTTAGCCACTGTTATTACCCACAGCTGGATCAAAAACGGACGGGTCCCAATCGCTGCGCTTCAAACAGGGTGTTGGTGTAATGTCAACCTTATCGACAGGCTCGTGTTGTTTTAGTAGAAAGCTAAAACGCCTTAAATTATCTCATAACCGTTCGCTTTAAGCCGTGGAACACCACGTCCGTTTACGGAGACATACACAGCTCCTTCAGGTTGGTGTGTGCTGCTATCCGGCTAACGTAAGCTAACGCCAGCGGAGTGCAGCCACATCTGGCTACAGCGGCGGATAAAACCCCGTAAACTTACACCTATCGTTTGTGAATATGCACGCGTTAGCTCACGACGCTAGCCGCCGGCTTTGAACGCAGACACGGGAGGGACGGACGGGACTTACGGCTGAATCCGGCGGCTGAAGGGCACAGAGCAGAGCATCAGACACCTTGTCGGAGATGTTTTGACTGAACTGATGTCAGCGTGACTCGGGCAGCCCGCTGACGCTGGGCCTCCGCGGCCACGGAGAAGCTCTCTCTCGCCATCTATGGCTTCTTTTATCGCGGTACATTTTGTGTATGAGTGAAACTATTCATATATAACTCAGTCATTTTAGTTCAGTCTTCATTTGTGCGCGGCTGGTGGCTGAGCAATAAGCACCACACTCTGAAAGTCCACCTTCAGAGAGATTAACAAAAGGGACAAAAATGTTTGAATGTAAAATAATTTAATAACCCATTTCACTGTCCAATTTTTTTGCATTACAGATGTTTTCATGATAAACAGACATATCATTTCAAACACAGATGCTCCAATTGACCTGTGACCCCAGAGGCAAGGCGCTCATTTACCACTCTCATCATATAAGTCCTGTCAGCACAAGCGCCTATTAAAATGGACGGTAAATTAACTTTTTCCCGTCACACTTATTGATCTGCTTGTAGATAAAAAATAATCTGTTCACATATTCAATAAGGTCAGATACTTCACATATTTAGACAACCCTACGGTCTCATTACAATTCATATATAAACATATGCAAAGCTTGATGTACTATGCAAGCACAGCAATTCTTCTGGCATTGATATTTTAAGTAACTTCACACAAGTTACGTGCCGTTACAATATACTGCTACAGATGTCTCCGTCAGGTGTATAGAGATTTCTTTTTTCTGCGTCCAAACTGCAACCAGTTTAAGATGAAAAATGTATTTTACATTTATTTGTGCGAGAAGTCAAAATGAACCTTGTGAGGTTTTATCTGAAATCTTAATCATTTCAGACACTTCACTCTCTGTCCCAAAGTGTTTGCAACATAAATCATTCCATTAAAAAAAAACAAAAAAAAAACAGAATTTATTGAATAATTAATTTGTTTCTTTGGCTGTCTCGTGACACCCGATTATGTTATTCTCCTTTATATTAAACACAGGCTTATAATTGCTTTATTTGTATGCGTTTCCTGTGTTTTAGTTTAATAAATCCATATATTTGACCTTTTCCTGTCCATAGTTTAGCCCCAGCCCTCCCTCTGTGTGTTTTCCAGGATCTCTTCATAAAGCCAGCTTTGCGTGAACTCCTGGCTCTTGTCCATCAGCTGGAACAGTCGAAGATACTCATCGGGGTAAACGTGGCCCGTCAGTACATCTTCTGGTAAGCCCATCTCTGACAACAGCTTACTACCGCTATCAGGTGACCAGAGACTGGAAGAAAAAAGTAAGAATCAGAGACACAGACAGCAGTAAAGCAAAGACCACACAAGCTTTGGCCTGGTGATCTTTCCTGTATCACTGATGCTCACACTGTGATTGCAAGTCCAGTGTTTTGGTGCCACATGTGGGCTGTGGGCCTGTCAGAGGCTCTGCTTACTTAAGCCTGTCGATGAGTTTGACCTTCCTCTTTGCCAAACACTGTTTGACCATCATCAGCAGAGTTGAGGCATTGGAGGGTGTGAGGCCCGCTGAGAAAAGGTCAGCCCGTGGACGCAGGCGCACCAGGCACAGGTGGTCGTTTGGCAGCTGAGGGGAGGGTGAGAGGAAACATTCATTAAATAACACAAATACAAAATGACACCTCCGATGTGGACCCAGCTTCCCTCCTCACCTTTCCCCTGGAGGACGGTGCACTCTGTTTTGAGGACACCACAAATGACTCCCAAGGCTCCTGCACACACAGAGAGGAGGAGGCAGGCACTCGTAAGACCAAGATACAGCTTATTGTAGCAAAAATGGATAGTAACGTGGGATATGAAATTCTAGGCTTTCACTTGAAGGAACAACAAACACGTTACAAGACTGTGACGTGTTTACTGAAAACAACCAACTATGCCCGCCCAACTGGTTTAAAACATCTGAATAAACACTAAGATATTGGACCTTGTGCAGAAGTTCGATCTCACAAGCCATCTGCCAGAGGACACCGAAAGCTCTGTAGTACATCATATCGCCGGGTTGTGACACCAGTTTCTGATGGAGAAACGAGGGCATTAAACAATTTTAGTCAATCATCTGATTAGCTATTTCTGTCAAAAGTCACACACTACTCTAATTCAGTGTCAACTAGCAGCAGAATGCAATTTTTTTTTTTTCTAAATCAGCATTTTACCTTGTATTCCCTCTCACTAATGAAGAAGTTTAGCTCTACTCTTCCGTATCTGTAGACGGACAGCCGCTCAAACAGAGCGTAAGCCATCTTTAACAGCATTCCACGCTCATTACGCTGGGGCAGGATCCCCACCACCTTCACCAGGACATCTGCAGATGGACACCAGAACAAAACTCACACCTCATACAGTGAATGCTGTTCCAAAGTAAAACCTACATTTAAAGATCTACTAAAGTGAGGTGCCAGAGGTGTTCCACAAAAGAATGCTGAAGGTTACAAGTCACTGAATTGCTAAACAAAATAATAATAAACCCTCAAAGTCAGTGATGGGATTGTTTTTATCACAGTCAAAGATGCTCAAGTAAAGCATATAAACTCCTGTGTGTGCACATGTAAGAAGACAATACGCTCAGCTGATGTGCGTGTTTCTCACCATCAGTCCAACTAGTTTCTGATATTCCCAGGTCTGTGAAGAGTTTGTCTGTGAACATAGTTGGCGGTTTCACGTTCCCACTGCCAATGGGGTCCAGTCTGAAGTAGTCACAGTGAACTACCTCCAGCTGACCATCCAAACGACCCTCCAGCTCCTGCAAAATAGCGTTTTTTTGTTTAACTGCTGTTTAAAGAAGGATTTGAGTGAAAAGCAAAGCATACTAGGATAAAAAAAATTAATGTTTGTGTCACCTGCAGCTCGTGGAGGAAAGACCTGTCGCCCTCAAGGGCCACAACTCTCTGGGCTCCAGCATTTAGTAATGTTCTCGTTAACACCCCGGGGCCTAAAGTGATGTGTTCACATGAAAAAAATAAATAAATAAATCACTGTCACAAAGTCACTAAACTAAGACGTTTTAATCTCAGCTCCAGAGAAAAATGCACCACTGCTTACCTGGGTTACATTCAAAGATAATGGTTTTAGGATCCTGTATTTCGGGTCCTAAATGCTGGGCCACCACACCAGCCAGGTCTGGATCCACGATGAAGTGTCGGATTTTTTTACAGGCCTGAGCACGTTGTACGTTCTCCTCCACCTCACCAAGGTCCAAGTAGTCGTATCGGCATAGAGCACGGAACTGGCCCTGTAGACAGACATAAAGAACATGCTGTGACAACAGTAGATAGCTAAGTGAGCAACAAAAATAACTTCAGAACATGTTGATTTTCAAGAATCTTAAGGACTCAGTGGACGCAGTTTATGTGGTGGTCACGTTTTAAGGAACGGGGATATCTAGGTCGGTTGTTATTAGGATTTAACTTGGTTATGCTCTTATAGAGCCGATAAACACCTGGGTCTATCTTAAAGTTTACCTGCACGGCAGCGGCAGAAAGGTTCCTTTGTGCGAGTGCTGATGAAGGCGATGTCCGCTCTGGACGGGGCTGTTGAGAACTCTGACCAAGTGGGGGCCGACCGGGCCCCAAGGAGTCAAGGCTGTAAGCCCTTTTATGGGTGACCGTAAGCCCAGGGGCACAGAGGCCAGAGCAGCCTACAGGGGCCAGAGTGGCTTTCCGCAAGCAAGATCTACTTCTCACTGTGTGGCAGCAGGAGGAGCGCACCACGACCTCCAACAGCCGGCAAATCTGGGTAGACATGGCGTACGGCGGATATACAGCTGCAAAAGGAAAGAAGGCAACTTCTGTGATGTGGCTGCCAGAAGCAAATGATAGGCAAAAAATCAACAGTGGAACGAATTTTGAAATGTCCCACATTAAGTATGCTATTATTATTCAAATTGACTTAGAGCACTTTCCTTTTTGGAATCCTTAATAAATACTAGTCTTGCAGTTAAATTGGGATGTGCATGCATGGCTCACGTTTAACGTGAGACATTTCTTCTCACGAAGTAATCCAATACGAGTACAGCAACGTTAGCACGAGCAAACGGATCCGTACCGTTAGCACGTGGGTATGTGGAAACATAAACATCCTCTAATAATAAACATGTACCGACTCCAAAGCTATGTTTACGATACAAATGGGCGGCTTTAAAAACAAGAAATATTAGCAGACACGCTCTCAGTCGCACAAATACTACATCGTATAAAGTTAAAGTTATTAGCTCTGTGGTTAGCTAAGCATTTAACGTGACTGAACTATTTGGACAAACAGAGGTTTTCATAAAAAAAGCCCAACGTACCTCACTGAAGAATATACTATAGTTCCAGATCTAACTTTATCTGCGTGTGTAAGTCATCTTCTACGTCTACGGTCGATGGTAAACCTCCTTGACATTGACTCCACCGCATCCCGTACCCTCCGTTGGATGTTTTTGCAACTCTCGTGGTAACACCGGCGCGTCTAATTGTCGTCATCGGTGAAACCAGCAAGGACCAATCGTTAAGCTGAAGGGGAGTTGACGACATTGACGTTTGCTTCCAACCTGTTCATTTAAAGGGGTGGTCATAAAGGGCAATTTCACAATTTCATGCTGGCTATGCCCTTGGGCACAGGCGTTGGACTGGCAAAATTAGAACTAAATTGTTTTATAGTTACTAGATAGATTAATCAAAACGTTATTTGTCATTAAGCCTCTTTGGTCTTGGAAATAAATTGATCAACATCATTTCCACTGACAGCGAGGTTTTCTGTTAAATGAACAATGTTTTGAAGAAAAATAAATATTTGGCTGCATCTGGACAGTGAGGTCATTTTAAACAGTATTAAACAAGTATGTGCCATAACGGGCTTTATTCAATAAAAGGAGCAATCTAATTCATTTTTGTCCAGTCTCAATATTGTTCACTTGTGTGATACCAGACATAACTTTAGGATGGTGGTGAAATGGTCGTTTTCTGCATCACATAAAGTTTAAGAAATTCCTGCTAAAGCAGCAATTAATCTCTACCCCATGTAGAAAAATTAATTTCGGGTTTGGCACGTTAAACTACCGTGGGTTTCTTACAGGACCGAAAGAAATGCGTGAATCAAATGAGAAAAGCTGTGAAATTGCCATGTGTGCCCATCCCTTTAATTAGAAACTACAGCGTCACATAAAGTCGTTGAGTTAGCTTACATAGCCAGCACGAAAAACGTAAAAAAGAAAACTACAAAACCTGTATAGAATTTTATGAAGACCATATATCACTACATAAATGTATGCCATTCAACAGTTTTAATTCAACACAGCTCATTTTATTAATACGAAAAGCATGTATGGCTAAATGTGATGTCCTTTTGAGCTCTGTTAGCATAGATGTTGCTACGGAAGTAGACAAAGCAGCCTTGTCAAAACTGCACGCAGTCGACTCCCCCTGTCATTCTGTCAGACGATTCCTGGTGAGAGGGCAAAGGTTTCCCCAGTCTGTCTGAAGTCACCATGGCCCGAGTCGAAACGTCCTCCAACAGGCCTTACCACCTGGTTATCTTCGGAGCCTCCGGTTTCACGGGGCAGTTCGTGGTGGAGGAGGTGGCTCGCACAGTGTCCGAGGGTCCGAAAGGGAACCTGAAGTGGGCCGTGGCGGGCAGGAGCAGACAGAAGCTGGAAAAAGTTCTGGAGCAGGCCGCCGGAGTCCTCAGTATGTATCTGATCAGTTTCATGACCATGTGCATTTCAAAGAAGATGTATAGCATCCTTATAGTGACACTTTATTTAAATTAAACTAATCAGTTCAGGGAGAGGGACGAAATAGTAGAATGGGCTCCAGTAGGGTTGTTCGCGTCTCTCAAGAAAAAGGGACATTGCTTAACACTTCGCTCACGATGATAAAGCAACGTTCCAAAGACTCTGCGACCAGTTGGACGTGACTTTGAACCCAAAGTATTACTGTGCATCACATAATCACTAACAGTTTATAAATTGTTGTGTATTACATTTACAACAATAATGAATGTAAAGAGTTGCAATCAGAGTAGTGCATTATATTAAAAAGAAAAAAAGAAAAAATAGGTAAGCACACCCTTTTTGAATACCTCTAAACAGTGTAACTCCGATTTATTAGGCTCTGCTTCTAAAGAGGCCTCCCTCTGTTCTTATGATTTACCATCTCTGTCTGACAGTTCTGGTGTGTTTCATTATACTTAATTAGTACTTGTTGATCAAGATCAGATGCTTATGAGACAAAAACATAATTTATCACAGTGAAGATGCTTTTGTATTTTCCATATACTGTATATTAAAGCGGTATAGTTTTATATTAACTACACTAGTCTCATTGTGGACTAGATAACTTTAGAAATTGATTGTAGAATTTGATCAAATGTGTATTTTTTACCCTGTCCTGTATTCATATGTATAAATATATCTGTGTGTGTGTCTAGGTAAGCCTGAGCTGAGGACAGAGGTGGATGTTATTGTTGCTGATGTTGGAGAACCAGACTCCCTCGCAGCAATGTGCAAACAGGCTGTGATTGTTCTCAACTGTGTCGGGCCTGTAAGTACACGATCCCTCAGAAATGTGTGTTTGTCGTCACATCTCAATGTCGCACAGTGATTTGCTCCTTTCTCCGACAAAAAATGATAGCAGTCTGTCATCACACTGTCTCACAGCATTGGCATCTCTCTTTGGTATTGGTTTGGCTTATCAGCCTATCGCCATCTTTTCCAACCCCTTTCTCCTCCTTTGTGCACGCTCAAATACTCTGTGTCTCTCTCAGACACACACGCATACACACACACAGAGCAGCCTTCATTTCCACAATGAAAGCGACTGGCATCACACAATGTGTTGTATTGTGAGAAGATCAGGACTAAGTCTCACTTTGCAGCAGCACTTTCGAGCAGGTTTGTAATTCAAACCAAACTGCTCCATCACACTGATGGATATCTATATACGCACAGAAAAAAAGAGGATTTTATTCCTCTTCCTCAGTTTAAAACAAAGGACACATTTTGAATGTCACAAAATGAAGGTCTTTTTAAAAAATATATAGCTTGCTGTGTTTAGTACATCCAACCGGAATACAAGCTACAACCAGAATATTTAAGAAATCGTAAACAGATCATATAAAAGATAAACAAGAAGAAATCTTGCTCGTTTAAGTCAAATATGGCTAATGTAAAGCGATGTTGAATAATTAAAAGTAAACCTTTCTGTTATAGAAGCAAGTATATGTGCGTGGTAGGCTGGTCTAATATTAACGTAGGTATGTTTCGTGGGTGAAAACACGCAACATTCTTAGTCTGTAGTTGCCATCATCATTTAAAAACACATAAATCAGATCTGTGACATGGAAAAGGGAAATCCAGCCACATGTGGGTTTCATATTGGTATCAGTAAGGAGTGACAGGTGGAATCTGTCCGTTCAGTTTCTGACATCATGTGACCGGTGTCCTCTGTGATGGTGTGCCCGTTTGATGTGGTCATGCAACAAAATGTTTGTGTGCCCACAAGTCTAGCAAGTGATTAGAAAAACTATTTAACTTAAATAAATCCACTTGATACTTTTTAAACAATATCCGAATTATCAAGCGCTGGCCTTACCAACAAATACAGACCAAGAACTCCCAAAATGTGATCCCATGATATTTCTTGCTGCTGTTTTTGTCCTCACGCACATGTGACATCGCACAGGTTTGACCTGCATGCTATTTATACCATAACAACAATGTTATCCTAAAAGTTTTTTTTTTTTAAAGCTATAAATAAACTAAATTAATCATGAAGAAAAATAAAAATCTCAGAAGAACTTCATTGCAGCTGATGAACATAGTTTGACAGCAAAATAAGAATGTTTTCATAGGCTTTTCACTCTTGCCAGGATTCTAGGATCTGAATGGATGCTGGTCGTTGAATATAACTGGTGTGCAATTTGATCCATTTTGGAGGGGGTGCAATTGTTGCCCAGCCGACACAGCGGCCGCGGGGGAATCGGCCCTAAGCCTAAGTGGCATTAAAGGGATAGAAGTTAAATGGTACAGAAGGGTCTGGATTAACTTGTTTGTGTGTCTTTGTGTTTGCAGTACAGATTCTTTGGTGAACCGGTGGTCAAAGCCTGTGTGGAGAATGGAGCCCACCATATTGACATCTGTGGAGAGCCACAGGTACGGAGAGTTCTTAAACTGAAAAGCGTGGGCTAGCCCCCTCATCCGCTTCCTTCTCTTTGGTTTACAGTTGTAGTTGCTTCAATTTTAACATCCATGTTTGCTGAGGGAACACTTTGATGGCCTCTTTTGTCACCAGTTCTCTCTTCGTTCAAATTATTTAACCTGGGGAGCTGCCATGTTTTGCAGAATTTTAGCTAACTGACACGAATGTTGAATAGACTGGCATCTCCATGGTGTTCACTTGTTATGATATTTCTACTTTGAATCCAACTCAGAATAGATGGAACATGTGTGTGAGCTGGCCTGCAGATGTCTTAACATTCAGCTTTTAAACTGTTTGTTTGGATTAAATTGGAGACGTGCTGGGTTTCATGCTGTGGCCTGTTAGACAAATTTATCTCTAACCGGGCCACATGACTGCAGCTGTTGCTGTAAGACGCTGGTTTGTTTCTCTGAAATAACAATCTGATCCGAGATTCATCTTTTTAGTTTATTTTTGTTTGTTTTTTTTGTTGCTCCTAAAGATTCTCAGAGTAAAGGTTCTCCATTTCCCCTGATTATAGTATGTTTTCTCCAGTCTGCACAGTGTCTGGGGAGTTGATAGTGTTATCTTAAAATACTAATTTCCTTTCCTTTCCAAAAAGGAATATTGCTCAAAATTGAAATAATTCTCCAAAGTATGACACAAAGGAACCCATTAGGTTTGATTTGTGGATCTATGCACTTGTGTCATTCTATTTTTGCATATACAGTTTCTCGAGGGCATGCAGCTTAACTACAATGACCAGGCAGCCGAGAAGGGTGTGTTCATCATTGGGAGCTGTGGGTTTGACTCCATTCCTGCAGACATGGGAGTCCTTTACACCAGGGACCAGTTCAAAGGTATGCATGTATCAGCCTGTTCCTATGTTGGCTTTCAGTGTACACACACAAACACAACAGAGACAAAATGGAGTCTCACCCTGACAGAGGGGATTATTTCTCTGGTCCTGCCTGGCTGCTAAAACCTTACTCATACCATCTTTCACAGGCACACTGACTGCTGTGGAGAGTTTCCTGACAGTCGGCGCAGGACCTGATGTATGTGACTACATTACCCACTGAGGCCTTAAACTGGAAAAGCTTGTTGCAGAGTGTCGCTCTCATAAATTCCTTGAAGTTCCTGCCTGTTCCTTTGCTCTGCAGTTATTTGTTGTACCAAGTCGTCACATTATACCTCTGCACGAACACGTCTCTGCCATCATTGGTGATCTCCACGTGTTCTTTTCTTGCCTGTGTGTGTTTTTGTGTCTGACAGGGGGCATGCATCCACGACGGCACCTGGCAGTCAGCCATCTATGGTTTCGCCGACGGCCACAAGCTCCAGAGTCTGAGGAGGAAGTTTAATCACAAGCCTCTGCCCACTGCCGGCTCAAAGCTGAGACGCAGGTACGCAGTAGTAACTGCAACAGACCCGACAGAGAATCAGCAAAGAAGACAATGACCCATGCAAGATGCAGATGGCCATTATAATTGGTTGTGTTTGTACTTGTTTGCTAAAACATCCATTCAGTCAGTTCTTTTTTTTCCCATTTGAACTGAAAGATCTGTTCAAAAGGTTACTGCAGACACCTGCTCTAAAATAACTTTTAATCATTCCAGGTTTACTTATCCACTTCTACACATGCACTTCTCCATTCCTTCCACTACTTTAGTTGTTTCTTTATTATTTGTCTTAAGGGGAGCACTGTTCTTCAGCAATGAGATCCAGCAGTATGCCTTACCCTTCATGGGTTCTGATCCCTCCGTTGTGAAGCGAACACAGCGTTTCCTGGTGGAGGAGAATCAAGCCACACCGGTCAGTGTCGGCTTAACTCACTTTGAAAACCTGTTCCTAGCTATCCTATCCTCTGGCCAACACTTTAGTGCTGACCAGAGTCATGTGGAAATGGTATTCAAATCCTCTGGCTTGTAACTCCCAGAAGTCAACCCTTCAGAATGAATCTTTTTCAGGTTTAGATGCCAGTAATAAGAGTGCAGCTTTGTATTACTCCCTGTTTTCATCCAATCCAGGTCCAGTATGGAGCTTATGCTGGAGTTGGAGGTGTGGGGAACATCTTCAAGTTGATGTTTGCTGGAATGATGTTCTGGTTCTTAGTCAAGTTCAGTTTTGGACGCAACCTGCTCATGAAGGTAAACATGTCAAATTCCAGTAAAACTACCCTTATCAGTATCAGGAGACACAAATGATTTCCAGTGCTTATTTGTGGGTGTTTCTGTGTGTTCAGTACCCAGAGTTCTTCTCCTTTGGAATGTTTTCAAAGGCTGGACCAACTAGGAAGCAGGTAAAGTAGTGGAGGGGTATTAAAGAAAATATTTTGGATGTTGTGGTTCACCTTTAAAACAACACAATGCTTTCTGTATTATTGATTCATATGGTTTCTGATCAGATGGAAGCTTCATCCTTCCAGTTTTCATTCCATGGAGAGGGCTACTCAGAGGATAAGGACCCTTCCCAGGGCAAACCCAATGCCAAGATCCGCACTGTGGTTCAGGGACCAGGTTAATGGAAATGTCAAATTCCAGTGTGATGACATAATTTTGTGTCAGCAACTGCTAACTGGTGTTTTTAAAGTCCAACTAGGTCATTTGTATTGTTCCTCCTGATTTTCAGAGTGTGGATATGTGGCCACGCCCATCGCCATGGTACAGGCCGCCCTAACAATCCTCAATGAACCGGCAGCCTTACCCAAAAAGTGAGTTCCCTACAAATAGATTTCAGCCTAATCTTATACCTCTGCTTGATTAGAAATCTGATTTGATTGGATAGTGACATTTTACTGAAAATTAATCCTGAAAATAAAAAAGAAGTGTTAACCTGTATTTAAGATTAATATCAGTTTATACAATCAAAACATTAAAAAATGTCTATGTCTGACACATTTCCATGGAGATACTTTAGAATTTTCTTATCCATTTTCCTAGGGGGGGAGTTTACACTCCAGGAGCCGCTTTTGCAAGAAGCACACTCATTGACCGTCTCAACAAACACGGCATCCAGTTCTCTGTCATCTAAAGTCGCCCCCTTCCAACATGCTAGATCCTAGGGTTTTTGCTAGCACCTACTAATTTGCATAGCTTTCAGTGGGGCTTTCCTTCACAAACTTTCTAGACTCCTCTCTGCCTGAATGTACTCTGAAATTGGAACCTGTAATGTGTGTAACTGTAAGGAAAATGGTTTATCAGTTCACACTGCACAACATAAGATGAAAGAAGAGGAACAATACACTCATGTATTACCTTCAGACCAAAAATTGGTTTGTAACATATAGGAACATCATAAGGAACATCTGACATAAGCTTTGATTAATACATGCATACACTGTTCTCTGTATTATTTGACTGTGTTTTCTTAATTTTGCTCATATTTGTTAAACATCTATATAGGAGAATTTTGGGTTTTATTTTAACAAGTGTTTACATTTAGGAATGATTTCCAAACCTCACATTCCTGACTTGTACCGTTATAAGGAAGTGGTGTTATGGTGTGTGAAGACATCAGAGTTGCAGCAACACAGTAGGATTTTTATTGTTTTGGTTCAGTGGAGTAATGCCACCATTGGAAAACAGCTGTGTCTGTGTGTGATTCTTGTTCTTTAAAGTCTCGATCGGTTCATAGTTAGACTACTTATTTTCATGAATGTTCGTTCCTGTTAACTAAATATTTGGGTTGCTCGATTACCCAAACATTTGTTTCTGATCCTGTCAAAAATGCCTGTTGGTTGTGCACCAAACTGCATGATTTACTCCATGAAAGTAAAACGGAACACTCGGCTCTTTAGGAATCCAGTGAAACCCTCTTTATGATCAGAAAATAGGACCGGAACATTTTCACATAGGTGCAGAGCGGGTTTCTTGTTTGAGCGTTGTGCACACGGGTCAGGTTAAGAAGGACTCCGGGGTTTTGCTTCTGTGCGCTTTGCTTTTTGTGAGCCTCATAAATAAAACCTATCCCACAACATAGAGCAAGTCTCATCCTTGTCAACAGTGACCGGTGAAATGGCCCAGGCTCATTAGACGTCTCTAGACCTTTTACAACAATCTCTACATGTGTTACAGATCAGCAGAAGCATGCAATCTATGTACAGTATGCAGTTCCCCTCTGTTTTTTACACAAGGATGAGCATGTCAGGGTTGGTATACACACTGAGAATTGTCCAGGTTGAAGGTATCCACTCTACCAGCTGCACACTATCTCTGAGGTATGATCACAGCAACAACTTGTGATCTAAATTATCCTCTTGGGCAGCAATGCTTTTCAAAGGGTTTATATCTATTCACTGCTTGGCTAAAAATTCACATGAATAAAGTAAAGGCACGGGTATGAGAATCACCACAGGAAGTGTAGAATTTCATCCTTCACTGTTATTATGTTTGTTTTAAACTGATTAACTTTCAAGTGCTCATTTTTGGGAAATTACTTTAGAGGCTGTTGTTTTTCTAATCCTCTTGTAGATTCCGAGGATAAATTCCCAAAAATCAGCCTGTGTTATCTGCCGTTTCAGAACTTGACTGTTCAGGAAAAACTGCTCAACTGTGCTTAAAGTCCACAGGGTTATGGACATGATGGTGATGGTTAGCAGCAGAGGGGTGTTTTTTTTTTTGAGAGAGAGAGATCACTGCAGACATTTGACATGTTAAGGTAAATTATTAGAAATTGTACTTAAGAGATTACAAAAAAAAAGGTGTTGCTAAAATTACCTTTAAAAAATTTAAAACATTTACGATGAAACAAAAACTATAATGAAATGTTCAAATATTTATTCATGAAAATAGTCATTTGTACAAAACAGCAACAATCTGAAGCATAAAAAATTCTGAATTACATAATCCAAATGTACCAACTCAGCCAATTCTTTGAATAGGAAAATACATTTGTTGACACATAACATGAACTCCATCTTTCTCACTGTTGTTCAAACATCCTCTTGGTTCAGCAGCTGGTGAGAGTAGATGGCATCTTCATAGTGGTATTTCTTTGCTATAGTCATGACAGACTCATAGCACCTGATTTTACTCAAAACTTTAAGTACGTCAACCACAGTGGACCTGAAACAGACAGACACAGAAGTCAAGAAAATATACAAATATTTGAAGGTAAAAAATATTTTGTGGTTTTCCTCATAATGAACGACTAAACCGAACACAAACACCAAAAAAAATCCTTTTATTTAATTATCATTTGATAGTTTTTCCTCTCACAATGGAGTCATTTTCCTACCTGGTGCTTGGATCCTCAGGACGCTGCTGTTTGCAGATATTATGCACTGTCTGAACTATGTGGTTTCTGAAATTCTGCAGTTGTGGCAAACAGACATTTTCTCCTTTGAACCATGATAGAGGCAAACAATCTGCGATCTGAGGAGAGAAGAAGTGATGTTACAAGCAGAAATTGCATCATGATCGACCACAGAGCCGACATTTAGGCGGTTAAAGGGAAATACCTTTTTGCATGCAGGGACGCTGTAATTGGACAGAGTCTGACTGCACAGGGTGATCATCAGGTATCGGTTAAGCAGTTTGTCCATCATCAGTTCCTTCAAAATGTACTCGGGAAGCAGCAGGTCCCACTTCCCAATGTTACCCAGAAGCTAAGAGAAACAGATATAATCCTAAGTGAAAACCACGTATTTGGACTTTCTTTTGTCATTATGGAAAGCTGAGGCACAAATGAAGTATGAAAAATGTTTTATGTAATACTTTTACAGCTGTCCAGAACTGCTGATCTCTGAAGAGACGCTGAAGAGATGATCGATCCTCCAAAGCCCTTGATAGAGAATCAAATGTCACAGAACACAAGCTAGGTCAGTTATTGTACAACAAAGTCACCTGATAACTGAGAACACAAGCGGTGGACATACAGGTAAAAAAAAACACTGCATACACAGTTCCTGAAAAACATTCAAATACTTATTTTTTTGAAAACACTCACTTTTTGGGATAGAGGGGGATGTAGACCTCTTCATCTACACAGCTCCTCAGCCTGTCAACAACAGCCTCCGATAATGTCTGTTTGATGGACACACGATGGACACGTTATCTATCAAACATATACCCTACTGAACTTTATAGAAACTTCAAATAATATAACATTACAGATCAGGCATAACATGCTCAATTATTTTGAAAAAAAATAAAGACTTTTTGGGGGGTCAAAAAGACAGTTTACTGTTACTACTTCAGTGCTGACTTTACCTTCACTGGTTTACTCTGATCTCCCTCAAAGATGAAATAGTCCTCTTTCAGTCTGTGACAAACAGCCACCAGACTGACCGACTGTTGGTGGGACATGGGATCCCACACCAGCTCAACAAAAGCTACAGACACACAGACAGGGTGAGTGTGATGCTGCACCACTTTTTACACATTTGTAGTTTCAAAGGAGTTTGTGAAAGAATCTCTCAAAGGCCAGTGTATGAACAGGATTAACAGTTAAAATGACACTGCGGCAGAAAAGTAAGAAGTGATTACAAAAATACATTTTATTCTTAAGAAAAAACATTGTTTTTGTGGGAAAGAGAGCAGAAATTACCAGTTATTTTGGGTAGGACGGTCTTCTCTATTATATTAGACAGTGTCTGTCTGTCGGTGTGCTCCAGCTCCACGTGGCCATGGCCATGGCAGAATGTCTCCACTGCTCTGAACCAAGGGAGGGTTTCAAAGTCTCCACTGACATCCTGAGACACAAACGTAAACATGCATTGTTCAATGAGGGAAGACAGCTGCGTGTGCCAAAGTGTGCGTTTGTTTTTTATCTGTGTTGAAGTACTTTTAAAGGGTTCCACGCCATCAACTGATGCCTGATGATTGGGTTCAGCAGCTTGGGCAGACACAGGGAGATGTAAGCGTTGTGGTAGGACTCCGAATAGGATCCTCTCCATTCTTCAAAGCGAGACAGAATCTTTTTAACATCGCAGAAGTCGTCTTGGACGTCGGAAAACACAGCCTGGGACCTGGTCTGGATATCAGCTGGTGCGAGATAGAGAGGACAGAAATTAAGACCTGGCTCACGCACTCGGCCTTAACTCTCTGAATTTTCAAGCGTGGAAAAAGACACAATAGAGAAATGTGTTGCATGGCACATTTTAAGTGTTATCAGACTTTTTACTTTGATGGAGGTGTCCTGACAAATAAAACCTGTTTGACTCTCAGTCAAACCAGCAAAGCTCACCTATTCTTTTCTGCAGTTCCTCCTCCTCCTCTGTCGATGGTTGGGTGTCCTCAGGTGTGTCACAGTCTTCAGCATCTGTCTCACTACATTTATGTGTATAAATAAATACATGTAGCAATTTTATAGTATTTACAGAACATCAACAAAGAAACCTTTTCTTATTAAAGCAAGCTCACCCTTCAATGTTGGCCCCATTGGCTGAGCTGCCACTCTGCTCATCAGTGTTATCTACAGGGAACATCCAGTGAAATGTGTGTGGGTCATCCAAAGACTATGTGTTGAACCACACTGTGCGGTTAGTTGTATTACACAAGGGAAAAAAGACGTCACTCACAGCTGAGCGGCTGCAGGTGGTCAGCCTGCTCCTTTGTCTTCTCCCGTCTCTGAGCCAACAGTGCCTCCATCTGGTCCGACCAAACAGTGTGCAACTCCAACTCCAAAGCATTGATTTCAACAATCTAAAGTCAACAAAACACTTCCATTAGCCAAACATAATATGTATTAATCATTCATTTGGAAGTTAATAAAATATTCTAAATTAACTGGCAAATAGTTAAATGTCATTTGGGATCTTTATGTATGGTGCACGCAGCATCTTGTCATCACAGGGGTGGAAAGTGAACTCGAAATGGCACACTCTAAAATATTTATGAATGACTTTATCCATAGTTTGGGAACTTTGTTTGTCTTTGTAAAAACATTCTAAGCGGTTACTTGCAGTGAATTTTCAAAAAATGAATGTTTTAAACAGCTGTTAGATATTCTGTCCTGTCTGGCAAAGAGATAAAAAAGTGTAATTGTCATATAATAATAATATCATTTACCACTAATATTATTATCAATCAGCAGTTACTTGACATATTTGCTTTTCTATCGTAGCCTCCTGGAACTGAACCAGGTAAAATAAATAAAGTCTGACCTTCTCCCGCAGACACTCCACCAGGTTGTGGATATAGAGGATCATGGTCCTGTAAAACTTCAGCTGATTCTCTGTAGAACTTTCCTCAAGCAACTCCATAGAGGCTTTAGCATTCTCGACATCCCCCTCCAGCCTCCTCAGCTCTGCCTGCCGGGCTCTGTGCACCTCCTTCAGGGAGTCCAGTCTGAGGAGAGAAACACAATGTTAAAACAGTGAAAAGCCTGTGACATGATAATTTTTGCCTAAAACACATGCCTTGCTTGGTACAACTGAGCTAAAAATGAATGTGACACGAACGCATGTCCATGATTAAATCTTTAGAAATCAACATTTTTAGTTATATTTCACAAATGAATTAATATACAAGCTATTGATTATATTGAAAGTAACATTGTAGCCAATATCATATTTCTGATATTCGAACTACCGTAATTTGATATCAAAATCATAATTAAATTCATAGACCAAGATTTCCTTTTTTATATCCGTTTAGTCAAACTGTATAGAACTACAACAGCAATAGTTAATGAACAGTTGTGTAGCAAAATAAGTTGATGATCAAATGTTAAAGGTGCCCGACATGAAACCAGTTTTTCTTATGTTAAATCATTACAACATGTAATAATATAAAGACTAACTTTCCAGAGATCCGTCTCTTGACCATCGCAACAGAAATAGATGGAAGGGTCTTTGGCACTTTAAGCAGTGCTGACTTTTTCTTAGGCTTTCCTCGGTCTCGCCTGCTGCTGCTACTGTAGCTGCTGGACTCACTGCCAGATGGACTCTGGTGAGAAATAAATCACAGGAAACAAGAACGTCAAAACAGAGGAGAGGAAAACTACTCTTCTGTCATGCTGAGTGCTACATTCCACTTTAGAGAACTGCAGGGACTAAGGGGAAAAGACTGGAGAAATGGTTCATGGGAATGTATTGTGACAACACTAACATTTTCGTGTTTTAAACAGGGGAAAAGAGAAGGAGAGAAAGTGGAGCTTCTTACCTGTTCCCCTGGTCGCCTTTTGACTCCCTTTCCAATTTGTGTCTCCTCCCAAAGTTCCTGCTCTTCCTCATCAATTTCTGAGTGACTGCCATCACTTCCTCCTGTATAACAAGAAATATATTAACAAAGCACTTAACATTGTCATTACTTATTTCAAAGAAACCATAACCATTAAGTTAGGTCAAGCATTGGGAGATTTCATTTTCATTTAATTGAGCAGACACAATTTATCACCGTTGAGGTCATGGTTGTTAAAATCTATTACATTTTTTCTCTTAAGAATGACCCAACTTTAATTAGAGCATCAAGACACTTGTATTGAGAGAAATACCCAAACAAAAGCGTTTATGCAGTTCCATATTTTCCAGACAATTTCTATCTTCACACATTCTATTCCTAAAATGTTCTAAGTGCCTTCCATGTCTGTATCTCTCATACCTAGCTTTTCTGCAATCCTCTCCCGAATGCTCTTCAATCGTGGGGCAAAGTCAATTCTTTTCTGGTGATCATCCAGTTCATCATCTGGATCATCATCATCAAATCTGTCCTCTTCATCATCCATGTTGCGGTGATCCGGAGTGCTGCCAGCCGAGCTCCGGCCATCCCGACCCAGAGGAATGTACTCTTTCTGAGATCGAGTGGCCCGACGCTTCCTCTTGGCTGCATCAATCTCTGCAGCATTAGGGATGACTACTGCTGGAAAAGGCAAATGAGCGCATGACTACACATTCATTGGCATTCAAGTGGTTCTTTTCTTTGGTATAAACAACTATAATACGCCTGCATGGTGACATACTTGTTTTAGTGGCCGAGTGGCGAGAATCAGAGTCTGAATAAGCAGAGAGAGAGCTGGGAATACTTTCTTCACTGTCACTGGCCTCCTTGTAGACATCGTTATTATCATCATCATCATCATCATCATTATCTTCATCGCCATCCTCATCACTCTGTTGAGAATGTGTTGATGTTTCATCAACATTATCACGTCTGGGAAAAGTAGATAAAGGGACCTCGCCGCCACCTGGGGGGAAAAGAACAGTCAGAGATGTGCCAACCATAACTCATATCCTGATGCAGATGAGTGAGGAGATATAAATATTTTAAGATGGTCAACTGAAGATAATTTGAGGACACAAGAGGACATACACAAAGTGGAAAAAAACACTGCATTGTCCATACACCAACCTTTTCTATGGACGGTCTTGACAGGTGGGGCCACCTTCTTTCTTGCTTGGAACAGCACCGTTTTATAGGTGGATTTCTTGAGTTTAAAAGTTGACTCTTCAGCTATGACAGCAAAAATAAAGCAGATACAACAGATCGCATTGAACTACCAGAAACAGAGACCTGCCTGGCAGCCGACATAAGCGTAAGAAGTATGGCACGTATGTAATAATGCCATAACAAAGGCTCAGAGCAAAAAAACTTCGCCAGCCCTGTGTCTTCCTTGATTTGCAAGACCGATCTATCCACAACACCCTCCCTGTTGATTGATTCTTTCACTTCTAACGTTGCTCTGACGTTTGTTACCACCAGCCAGTTGCTGAAATCAGCCATGGGGTAAAAACGTCTTAACCCTATAATCATACACATTACCTTCTTTATCATCAGAGAAACTAAGGATGGCGTTTGTTTTCTTCTTCGTTCCATCTATGTCCCCCTCTTCTTTTTCTTCTGTAATTTCCAGAGTCTCCCCGTCGTCTTCGCTGCTACTATCCGCCTCCGGAGGCGTCGTCTCCCGCTTGGAGCTACAAGATATGCCGCGGCCCTGTGCCGTTTTAATTGGCTTGTTTATCGCTAACGTGGCATCCTCGGTTTTATCTCCCTCTCCGCTATTCTTCTGCTGATCTTCCTCATCACTAGAACTCTCTTTCCTCTGTCGAAAGTTTCTTCGCGGCTTCTTGTTGAACATTTTTTCTATTTACCCGAGTAGCTTGGTGAGCGAAAGCAAACCGCGGTACGTCACCTCACAAAACGCTGTAAAACGTCGCAAACCGCCGCAAAGACCTGTGGATAATGTAGTGGCTTGTAGTTACAGTTAATGAAAGTTGTGTGTTGTGTGGTGTGGTGTGTATGTGTTTGTACAGATGTACACTATTATTTTAGAAAATGTACATTAAATTAATAACTACAAGAAATATAGTTTACAGTTTATGTAGTCTGTCAGGCCACGTTTGCTGGAGTCACCCACAAAGTACCTATTAAATGAATGTAATGAAATAAAACTACCAGAGATATCAAGACCAAATGCACTGGGAACAGCTCCCCCATCCCTATGTTGTAATGGACACCTTTTAAGTTATTTTACACATTTGCTGTGTTGTTTTTGTTTTCCTGGTCCTATATTGTATCTGTTCTGTACAAGAACCAGAGGCTGAGCATAAAGTGTATAACTCTGCCTCAAGTCAGGGAAAATGTGTTTGATTGTAACGTTCTAATTAGTGGTGCTTTTCGTTCTTGCTGTTTAAACTTTTAATCTTTTTTTGTGTGTGTGATTCTTTGCCTTAAACAGAAAGCTTGTAACGTGTTTTACTCATTTTCTTTCGCTATTGGGTTTCTAAATTCAAAAGGTATCCAGGTGTTGTCAATCTCTGTTTAATTGGATGGTAGCATTAGATTACAGTGACAGTCAAAACCGAACAATACGCGATAACAATGAACTTCGTTTCCTGTTTTGCCACCTTTAGTTATGTTTCAGCATTTCTCCTATCAATTGGAGTCCCCCTTCCATCTCTCTTTACTTTTATCCCTGCCTCTCTCCGTCTCTCCTCCCACTGGACGGTCGGACGTTAACAGCGCCCCGCAGTCTCCCTCTGGTGATCACTCCTCGTCAGCCATGTTGTTGGTGTGACACACCAAGCTGTCAGCAACAGGTTCTCAGAGTACAAATGTGGCAAAAACTCAACATTTCTCCTACAAGAGAAACTCTTCGAGGACACTAACTTTGCCTGTGTATCCCGGAAGCCGTCCAGAAGGGGTGGGTGATCATTTCTAACGACCCGAGAGCCCAGAAGTTGGCGTATTTTTTTTTAGTGCGACGAGAGAGGTAAGCAAAAGAAACTGCTTATCTAAGCATGAGTGTAAGTTTGATATTGTGACGGGAAAACATCTGGAGGCTGACTATCTGTTTTCGCACACGTCCTTAATGTAAGTTGGCCTTGTGTTTTTTGGTTTTGTGCCTTTTACCGACCCGGGATGTGTAAGGGAAAGCGGTCTTTGAAAGGGGTGATGCTCCTCTGCTGGCCACAAAACACGCCGTGTTCAGGTTAGCTAGCTCAGTCAAGTTTCCATTCGTTCTTAGGTGAGCGGATACACGCATAGGTGGGGTGTTTGTGGTTACTCCTGTAAGGCGAGACTATAGTCGAAAAGTTAGCAAAGGCAGATTTGCCGGAAAGTCTCCAAAAATTCCTCTCGGGTCAAACTTGTCGAGCAGGTTGCAGGCAGGGCTCACTGGGTGACAAGTGATCAGGGAATGTAACTCTATCAGTTCATCTGCAGACACATAGAAGCCATAAGATCCCTCAGAGGCTGTGCAGAAAGAAAACCTCTACAGAGTCAAACAGCTGATATTTTGGCCTATTGTGTGCTCTCCCTTTGTGGGACCCAGTTGTCCAAAGTGACACAATCGGAGGCGGCAGAGGGGCAGAACCTTTTCCATATCCAGGACACCTACAATTAGACAGGTATTAAAGACCCATTTGTATTTTTTGTTTTTAATACCCCTTAAAATTATAGACTTACCTTTTTAAAAAAGCTCAAAAGAGCCTTACATGTCATGGTAGGGGTGTAGTCTTCAGTGTAAATTACCTTAGAATTGCAATGATCAGCTGAGACACCCTAACTGTGGTGTTTGTATTGTTTTGATTCATAATTTGACCCTAATACTGGGACCTGTGTGGTCCACCTTGTGGTAGATATGATTACTGGCCTAGGGTTAGTTAATCAGAAAGATGACTCAGGTTTTCTCTTACTACTTGTTTGTGTCAAACTTCAGCTTGGATAATAATGACATACTCACAGGCCCACAGTTTTCTGATGTCAACATCAGAAAACGGATGACGGTCGTCATGCGCCCATTTGACGGTTGAATATCAAAGCAGTCTGATCATATTACAATGTATGTACACATAAGGGTGGGTCCTAGCAGACTAAAGCAGGAAGAGGCATGCTTTACCTCTTAAGAAAACAAAACCCAGCACTTCAAACAAAGTTAAATCAAACCCATTCTAAAACAGTCTAAATGTTCCAACTGGGTGAGGTGCTTAGCAAATGGAAGGGTTGCTGTAGAGTATCTTTTTAAGGCAGTTTGGAAGCTGGAACCAAATTATCACACAAAATAGGAAATTGAAAAGACTGGGAGCTTGAAGCTGAAAGAGACAAACAGCGAAAGGAAGAGAGTCGTGAGCTGTGGTTGGAGTTGAAGTCATCGGTGTGAGCTGGATTTGGTTCTGAGCAGAGGTGAGATATCAGCATGTGTGGAATTGTTTGGGCACACAGATGAATGATGAAAACGTTGTTTTTTTTTTGTTTGTTTTTTTAAACAATTGTCACTGAAATAGTGGTAAAATGATTAAATAATTACATAAAAAAAATCCCCAAATAGTTATTTTCTTAGTTTTTTTGTCTTCTTGGGCAAATGTCTGAAGTTTTAGTGGCAGCATGTTTATAAAAAAAAAAAGTGCTCTCTGAGCAGTGCATAAAGACTGATAGATGAAAGACAGTAAAACCCCAGTTTTCATAGCTTTAACTTCTACAGGTTAGGTCAGAGGCTGCTAAGCTATTTATCCAACAGCTCTCAGTGTTGTGTGTATATAATAAACAAAGACACAAGCGCCCCAGTCTCTCAGACCTGTCCTAAGCACAGCTGAAGCAGGTGAGCGCTGACTGTCTGCTTTAGGCCATACATTAAAAGACCCCCCTCCCCCTGAGGAGGCGGGGTCTTTGTTACACCACCAAACTCCACACAAGTGTAATCACACAAGAAGGGCTTTTAGTTTACCTCAAAAATAATTTACCGAAGTCATTTACATAAACCGAGTTACATGTCACTGACAAAACGAGTGTATGTGAACGTCTGTTACACAAAGTGTTGACTGTTAGTGGATGAATATCTTGTAGACTTGAATGCTTCATAGTTGCTGCATGACGACTAAAGATCTGTTTCATAAGTGACAGGTTGGGTGCAAGCATGAGTCATTTCTATTTATGTGCTGGACCATGACTACAGCAATGGGACTACCACATATGTGTTGGTAGCAGAATTCCCTGCTCCGTTGTCAGGATGGACCATTAGACCAGTGTGATACCTTATGATGGGGCTCAGTGTGTGCCCCATAGTGTGTGCATTTGTCAGTGTGCTGTGGTCCAGGTCATCAGAAGGAGTGTGCAAGGCTCTACAGGTGACCCAGTGATTTGTCAGCTGACTTGATTTGTTGTACCCACGTGTAGGATGCCTTTATTTGTGGCCGCTTCTAGTCTGAATATCTCCATGAAGCAGACTTTGCAAAACATCAACGAAGGGATGGGCAGCTCTCAGCTGGAATGAGATATTATTCTTACACTGTCTAAGGATTTTCAATCCGTATTACTTTCACCATTCCAGTTGTTGTGGAAAACAAGAATCATTGATCATATTGATATGTTTTCTTTCATTTGGAAACCAGTTTTATTTTTTATCAAAACGAACACTTGTCCCATGTATCACCCTAGACAAATGGAGGTCAAAAGGCATCCCGGCTGTTTTTGAGTCCCTGTTGTCATGCACAATTGAAGACATGACAGTGTCTAACATTTGAACCCAGTATCTTAACCATACAATGTGATTTTAGACCTTCAAACATAAAAACGCTTAGCAGATTTGAATGTTATGTGGACCTATATATATCAAAAGTAAGTGGATTACTTTGCCTGTAAAAGTTGTCTTGTTGCTACTCTCTGCATGTATGATTGTATCATAATCAAAGCACAGCATTCATTCACAGATGCTGTTCCTCAGTGTTTGTCCTTGCCCTATTTTGTGTTGGTTTTAGAAGGGCCTGCGTCACTGGTGAAGCACACATACGTTTCCATGTAAGATGGAACTCTAGTAGCCAGGTATTGACCTCATGTGGGGGAGGACTTCGGAAACGATTTTGCATGAGGTTTGCAAAACTGACGTTGCTACTGAAGTCAGTCGTTCAGTGGGTTAGGCCACCAGGAAGATTCCTCTCACTCTGGAAACACTAAACCTTAAAGCAAACGGCTTGCTGCTATCTTTCATTTATTCATTGAAATTCCTGCAGTGTAACATTACAAGAGGTTACATTCCTGTTTTGGCCTCAGTACCTGCATATGTGACTGATGCTGATTTCTGTTCATTTCTGCCATCATATGGGGAGTTTGAGTGTGAGCCATTCATCTGCTAAGGGGCTTCATGTTTGTGTAAACTGGGGTATCTAGCAGCGGTGACCTTGTTTAACCGCCACATAATCGTGTGAAGACAGAGACCAGGTAATGATGCAGAAAGAGGATGTAGAAGCTGAAAAATCACTATCATAGAGCACCTTTTAATGGATAGTGAGAACCACCATTCATTTGTTCTCTGCATATACTATTCACAAGGATCCTAGATCCCATGACTGAGAACAGGTGATTTGAAATGGCTGTAGACATCTTGTTTGTTGAAAAACTTGAAGGGTTTAACCAGACTATGTCCCATGGATCTGGAAGAAAAACCATAAAGCCTTTCAAGTGAGGTGATTCCCAATTTTGTTACCAAATATTTTATACAGGGGACCTATGTGGAGAAATTATGTTTAAAAGTTCTCCGTAGAGAAAACATCTGAAACTACCACAAAGTTTGATTTGAGAGTTTGTCATATTAGTTATGTTAATGGAATTTGAAATAAAAAACAAAATCATTTATTGGGGACCTCGGCCTTTGGAAGAAAGAAAGCTACTTTTTATACGTTACTCTGTGAAACGTTTAACATGTTGAAAAAAGGGTAAAATTGGGGAATGTCTGATCACATCTTCATGTCTGTTGTGGTTTTCCATAGAACCAGTGGAATACGAATCCTTAAATAGATTGTAAAGTATATTTAAGAGTGAAAACAACTGTCCAATGAAAGAAAGACAAGAAACTGAAGAAGGGGCCTGACAGAGGAGGGATGAGAAGGGAGAGATGCAGAGTGGCAGATGGCAGACAGCAGATTAGCGCTCCCTTGCTGTTTTAGGCCCCTCTTGAGCGCATCAGTCAGACCTTTCTCCTTATTTCTGCCTCATTCTTTTTCTTCTACACAAACATCTAATCAACAGACGCCTTGGTGATCAGCATTAGTCCTAAAAATACCCTGTCCGGCTGATATTTGCTGCCCCGGTACCGGCCGTTGCTCTAGTGCTAACAAATTTCCTGAGGCATCAAAGCTTTTAGTGTTCTTAAGTCCATCACTTCCAGTCAGCTGACGTTTGATGAGGAAATGCTTATGCTGTGCAGTGCAGGAAGTGCTGAGCAGAAAGGTTGGAATTTCTCTCCTCCTTTTTCCTCCTCCAGCGTCATCACGTGAGTCTGACTCGCTGACAGCAGAGAGATAAAGGCAGAGGAAGCAGGTGTTTAGCCTGCGCTCAATAAAGTCGGTATAAAAGCTGAGAAAACAAAGCCACAGCCTTAATCAGTACCAGGTTGTGTGTGTGGGGATCTGATTCTACAATATATCTTTTCACATTATTTTCTGCTCATGTTAAAGTTTTGGTCCTCAGAATTCCTCTGTATTGCCCTGTTTGTCCTCATCTGTGAAATCCTGCCACACAAGCTCTTCGTTCCAAAAAATGTTGCCTATGTAAATAAGGAGCTATTTTCCTGTCTTTAGTCAGGCAGAAGATTGATGATATACCAGCAAAGGCAACAAACCACAATGTTCTTGTGATGGCAAAGACCAAGTGTATGCTTAATTTATTCTGCGCCTTGTTATGACCAACCACAAGCTTCCTCCCAGCCATGCCAGCAACACTGCTGCTTACATTTAAGTTGTTATACAGGTGCTCTTTGAACTCTTGAACTCTATTCAGATTTTTACAGATCTGACATTTATTAAACATCCTTCAAGTTTGTGATTAAGCCCCTAGGTTTTTAAAGAAAGTTGGGACACAACGGAATACAGTGATTTATTAATCCCATTGTTCTATATGAGCTTGGTCAAAGTAGTTTACACACAAAAAAATATATATAGTATGGGAAAATATTTTAAATGTAGAAAAAAAAGACTACTTTAAGGGATCAGATGCGCAGACCCTAAAAACCGTGAAACCCACTCAGACCAGCAGACAAGCTAAAAAGGGTTGAACTCTGAAAGGATTTTCTTTTTCTTTTTCTGTCTGCCTTACATGTGAGGAAACAAGATATTCTCAAATGGTGGTCATGCTGTGAAAGGATGATGTTTAAAGGATCCCAGAGGGTTACAATAAATGTTTGCTGGTCATCTGCAGAAACAGTACCTGAAATGGTTGTAGACATACATTTCTTTCCAAACCACAAATAACAACTTGTTTGTGTTAAAAGGTCTTAGATAATCCAAGCAGTTGATGTCTGACAGACTTTGCCCTTTTTAAAAGAAAAAGAAATTATCAAAATTCTCAAAGATTAGCGGTGTTGTAAATCCAGCTGTCAGTGCTAGATTTGCACACAGCTCTAAAGTCCTCTGGGGTATATATTTTTTTCTAAACTGATAATAAACCCAGATCCTAGTCTGTTGCTTAAAACATGTTCATGCAAGACAAGGCTGATTTCCACACTCATTCATGACTCAACACGAGCTGTGTTAAGAGACGATGGCCCAATCTTTGAAAAATGGATGTTTAAGGTTGCAGGAAAACAGGGTTCTAAGAAACTTTTGTTGATAGCTGAATGAAAGGTAGTGCGAGTCCACAGATTTTGTCCATAATTGAATATTTAAACATTTTGAGTCTCCTTTTTTGGTTGCCAAAAAAGTGCAAATACTTGATGATTTCCAAATGCATCTGAACTGTAATGTTTTTTCTTTGAATCCTTTTTCATCATGATGCCTCACAAAGGGCAGCTGGTGAGGCTTCAAATAAATGAACTAATGAATTATGCAAGTACCGCATTTGTCTGTTTATTACCTCTAGTAGGTAGTAGTTGGGTACTGTTGGCCTAATGTCAGTTCTCATGCAAACACTGGCTCATCTGTTTTGAACATGAGATTTTAACATCACTGGCAAGTTGCATTATCACAAGTTTAAATAACTGTGTTTATCTTCTCAGTGTTGAGGGGTTGTTGGTGTTAAATGAACAGGAATGCTACAGAACATTCAATCATCAAACAATAAGTTTCTTTCAGACAATATTTCTGGGGACCAGCAGGATGTGTTCAGCTTAGTGCTAAAAGTGTGGAGCATTTGTAGACAAAAAAGTTTGTCTGTTTAGCTTGTCTGGTGTTTGGTGCCCTGCTCTCTGACCATCACAGTCAGTATAGATGGTGATGAACAAGCCTCAGTGCTTTAAAAGGTTTGGGACGTAGCCAGGCTGCCTCTGAGTGAAGCGAACAGGAGAAGCCCTGTTTACGACTGCTGACTGACCATAATCTCTCTCTCTCTCTCTCTCTCTCTCTCTCTCTCTCTCTGGTCTTTCTCCCTCCCTTTTTCTCTCGGTCAGAGCTCAGCTGCAGTATCGACTGATGACTGACTGTGGCTCTGTGTTTTGCAGATGGCTGTGAGCAGTAGCTGAGGACACCACTGGAAGGTCTCAACTTGCAAATATGAATGGTAAGAATGGTGTGTGTGTGTGTGAAGGAGGGGTTAAGTGTGTGTGTGTGTGTGTGTGTGTTAGGCATCAGAGTACAAAATAAGGGAGGTTTTGTTTCTTTTTTTCTTTTGAGCCCAACACAGTGCCACTTTTTGTTAGAAGCACCAAATTCATCCCAGTGAAGCACACACTAGTTCAGTAATTATTTGTTTGTGTCCTCCCTGAACCAGCTCTTTTGTCGCACTGCTTTAAGCTCGGCAGTGATCTGTATTCATTTTAAACTTTTAGGCCTGAAGTTGCAGTAATGCTTTGTTTTCCTGATAACTGACCACTGTGTTCCTGTTTTTCTTTCTGATCATGGAATAAATACTGTCGTATGTTCAGCCATGACTGTTTAAATACTAATGAAAGGTGTGAGGTTGCACTGTCCTCCTGCAACAGCCGGTCAATATCGTAGCATTGCCAGCCTCTGACTACTACCCTGGATGGCCTTGGGGAACTTCCTCATCTTTTGTTACTCTTGCTGGGACTCTCCTTTTCCTGGCTGTTTTTTTAATAGAATAACTATGTAAACATGGAAACCCTAGGCTTATTTGCCTGGCTCAGTTCTAAATTCTCTTGGTATAATTTGCACTGATTGTACACAATAAAATCAAAGCATATTTTCCCCATCTCAAGCAGCAGGTTCATGTAGAAAGACTAAATTGTCGGCAAATTTCTGACTAGGATATTTCTTTTTGATACTACTATTCTATTCAGGTTATGTATTTGCATTTAGCATTTCTGAAGCCTCTGATTTTGTTTTCATGTTTAGGGGGTCCAGGTATATGGGCAATCTCCCCAGAGGAGCGGAACAAACATGATCAGAAGTTTGACACCCTCTCCCCATCAATGGGCTATGTCTCAGGTGCTCACATTTACACACTCTACTACATAGCTGTATATTCGATTGTCTAGTATTCACCATAACAATTTTCGTCATTTTATTTTCTTTATTTGTTTTATGTTTATATTTTTTTATCTTATTTCTTCTCTATTTTTCTACAGGAGAGCAGGCAAGGAAGTTTTTCCTCCAGTCAGGGCTGCCTGCCTCTGTGTTGGCTAACATATGGTAAGAAAACGTCTAACACTTTTTGTTAGACTTTGTAGAAAGATTACAATAACATTGTAAAGTCTGGTTTCTCAATGCCAGTTTTATTGTGTGGTCTTTCTTCCATCTCCAGGACTCTGGCTGACTTGAATAAAGATGGAAAGATGGACCGACTGGAGTTTTCTATTGCTATGAAGCTCATAAAGCTGAAACTCCAGGGCACACAGCTTCCCTCAGCACTGCCAATCATCATGAAACAGCCTCCAGTGCCGGCCCCTAGTCTAATTAATCCCACCTCATCCATGTCGAGCCCTGCATATGGTACACTTTTTTTATGTATTATTAAAAAATGCCCTGTTGATGGGATACAGTTTCTAAAGTGATTATATCCTTCAGCATTTAGTCATATTGTACAAAAAAAGTGCACAACAGCAAATATGAAAGATTAGGCAACTAAAGGTTTATGACTTTACAATCTCAACATGTGGCTCATTTTAGACAACTAATGAGGATCTAACTACTTTCTAATAATGTTTTTGCCCCCTGTCTCACCTAAACTGGTGTATCAATATTTGTTTGTCCTAGGGATTGGTTCTTTGCCCATGATGCCTGGAGTGAACCTTGCCATGTTAACTCCTATCCCCATGGCAACCTCTGGTCTCTCACCTATGACACCAATGACTGGCCTCAGCCCTTTAGTTCCTATGTCAACGGGTTTGAACCCTTTAATATCCTCAACTCCCACTAGACCCCTTGTGCCCTCTGTCGGGACAACTGCACTATCCAATGGCAGCCTGGGAATTCTCCAGCCAATCCCCACTGGATCTTTTGCAACTGGTACATATATCATCATCTTATTTACTTATCATCGTTATTAGACCACCAGCACATAAGATTTTACTGGGTCAAAGCAGAAGCAGGATCTTAAGGCTGACTCTGGCTGTACAGGCCTCTTTAACTTTCAAGACTAGAGATATTGACACAAAGAGGGTGCCAACATTTCAATGTGTTAAATGAAAATGTGTCAGAAAAGTTCTAAGAGCCTGTAGAAAAGCATGTAATCTGTTTGTGTGTATGTGTGTGTGCGCTATCCAGCCCTACCTCTGTCTGCAACCTCATACTCCTCTCAACTTGGACTCTCCTCTTCACTTGGTGGTGTTAATAAGACTCCATCGCTGCTTGACCTGGCATCAGCGAGGTAAAAAAAAGTCTGCCTTTTTGCGCAATCACTGCTGTATGTAATTTTTATGGTGTTCTTAAAGATGGCAAACTTTAACAATGAGTTCTGGTCTATTCAGTTCTGCCTCCTCGTCTCCCTCTGGGATGTCCCCCATGGCTGCTGTTCCCAGTGACTGGGCTGTGCCTCATGCCTCTAGACTGAAATACAGACAGCAGTTCAACAGCTTGGATAAGCAGATGACTGGATACCTCACAGGTATGATGTGTTGACTTCTGTGTGTGAGCATGGACAGTTTACAATGGTCTTAAAAGTCAGAGGTGAGCAGAGAGAGGGTTTGGCATTAATGTACAACGGTTGCTAGCTACATTGTAACAGTTGCCAACCTTTTTCCTTTAACGTGTTCAAAGCTTTAGTAAAGTCAGAGGAAGTAGGTGTGTTCAAACACAGGAATGGTTTCTCAACACGCATATACACAGCAGCATGCTCCTTTGTCTTCTTGTTTTGCAAGCCTTGTCAGACCTGTTCTATCGAAAATCCAAGATTTAGTGAAATGAAAACTGCTCACAAGCTTACATGCTCTCATTCTTGTTCATAATTCAGTCATAGCTTGTTTTAGCTTGTTCCAGTTTCTGGCTTCAATGATAAATCACACCTTTAGGTACATACCGGGGCTTTCCCTTTCTACTCTTCATATACTCTTGAAATAATGGGGTTTTAATGGATTTTGATGTCAGAGTTGAGATTTCGTCCACATCACATGCATCTGTCCCACACAGCCCTTCTGACATTTGTAACTTATATTTGCAGGTCAGCAGGTGAGAGGTCCTATGGCGACCACAATGCTGACACAAACCCAGCTAGCATCCATCTGGTGAGAATATCACATTATTGGTACATGTCCTGTCATTTGTGCTGAGCTCCAGAGTGGGAAAAACAGCTATAGTTTATGATTTGTTTATTTATAGCTGAAATCTTATAAATACCCCAAATATATTTTTATTGACTAAATCTTGAGACACTCTACATGACTGGAAACATCCATCCCTATATCAGTGCATGACATTATACATCCATTATACAGGGTTCAGTGCAAATCCAACTTTATATGCTGACAGAAAATTAGATAGTTATTGCTTCACTGCATAAGGCCACGTTAATAGCATCAATTTAGTATATTTTAGCCTTTTAGTGTAGACAAGTATAGGTAGATAAGAAGTTGTAACATGAATTGCAAGAAAACAACACTCTTATTTTACATTTCAACATTCAGAGGTGATCAACTAAAGTCAAGTGCATAATCTTGAATTTACAAATGTGTAAACTACCTGCAGGAATTTATCTGATGTGGATAAAGATGGTAAACTGAAGGCTGAAGAGTTTATTCTGGCAATGCATCTAGTGGACATGGCAAAGAGTGGACAGCCACTGCCACTAATGCTGCCAGCTGAGCTGGTACCACCCGCACAAAGGTAAGTGGACATGGTAAAAACAAAAATAATTATTCTTTAGGTCTGGGCTTAATTTCATGCTGTAAAAATGGACTAAATCTGTATCTCTGTTCATAATATATTTCAGTATTGATGTGCACTGAGCATTCAGAGATTTTCTTTTCAAACTGTGTTGCAGGAGTGCACTCAATGGCTCCAGCTCTTCTCTCTATGCAGCTCTGACTGATGACCTGGACTTAGAACCTCCACAGAAAACCAAAACCAACCGTCAGTACACACTCCTCTAACCGAACATACAGAGAGTTTAACTGCTGCAACAGCTGTGCAGTTGTCAAACCTGATGTTTATTGTTGCACATGCACTGGCAACTTCAGTTATGAAAGCATAAACTAACATATTGTAGCCACCGGTCGCTTTGTCTGATCTACAGTGATATACAGGGTGGTGGCAGCTTCAGTGAGAAAGTAAATCAGATGTTTTGAAGTTACGTTGCTATATCCCCTTAACCCTCTACACTCAACATCCCATTCATTTGTTATTGTTCTTCAGTGACTTTATTTCTCACTTACATCCTAATCTTTTACCATTCATTTATGTCTGATTTAAACTCAAACTCTCCAAAAAGTAATCAGTGTTTTCATAGTATTTTCTAACCATCACCATTGAGAGTGCATTTAACTTTGCTTTTTGTATGCTCAGTTTCATTTGAGGATAAATTCAAAGCCAACATGGAGCGAGGCAATGCTGAGCTGGAGAAGAGACGACTGGCTCTGCTGGAGGCAGAGAGGAGGGAGCAGGAACGACGAGCTCAGAAGGAGAGGGAAGAACGAGAGAAGATAGAGAGAGAAGCTCGGGAGGCTGAGGAGAGAAGGAGGAAAGAGGAGGAGAGGAGGCTGGAGCTACAGAGAGAACTGGAGAGACAGAGAGAGGAAGAGAGACAGAGAGAGATCGAAAAAAAAGAGGTGAAGAGAACATGTTACAGATGTGGTGGGACAGTGCTGAGAGATACATCCCACTGTAGCACGTTTCCCTTACTGGGCACCACTGTTTATTCCAGGCTGCCCAACGAGAACTGGAGCGCCAGAGGAAGGAGGAAGAGACGAGGCGGAAGAGATGTGACCTGCAGATAAAGAAGGAGCAGGAACAGGATGAGATCATCAAACTGAAGGCCAAGAAGAGAAGTCTGGAGATGGAGCTGGAGGCAGTGGTGAGTGCTGCAACTCATACAGAGGACATTTTTCCAACTTCATGCAGCCAAACTTATTCTTCTGACTTTCTCTACCTCAGGGTAACAAACACCGTCAGATTTTGGACAGACTGCGTGATGTTCACAACAAGAAGAAGCTTCAGAGGACAGAGCTGGATCTGAGTAGTCAAAGGAAGGAAGCCCGTCAACAGGACCTTTATAACATGCAGAAACAGCTTGAGGTCTGTGGGGCCGAGTTACTTTCTTTGGGTTTAGCTTGGCCACTTTTATTCTCTTCCAATACAGTTTAATTGTGGCAAAGGGGCATATATCATGCCATTAATGCATAGTTACAGTGATTTATGCATCTGGTTCTAGCTGTCTTTGCAAGATGTACATTTTGCTAATGATATGTATTTATTTTTTTGCATTTCCATTTGGTCAGGAGTTCCAGAGAAAGTTGTCCCACTTGACACCAGAACAGAAGAAACTAGCAGAGAAGCTGAGAAGCATGGGTCTTAATAACATACCTGGTTAGTATGGAGACATGAGGGGACAGAATGATCATATATTATTATAACAGACAGACAAGTTTAACAGGTCGTGATAGCTAAAATACATCTCAATGTGTTTAATTTAATACCAATCGTATAATACACAGTAACCAAAAAAACAGTTCTCTATTAGTTTACATTATTTCTTCTCTTTGTAGTTTCAACTATATCCACCTTGAAAGTGGGTGTTACAGAGAAGAGAGGAGTATGCATCAAACTGCAAGAGCAGCTGGAAGCCCTAGAGAAGGAGACTGCTGCCAAACTCACTGAGATGGACCGCTACAACAAAGATGTGCAGGTAGGGATTTATATTAGCATGGTTTTATTAAACAAGCAGCAAATTGTACATCAACATTTTACTTCTTAATTCACTCGATGCATCTGTTTATCCAGATATTCCATCTAACTCTTAAATGTGTGCAGATTGTCATCATTTTTAACATCAGATATTAACAGAGCACATAAACTGAACAATAAAGCATTTTACAGGTTGCAAATAAGTCAATTGTTTTTATTTGTCTTTTTTAGTTACAGAATATGTATTTTGAAATGTGAACCTTTACCATAAAGCTACTGTAAAATGAAATGATCTCCTCTTCACTTCCAAAAATGTTTTACTCGCTGAGTACCATGCCTTGAGGCCTTATTTCTTCTTTCCTCATCCCCTCTCAAAATCTCTATCCACACTAATTTCAACCATTTGTTATTTTTCACTTCTGTTTCTCTCCACTGGACCCTACGTCTTTTGGGAGAATGGCTCCTCTCTCCTACACTGGCGCCTTCTTTCCCATCCCATATTCCCTCTTTACAGTTTCTGGGTGCTGAGGACCCAAAGCTTCAGGCTGTCTTCTGTCTACTGGCCTGCCTCCGTAACCTCTTCTACTTACTAAAGGTTTTCGCTTTAGGTCTCTTTGAAGTTCTTCTATTTTCTCTTCTTTTGGCCCTATGTAAAGTTGTCTACATTTCTGTATCTTATTTTCGGTTCCCTGTTCTTTGTTACTCCTAAACCTCATGCTGGATATTGGCAGCTATTTGTTTTTGCATGTTGCTTTTTTGGTTGTCCTTGGCCTTATGTCTGGTTGGTATTTAATCTTTGTCTTATTCTGCATCCTTGACCTTGATAGTGAAAGTGTGAGCACCTCTTTTGCTCTTCAGGAGCTGAGAGAAAGCCAAAGAAAGCAGCAGGAAGCCCTAGAGAAACTGAGGAGCATCAAAACAGACAAGCAGCGTGAGCTGATTCGGCGGAAAGAAGAGGAGGAGAAGAAACGTCTGGAGGAGGAAAGGAAGCAGAAGGAAGAGGAGGAGGCTCAAAGGTACTGTCCTGCAAAAGTTAGGCTTACCAGTTCAACAAGAAACCAAGCTTGAATAACTCCAGAATAATAAATAAATGAATAAAAGATGCTTTTACCCTCTCACAGGCGTATTAAAATGGAAAAGGAGCGTCAGTGGCAAGAGAAGCTGAGGAGAGATGAAGAGGAGCGTCAGAAGAGGCTTCAGGAGGAAAGGGAGGCCAAACAGAGGGAGGAAGAGGAGAGAGAAAGACAGGCTCTTGTTAAGGCTGCCAGGGAGCAGGCCGAACGAGAGCTCAGAGCAAAGGAGGAGGCAGAGAGAAAGAGAAGAGAGGAGGAGGAGAGAAAGAAAAGAGAAGAGGAGGAACGTCTGAGGCAAGCAGAGAGGCGCAGGCAGGAGGAGGAGAGGAGAAAACTGGAAGAAGAGAGGAAGCAGCTTGAACAAGAGAGGAGGAAGTTAGAGGAGGAGAGGAGGAAAGAAGAGAGACGAAGGGAAGAGGAGCGACGCAGAAAGGAGGAGGAGAGGAAGAGGTTAGAGGAGGAAAATAGGCGAGAGAGGGAGGAGGAGGAGAGGAGGAGACAAAGAGCCGCTGAAGCTGCTCTCCGAGATGCTGAGGAGAGGAAGAGGCTAGAAGAGGAGGAGAGAAAGAGGAGGCAAGAGGAAGAAAGACGGAAGAAAGAAGAGGAGGACAGGAGGAAGCGGGAGGAAGAGAGGAGAAGAATTCAGCAGCAGCAAGAGGAGGAGAGGAGGAGCCGTGAGGAAGACAGGAAAAGGGCAGATGAGGAGAGGAAGAGAAAGGAAGTGGAAGAGGAGAGGAGGAAGGCTGATGAAGAAAGAAAAAAGAAGGCGGAGGCATCTCGTCAGCAGCAGCCAAATGGAGGGAAGGTGGATATTCAGGAGAAGCTGACGGCTCTGCTGAGAGGGCTGGAGGAGAGGAAGGGTAACGCACACACTAACGCTTCATTTCAAACTTTCCTGCTCCTCTGTGTCGGTTTTGGTTTTCATGTTGCTAAAACACAGTTCAAATTAATTCTGTGTGACCCTCATGTGCTACTTCAGGTGGGCAACCAAGGGCCAGACAGCACAGGAAGTCGGCCTCTCTCACATCCTTCAGAGCACTTTACCCCTTCACTGCTCGAAACAACGAAGAGCTCAGCTTCACTGCAGAGGATATAATTGAGGTAAGAACTGCCGTCTCTCATGTCAGACCTCAGATTTTTAACCTCGGGTCTTTGCTTCTTTTCATCAGGTTGTCTTTCTTCCTGATTAAATAAAATCACCTCTTCTGACAAACGCGCCTGTTTCCTTGTCAGGTTGATGAAACAACAGAGCGAGAGGAGGGCTGGCTGTACGGCAGCAAACAGGGGAAGATGGGCTGGTTCCCTGAGAGCTACGTTGAGAAAATAACCACACCAGACACCAGCAATAAGACAGCTGCTGCTCCCCCTAAGCTGCCGCTACAGTCACAGCTTTCCAGTGCCCTCGAAGCTGCTAAGGTGGCAGGCACAAAGTCTGCTTTCACACCAACACACTCCCCAAACCCTGCACCCCTTGAGACACATGGACAGGTGAGGGACGCACAAACAAGCAGCTTCCTCTCTCTCCCCACATTTTGAATATTGTCTGTGAATTTCCATTGTCTCTGTCAGCAGGTGGTGGGTAACCTGCTGGCTCAGGCTCTGTGTTCCTGGACAGCAAAGACAGACAGCCATCTGAACTTCAATAAGGACGATGTAATTCACGTGTTGGAGCAGCAGGAGAACTGGTGGCTGGGAGAGTTGAACGGTGAACAGGGCTGGTTCCCCAAAACATATGTGAAGCTGCTGGGAGAAGAGGAGGCCTCGGAGTACGTACATATTTATACTATTATACACTGGAATGAAACTTACAGGAGAGAGAAACTTTGTATCTCTGAGAATTTTTTTGTTAAATACTTTTGTGTACAAGTGTTTCATTTACTCTGATACTTAATACTCCTGGGTAACTTCAGCTACCAGTTTTTATATATTTATTATGATATGCTGAAGAATTTGCAGGGCAGTACCTGTAAACACTACCAGACCGCACATAAAAGCTTTAGCTGCAGCCTGGTGGTGCTTGAGTGTCCAATAATTTGGATCATCACCTACAAAGCTGCTCTTTAAAAAAATAATGATAATTATACTTACAGCACATGTTTGTCTGCCTTTCCATAACAACTTATGTTGGAACTTTGAGATGCCTTTATCTCAAGTCAATTGTAACAGATGTGGTAATACTTCTAATATAAAAGGTATGCAGGCCACACAAAGCAATTGTTCCCTTTTCATGATGGTGTGTTAAAACACTTACCATCTATGTGATGTTATCACAGACTCAGTCAAAATGTCCCTGTTCTAGTCTCCCTGCCAGAGCTCTTTTGTGCCTTCGACAGTAGCTGATGTTTTAGAAGGGGGGGCGTATGTGCAAAGAAACTGCTTTTATACTAAATCACAAATCTAAATTGGTGGAAATTTGTACCACTGTTGCTTACAGTTGTGGCTTGAGTTACCTTCGCTCACTCAACTCCTTTCAAAAGTAAACTTTGCAGAACATTAGAGCTAAGCAAAGTTTCTGTGAACCACAGTTAAGTATTATACCAGCTGGTATGGTACCAGAACGCTGAGATGAAACTGACCCTGAAGTTGAAGCTCTTGCTTTGCCGGTTAATCAAGTACATACTCCAACTTTCACCTGTGCTCTGTTGTTTGGCTAATAACCAAAGCTGTGAGGCTGCAGGTTTAGGTGCCCCAAGCAGAATTCCACTCTTAGACAGTAAGTTCACAGACTTTGGACAATAAAGCGCCTCTCATGTCCCAGGTGGACACAGCTAGCTGTGATGTTGTGTTTGCTGTGCGTCACTGAGGAATAAAGTGGAGGACTGGTAACATGATAGAATGATGCCATCCCTCTGTGATTACAGCTCAAAGAGTTCTGCTGCCACAGATGCCACAGACTCTGCTGACAGCCAACAGCTTGAAGGTACTATAATATCTCTTCTAAAAAAAAAAACATATACTTTTATTTTATTTCTAATATGTAAATGATTAAATCACAATGTAAGATATAGTAGACTTTCTATTTTTACCCTTATTGCTGCTGTTGTTGTTAGACTGTCGAACGGGTTGCTAATCTTGACATTTTTTATCAGTTACATGTAAATATGAACCTTAAATGTTGTCTCAGGAATTGAACTGTGCGGCCAGTTCTTATGGTTAATTAGTTTCAGCACACCTGACTAGAGTACGATAAAGTTCAATCTGTTCTACTGTCATTAAAGTCTGCTTTTCCTTTACAGAGTATGTGGCACTATACACGTATGAGTCTCCACAGCCTGGTGATCTCACCTTTAGAGAGGGGGATGTTATCTTGGTAAGCAAGAGAGAAGGAGAGTGGTGGAACGGCTCCATAGGCGACCAAAGAGGCCTCTTCCCCAGCAACTATGTCAAACCGAAAGAGACAGATGTAAGGACACTAAAGATTTACTGTGAAAAATTATTTAGATGACAATAAGGTTTTTTATCACATGTAATAAAGTTTATTTTACTATAAGGTACATTTGTGGTGTTTTTTGGGGGTTTTTTGTAAATTAGTGTGAAACTGCTAAACTTTTTTTTTTGCTTAACAGACATCAAGCACATCTGGAAAGAAAAAGCCAGGTAAGTCTTGTTTAATCTGTTTACTTATAGGAACAGTAGAGTCTTTGATTCTCTTAGAAAAGAACCACAATCACTGAACCTAAAGCTCAATGTAGACAACCAAGTCCACTCTCTGCCTGTACAGAAATGCATATATATGTAATAACATTTTGTGCTTAAGATTTTAAAAATATTTACTGTATATAATTTTTTGTTATCATAAAAGTATCGGGCATGCATTCTTCCAGCATTTCCTGCTTCACTGATGTGTGTGTGCGTGCGTATGTGTGCGTGTGTGAGAGCAGAGATTGCCCAAGTGATTAGACCCCAGTCCTCTGGTGGTCCAGAACAGCTGAACCTGGAAAACGGTCAGCTCATCCTCATCCTTGGCAAGACCTCCACTGGCTGGTGGCTTGGAGAACTTCAGGTCAGTATTAAACATCATCATCTACATCGAAGGTGTCAAACTCTGTTCCTCAAGGCCCATTGTCCTGCAGGTTTTAGGCATTTTCTTGCTTCTGCACACCTGATTCTGATTCAATTGGGGTTCCTCTGGACATTGTTAAGCTTTGCACCGGCCTGCTAAAGGCACTTTGATGTGAATCAGGTGTGTTGAAACGGGGACACCTCTGAAACCTTCAGGACAGCGGCCCTCGAGGACAGGAGTTTGACACCTGTGATCTACATCATTTAGTCATTTGTTGATAAAAACCACTGAAAGTCGATGATTCAGTTTGACTACATTGGTAGCTCTTCTGGACATTATGCTCCCAAGCTTTACCAGCTTAAAATCTACACAAATAGTTTTTGTGATTTTACAGTTTTTGTTTGTATTGCTAAAAGTTCCGCCAAAATAACGTTCCTTTTAATATTTGCCCTCACCTACACTTCACTTGATAAAGAATTAAATGTAATTTTTAGGAAAAAAATCGAGTGACCCTCTGTTTTACGGGCAGGTTTTGGTGTTCAATGTTATGTCAAAGGATTTAGAAATTACTGTTGCTTTGTATCACTGCTGATCTTTGGTTTTTGGTGTTTTAAACCCTAGGCGCGTGGTAAGAAACGTCAGAAAGGCTGGTTTCCTGCCAGTAATGTCAAAATACTGGGATCCAACAGTGGTAAATCCACACCAGCATCTCAGCCAGGTAACGCATACACACTTCTAAATACGACGTGGGTGTGTGGAGTAAACGTGTAAATAGATAGTTACACTCTGTAAGATGCTGTGCTTCAGTCTGTCAGGTGGTCGCCATATACGACTACACAGCTGCCAATCAGGATGAGATGAGCTTCTCTCAAGGCCAGCTGATCAATGTTCTAGACAAGAACGACCCTGACTGGTGGAAAGGAGAAATCAATGGCGTCACTGGGCTCTTCCCCACCAATTATGTGAAGATGACAGCAGACGGCGATCCCAGCCAGCAATGTGAGTAAATCATGACTTTATTTTAAAGGAACATCTATATTTAAAACATCTGTGGCTGACTAAACCAAACCCTCATCCGTCCAGCATCGGCTCCCATCACTGATAATTTATCATAATCACATCTTTTCAGTGTTTCCTCCCCCATTCTATTTTTTATCAACTTCTCACCATCATTTCTTTTTCCTGCTCTCTGTTACTCCACTGCTCTTCTCTTTCTCCTTCCAGGGTGGTAGAAAGACTCTTCCTCCTCCCTGCTCAGAGACCCACTATCACACTGCTCTGATGGGGCTGATTCTCTGGACTCTGCCCACTAACTTCTTCCACTGTGCAAATGTTACTGCATGGGAGAAATGCAAACTGTGAACAGGTTTTAGTGGAAAAGCTAAAAAGGGATTTATTTATTTTTTTACTCTGTGCAGATTATTTGAATTCCCAAAGCCCCTGTGCCTTGTTGACTGTGTGGTGCTTATTTTATTTTTTAATTGATGCTGCTGAATTCTTGGAGAAGTGTGTGAAGCAGAGCGATAGTGGGTTTCTTTATGCCTTTTCTTTACTTTAGCTTTCCAAGAGAGATTTCCCTACTTTTTTCTGTCATGTCTCTTTCCAACTATGGGATTTCAGCTTTCGCATAGCCCTGTATTTGACTGCCCAGATGATGAGATCATCTTTATTATGTCAATGAACAGCTAACTATTTTGAATTGGGATATCTAGTTAGTTAAAGTGGGAAAAGAACAGGACAGTAAATTTAACCACAAACATTACACCAGTCATACCCTGTGAATTTCAGTTGGATTTGTATTGACCAGCAGGTCAACAGATTTTTGTGGTTGTGGAGTGGAGCCTGGAACCTTTTAATACAGCATTTGCAATGTAGGAGTCTGGAAGGTGTTACTTTTTAAACCACAGCTGTCCCCTCTTTCATTGTTCACTTTTAATGGACGTTTAGCCGTGCAACCCCGTGCCTTTTCGTGTCAGAGTTATTACCTCTCATATTCTATATATCAGGGGTGTCAAACTCTGTTCCTCGAGGCCCGTTGTCCTGCAGGTTTTAGACATTTTCTTCTGCACACCTGATTCTGATAACATTGGATCTTCTCTGGACATTGTTGAGCTTTGAACCGCGTGCTAATGGCACTTGAATCACACTGATGTGAATCAGGTGTGATGAAACGAGGACACCTCTGAAAACTGCAGGACAGCGTCCCTCGAGGACGGGAGTTTGATACCTTTGCTATAAATTGTAATTCATTTTAAATCAGTCAGTTTTATTTGAAAAATCTTTCAAATTAGTTCATAGGATGATATTATAGGTACAAGTTGTTCTTGTGACGTTATACACATTAAAGCAGATAACAAAGGCATTTCTGGCTTACCTGTTACTACCCATAGGCCAGGCTCAGTGTCCACAAGTCAATGTCAGACTTGTCACTGATTATTAAAAACTAATTAAAAAAACTAAGAAGGCAGTGTCCAAAATTTTAAATGTAATGCTTTGACGCCAAAGTATTGGGGAATGTCCTTGTGTCCACCTGCTTCTTTACACGAATCTGGTACCAGTCCTACTCAACGCTTTCTCACTCTAACTTTTGTGCAGTGGATTCCTTTTTTAATCAAGAATCTTATTATTGAATTTTCAATACAAGAAAACAAATAATAAATAAGAAAGTTAGGAGAAAGTTTTAAAAACTTCTCGCCAGAATCTTCCAAGACCAGGGCAGGTGCAAAATGAGTGGATCAGTGTGGCTCCATTACAGCCACTTTTAGTTACATTGAGGGTTCATGTCTGGGTAAATGTAAGACAGTTTAGCCTTAGACATATGGGCTCTATGGACTACCTTAAACTGTATTGGATAGTGTTGAGAGCAGAATGATGTGGAATTAACAAACCACAGAATTGAATCCCAAGTGTCATTGGAGAAGTGCTGGTTCAACTCCTGTTCCCAGGCTGCCCTGATCCCAGCTGTGGACGTTTGGCTTAAATTCGTCCGAATGTTATAGATTTTTTAAATCAGACCCCTTCCAGAAGGCTGCAAGCTGAGAATGTCATCTATTATTGGTATCTTAGGGAACTCTGGAAACCCACAAAATGGTACAAGCAGAAGTGCACAGTTTGTCTTGTACATTTAAAGCCATAACCAGGTCTGCCCAGCTAAGGCATACATGGTCTTTAATTGAGCAATTCTGAAGGATCTGATAATTGCTGCACCTTATAAGTTACTGCTTTTGATTTCTCCTTTTTTTTTGTTGCTTTTGCTGCCGTTTAGATTGATTTTGTTCTTTGGGGATATGGATGCATGTTTGTTTTTCAGTTCAAAATATAGTTATTTCCAACATTGTGCATTTTCTTAAGAAAAGAAGTGGAATGTACAGTGCATATTGTCTTTAATTCTAGTACATCAAGATGAAGCTGCATTATGCTCCAAATCAAATGGTTGATGGATTTTTCTCCTACTTTAATTGAGCTGATGACTCACGTTTGTTCCAGATTTCAGGGGAATTCTCACTGTCAGCGTGGGCTGTGAGCTCAAGAGAATACATGAAACATTTAGTGGTAAAAGGTAGTGTAACTGTTTTTGAAAATGCATCTAATACAATATATTTTTGGATTCTGGTGGAAAAATAAATAAAATTTGGTTTGAAATGACATTGTAGTATAGCATCAACTGTGTGGGGTCGTGTGTGTGTGTAGTCCAGTGATTATACTGTCAACACAATACACGTGATTGCGATAGACAGATAAAAAAAAAATCCCCAGACACCTTCCTTTGTTTGTGATTTTTTTAAATCAGTTAAGGCATCTTCTGCATTCTTTCTTCTATAAATCTGCTTTTTTAGTCCAAAAGAGGCTCCCCTCTCCACCGCATCACCTTTTTAACACCCATCAATCGTTATTATGTGACTACATGTGGTTTTGGATCAGCTCTTGGAGCTTTTCAGGCTTCTTATAGAGAGAAATTCCACAAACTTAGTTAGAGCTTTCAGTGAATCCGCTCTGAACAGCACTCAAAGGGTGGACAGAAAGAATCCCTCTCTTCCTGTTTTGGTACAAACAGATTTTGTGGACGATAATGACAGGTAAAAGGAGACACACCAGAGGGCAGACAGAGTATGTTTGAGCGAGAAAACGGACACCTGAAGACACAGATTCACGGTAGCAGAAATGGCTTCCCACTGCAGTTTTCACTTTCTAAACCTTTGGGATGAGCCCCACAGTGCGAGTAGAGCAGGAGAGGGAGAGCACTTTGTCTGTCTGGGAGCTACAGATTTTTCAAATGGGTACCCTGTACCAGGTAAGTATTGAGTGAGATTATAGTCAGAGGGGTTTCATTTTTATCTCTCCATTTCTTTTTTCCTTGGATAAAGCCTCAGAAATGGAACCGGTCACTTTTGTGTCTGTGAAAGTGTGGCTGTGGCATTTTTGGTTGTGTGGAAGTTGCTGCATTCGTTAGACTTTTTTCTTTTTCTTTTTTTCTTTTCTTTCTTTCTTTTTTTTTTTGCTGCTTTCTTGTAGGGAGTGCAGACCTGAACAACCACGACTGTCTGAGCCCCCAGGAGAAGAAGAGACAGGATTACATTCAGGAGCTGATTGAAACTGAGGAGAAATATGTTGAAGACCTGCAGATAGTGTTGGATGTAAGGCACATTTAGTGGGGTTTGATGGTGGCAATGTATACCTTATCACTATGTATTTTAACCATGTCCTGCTTTGTTTGTTTTTTTTGTCTTTGTAGGTTTTCTACAGACCGATGTCCGAATCGGGTCGGTTGAAAAATGAAGAGATGGACATGATCTTTGTCAACTGGAAAGAACTTCTGGCTTGCAACACAAAGTTTGTCAAGTAAATATCATGAATGGAGCATCTATGAGCAGCACTTTATAAATAAAAATAAAAAAAACAATCTTCAGATTGTAAAAAAAAAAAAAGATGAAATGAAAGCATAACTAGAAGATTAAAAATGTCATAAGTATCTATAGTGAATCAAAACAATTTGGATATGTGCAGGGCTCTCCGTGCTTGTAAAAAGACTGGTGGGGAGAACGTGCCGGTGCAAAAGATCGGACCTATCCTGACTGAGGAGCTGTCCCACATGCAGCCATACATTGATTTCTGCTCACGTCAGTTCAGTGGCGCTGCCCTGCTCCAGATTCGCACCGACAATGAGCCAGACTTCAAGGAATTCCTCAAGGTAGGAAGGGGAAGATTGGGATAATGGTCTGTAGCTGAGCAAAAGTAAAGTGCCTTGTAAATCCCATTCAGGTTTCTTACATCTGCATGAATGAATGCACAGTTTAAAAATGTTGTTAGATTTGTGTTTGTGTTTCTTATGGTCAATTATTTTTATTCATATATATGTATCTGAGAACGACACTTGCGTTGTCATTGTGTTGTTTTCTGTCAGAAAATCGCCACCGACTACAGGTGTAAGGGCATGCCCCTGTCCAGCTTCCTGTTGAAGCCCATGCAGAGGATCACACGTTACCCACTGCACATTAAAAAGGTAGGCCACCCCCAGCATGAGTGTGTGTGGTGGTTCAAATGCTGACTTACGATTTTAACCTTAAGTTTCTCATTTCCATCTGGCGTTTGGAGAAATGAGTTAACTAACTTGGTTTTGTGTGTGGAGATCCTGGAGTGCACTGCAGAGGGCCATCCTGATCGAAGTCATATGAAAGTGGCTCTGGACAGAGCCGAGGAACTCTGTCAGCAGGTTTTAAATCCTATTGTTACTCATCTATGAGATTTCTGGGTCCTGGGTGAAAACAGGCTTTTGTTTCTTGATTTGATTTGTGTACCTTTCTCCACGGTTCAGGTGAACGAGGGTGTGAGAGAGCAGGAGAACTTGGACAAGCTGGAGTGGATTCAGTCCCATGTACAGTGCGATGGCATTTCTGAGGTTATTTTCACCCCGTGTCATGGATTAGTTTCCATTATATGTATGTATATGTAATTCAAAATAAGAGTTGTTTTTCCTCTTGCAGAATTTGGTCTTTAACTCTATTACCAACTGTTTGGGCCCCAGAAAAGTGCTGCTCAGTGGGAAGGTGAGTAATGCCAAATATTGTCGAAGTTGCGGAACATTCCTGAACTTCATGGAGAGATAATTTGTGATCCGGGTGTGAAGATGTTTTAAACAAAAGTTCAAATTGAAATTGACAAGGAGATGAAATCCAGAAAGGTCAGATTTAGGATGATGTTGTTATGGAGCTCCATGATCATAACAGAACAACCTGAAATACAATTGTTGTTTCAACAACATGAACAGAGACTAAACGGTGCTTGCTGATGAGAATTTATTGGTGACTTTCTCTTCCCTCTCAGATGTACAAGGCAAAGAGCAACAAGGAGCTTTGGGCTTTCCTCTTTAACGACTTCCTGCTTTTGACTCATGCATCAAAACAGTTCACTTCATCTGGAATTGATAAACTGTTCAGCAACAAGAACAACGTTCAGCTGAAGATATACAAACCGGTCAGAGACCCACACAAACAGGGCCGTTTCATCAGTCGTCCTCTGTCATGTGTTTGTGGATGACAGCCGACTATATTTGTTTCCCACAGCCTGTGCTTCTAAACGAAATTCTGGTGAAGCTTCCGGATCCGTCCAGTGAGGAGCCTGTATTCCACATCTCGCATATTGATAAAGTTTACGTCCTCAGGACTGAGAACATCAATGAGCGGTAGCTGCACGCACACGTAGAAATGTGGCGCGTGGTTATTCTTCTACCAACACTGTGTTTGTTTTCAGGACGGCATGGGTCCAGAAAATAAAGGCGGCATCTGAGGAATTCATCGAGACTGAAAAAAAGAAAAGGGACAGGGCTTATCAAGGTTGGTTTTTCAGCCTGCAGCAACCGTTCTTTTACCAAGTACTGAGCTTATTTCTGCTAATGTCAAAACAAACTGTTTTTCCAGCCCGGTCCATGAAGGCCAGTGGCATTGGCAGGTTACTCGTCACAATTTTGGAAGCCACTGAACTCAAGGCGGGAAAACCTAATGGTGAAATTTCTTATGAATGTTGTTGGATGTACTTAGATGTCATTGGTGGGGGGGGACTTCCACTCTTAAGCTGCTTTGTTGTGACGCAGCCTTTAATCCCTGATGTGTGAATCTGTATGCATCAGTTCACCTTGAAACAAATCCTCTCTCTGTTCCTTGTGTCATGCATTTTAGTTTACACAACGCATGTGTCATCCATTGCAAATTTTAAGCCGTATAATTAATTTGAATTCTTTATTTTACTCACTCTAGCTCGTTTCCTTTTTTCCTCCCCTTCCCTCCTCCCTCACATACTGCTCTTCTTTTGCACTTCCAGGTAAAAGTAACCCTTTCTGCGAAGTGACCATGGGAAGTCAGAGCTTCACATCCCGAACTATCAACGACACGCTGAATCCAAAGTGGAGCTTCAACTGCCAGTTTCATATCAAAGACCTCTACCAGGACGTCCTGTCCATAACCATCTTGGAGAGAAACCAGTTTTCACCTGATGGTCAGCAACAAAATAATTTCTTAATTTGTCGCTTCAGTAGAATAAAAATCTAACTGCACATTTGTAGTTTTAAGTTACTACAGTTACTTTTCAAACTGGCTGATTGAAATGGTTTCTGGCTCGGCGCACCTTGGCTCCTGTGGCCTGTTCACTCCCCAGGATTTATGTACTTGAAGGTTTTACACATCAATTTCTTACATTTTGACCTCCCCTTTATTTTTAACCTTAGACGTGAACAGTTCAGTGAAATGAAATGGTGTTAGTTACTAGAACATGTTCATAACTTCATAAGAGCAGATTTAAAACAGGACTGTGATTATGAAAACTTAAGTAAATGTCCTTTTTATTTGTTCATTTCCCACTTGGATGATGGCATATGATGATCGACTTGTTTAATTCAAATTTCATGCAACAAGTCAACGTCTGCTAAATGAAAATAGCTCTGATGGCTCAAAGTGCTCATAGTGTCCTGCTGCTTGTGAAGTATCTCACCCTTTAACATGTGTTTATCTATCATGTCAGATTTCCTGGGGCGGACAGAGGTTCCTGTAGCAACCATTAAGAAAGAGTTGGAGAACAAAGGGCCGGTGACCCGGCGTCTTCTGCTGCATGAAGTTCCCACAGGGGAAGTGTGGGTCCACCTGGACCTGCAGCTATATGGCAACAAATAGCCTTGAAAGATGAACTGAATTAAGGAATGGTTTCCTCCACAGAGACACCCAAATAAGAGCAATTAACCAAAAAGGACAAGCTGCTTGTTTTTACACCAATAGACTACAACGGTTTCTTCAACTTGCATAAGAAACCAAGGAGATGCTTCCATAGAAATACACTCGATGCCTTAAAGATGTAATATTTACCAGCACTAGTTTACCTCCGCTGAAGTAATCAGGGACTGTGTCATTATCTGGACCCAATTATAGAAGTCAAAGCTGTATTTATTTTTGCCGGGAATCAAAGGACGCCTGCATCTGTACTATGCTGATACTCTGAAGGGCCTAAACCGGATGATGAGGAAATGTGGTATTTCACAGGGAACGGGGTCAAATGGAGAAAAGCTATTTTAACTTTTACCATCAAAGAAATAAAACTGGGTGCTCTTTGGTCAGTCTCACAGATGACCCTCAGTTACATCATTCAGATTTTTAAGTATTCACATTTTGCCAAGTCTCTCCACCAGGGCCATCCAGCCAGTAGAAGTTATAACTGGTGTTTTGTTTTAACTGACGTGTGAATGATTAGGTCTTTATTTTCTATTCTTGTTTTTGGTTTATGAGGTGGTGATGGGCTGCTGTTGAAAGGCTGTGCTGACCGGCCACTGGGTCGTCATAAGCTCCCTGGCTCAGTGCCATCCTCACTCAGTTGCATGAAAGACGTCCTGAACAGTAGATGACAGATGATGGACAGACTCATGAAGGGATTCAGACAACCTGATTGGAGTGCAAAGTACGCAGATTCTTAAATCTTTAAGAATCATTGGTGCACTGTATTTGTACAACTTCTAGAGTTTATTAAAGGCCAGATGTTGTTAAAGTCTCTTATCACCATCTAAAATCTTTTGATTTACGTAAAGATGGCATTCCGCTAGGTTGGTTTTTCTTTAGTTGGAGCCAATCCTGATTAGGTTGGAGGGAAAAAGAAGAAAGCTGTGTTGATTCACTGCGTCTCTTTTGGTCTTATCTTTTAGGGCAAAGGTATGTGGGTTTTATTTTAGAGATCACTTACTGGCAGTTTGTCAACGCTCATAAAGAATGTATATTCTTAGTTGTATTTTTTTTCTTAGTTTTCTTTCTGCCTGTCCTAAGTGTCCATCTTCAGTCTTTCCTCACAGTCAGCTGCATCATCTGTTTCTGTTGTCCGAAAACCCGACTTTTATAAAAACGCAGCATGAGAACTTGAGAAGGTTTTCATGTGTAAAAACTGCATAATTGTGTTGAAAGTTAACTTTACTGCTACTTTTGCTCTTGTTTTTACTCTGTTGTGTCAAGGTTCTTTCTTAAACTTCCTTTGCTCTAAAAAGAAGACAGTTGTATTTATTTATTAATTTATGCGTGCGACTCTCCAGAGATTTGGATCGCCGTTGCTGTTACATGGAAAATCGTTTGGGTTTCATTGGGTCTGTCTTTGAAATGTGTGACTTCACGTAATAAAAAGATGTACATACTAACTTTTACTGGTGGAACACTGAATCACCAGTCATTTTATTAGGTTGTGTCGTGATTAATCACAAACACTTGTTTTTTAAGTCTAATTAAGACTTAGCTACCCTTTCTTTTGTCTGTATATTAGCGTTTAGAGTTTGTCTTTACTTTTGTTGCGTGTAGTCTGCTGTATTGACTTCTCGTCTGTACTGTCAGCCTGGAGTCTCTAACCTGCTGTTTGTCCTCACTTTGGCTCCTTTATAGAATTAATAGCTGCTTATTTAAAAGCAGACTACAAGAAACTGGGAAAGAACATGGCACTCTTCTAATTTCCAACAGCCTCAATTGTCCTGGAAAGTTGGTCTAATAACATACAGAAAGCCCTTTGTACAGCTGGAAACGCTTCCTGCTCATCCCTGATGGAGCAAGAATGGCAGGTTACTTTTCAGTTCTGTAGACAGGCTGAGCTCTGGTGAGCCATGTATTCTTTTGACTCTTAGATATGGCTTCAGGAGTTTAGACCAGGAGAAGATTTGTTGAATTCTTTTCCAACTTTTTTTACCAAGTTATGACCAAGTACATCAGGTTTAAAAGTATCTTTAAAATCTGATTTTCAGCCAAACGGCCTGTTAAACCCAACAATAGCTTCTTCTTAACCATTGGCTTGTGTGTGAGACCCAATCCCAACCAGAGTTTTCAAGGAAATTCTCCTGTTTCCCCTGTCCCTTCTGTTGTTTTCCTCTTTCCACAGCCATCTGTTTTAGGTTCAGGGTGGGGATTGGATCAGAGAGAAATTTCTGTGCAATCTGCTGTTTTTTTTTTGTAGTTTTTTTTTTTAGCAAGGAGTGTTTTTTATGTTTTTTATTTTATTTTATTGAATGTGTGAATGTTTTTGTAATTTAATGAACTTGATAGGGTTTGGATTGTGTTACAGGGAATTGGTTTCTATTTGGCTTAAAGTGGACTGTTTATTGCTTAAAGCCGACATTTACACAATATCAATAAAACTGCTTTGAACTGAATTAATTGAGTTTGCTTTTTAGAAACGGTACACATCACTATGCAAAGATCTTCATGTATTGAGGGCAATCGGAAGCAGCTTACTGTGAACCCCTTCCAGGTGGCAGAGCTCCTTGTCTCTAAGGCCAAGGGCAGCCACCTTTCAGAGTAAAATCCATTTCACCAGCTTGTATCTGTAATCTTATTCTTTCAGTCAGGACCCAGATCGGATGACCCGGGTGAGGCTTGGAACAAAGATGGACAAGTAGATCAAGAGCATTCCCCTCTCGCTCGGTTCAGACCAGAGCAACGTCCTCATTACAGCTCTCCAGGTACCCCTTCTAAAAGGTTGGAGACCACTGCCCTGGTCTGTCACTTTACAGGCGTCATCTCACACCTCCCAGTGCCATTGAGGAGGACTGTGATCTAAACTGTTCTGAGGCTTACACCCAAGACTTCTCTGGATTCTTCAGGTGTGTGGAAAAATAGAAGTAAATGGAGTTCAGTGTAAAGTTGTCAGTGCGCACCAATAGACCTCATTAAGTCCTCTTTCCCCGCTCGCTCTGACTGAGGCAGACCTTATGTAAGCACGTAAAGGGACTGGGAGCAGAACACAGCTGCTGACCAACTCAGCTGAACTCAGGCGTCTGAAATGGTAACGGTGGATATGAAGCAAAGGCTGTTTGCCAATATAATATTTTATTCTGTTGCTTTAATGCAGCTTTGCGCTTGTCGTGAGTCGCTGTTTCAAATTTCCAACAGGGCTTGATTGATGGTAAATGGACTGTACTTGAATGCACTTTTCTAGTCTACCTTGAGTGCTTTTTTTAAAGTGCTTTTCGACCACATGCCATTTTCACTCACACACATACAACACATCTTACACCTTTAGGTTATTCAGTTGATTCCAATTCCAATAAATGTGGTAAAATAAATAATGGGGCTTTCTATAAATCTATTCTATAGAAATTCTACATCATACACTATTTGACATGCTACTCAGGTTTCTGTTTCTTGCTCTAGGTCACAAATAGAGTCTTCTGATCAGCTGTCAAAAAGTTTTCCTCTTGATCCTGAATCAATTTTACAGAATAAAAGCGATTAATTGAATTTTTGGTATATCCCTATTTTCAGATTTCATGTTTGCGACACATAAGCTGTGTTCAGGGATAAGCTGTAATCATTTATGCGCTAAACTAGCGGTAAAAAATAGTATATTAGATGCTGCTTTAGCTATAAAAAAACTGAGCTTTGCCACAACAGCATAGAGCACCATCGGGTGCCAAATAGCAGTCACAGACTATTAACAACACAACTATTTTGAGTAAAGTGTTGTGACCCTCAAGGTGATCCAATCTGGTGCTGCATCTGAGTTTCCAGACCTGACCTGAAAGTGTAATGGCTGTGACTACAGCTGAAATCAATGGTAGCACTGAGACATGAAAAGCTCCTAACATTAAGCACGAAATAGAGGGGAAAGCCTATTTCATATTAATTTGAGAAAAACAATGTATCCAATCTGACATGCTCTGACCCCAATAAAGACGAGGAAACTAAACCGTTATGGCACATTGGTTCTGGTTTTTATTCTAATAATTGTTAATCTCACTCGGGCCTCACATTTGGAATATTATTCAACACAATGTAAGAATAATTTATTCATGTAGCAGTGTCAGCTTTTACTATGTATGAACACTGAATCATAGTGACTCTCAAAGGCAGTTATCTTCTTACTTCAGTTCTGCTCAGCTCTGCTAGGCTTTTAACTGTTCCTCTGAATGTCCAGTGCTTTTTGTTTACTCGACTTGCACTTAACCTCTCAGCTGTGCTAAAAAAGGAGCTCAATTGGCACTGCGTTGTGTAGCAGTGTTCAGAGTTACATGTAAAAAATTGTTGCTTCTTGAATAAGAAAAATGTTTTGTCTCCAGTTCTTTCACAATTTACCACCTTCAGGGGCTGAATATTTATGTTCTGTTCACAAAATTGTTGCATTACCCCACAATATGGCAAGACTGAGAGTGTGCACAAGAGGCACACAGCGTTAATCTGGTTTAAGGTAACGGAGGAACAAGATTCCAGGGTTTACTTTTCAACTCCCAGGAAGATGAACAGTCTACAAAACTCAAATTGGCCAATCGGACAACACTCCCAGAACGCAATCTGCAACACCAAATCAGGCTTTTAACTGAAAAAACTATTTTTCCTTTCACATCGACAACAATCCACAACATGCAATCCAAACAGCTGCAGTTAGCATTGTAAATTAAAGTTAAAAGAGAAAAAGAGTGAGTGCTCCAAATATCCAAATTTCTGCACAAAAGTCCTTACAGAAGAATTCAGTTTGCTTCCTTTATAAACTACACGGTCAAAAGGCCATACAGATATGTTAAAGTCACAGAAATAAGTAGGCTAAACAGCCCCTTGGCACAAAGTTAGGTTTAAAAGAGAAGTGTAATAAAGCAAGAAAGAATTGAAAAGAGGCCAGAGGAAAACAAGAGGGGAAATGCATACATAGACCCAGAAAGAGAGTATGACTAGAGAGGGATATGCTCATAGAGGATGAGTCTGAGAGGCCCTTAGTCCCTCTTGATGCAGTCAAGGGAATGATTTGATTATCACCACATGAACAGCTGTCTTATATAAGACCCACACACACATTTGTTTTTTCTTCTATGCCCATGGGTACACTTACTAACATAATGCCCATAGCCTCTTACCCTCCTAACTCCGAACTACAACAACTTAGCCTATACCCTGGAACCAATCTCAACTCTAAAACGGAGGTCTGGACGATGGCAAGAGTCTCCATGGGGAAGACATGCAATCAGTTCCCACAGCTATATGAAAACAAAACACACACATACCAAAAGATAACTCAAAAATAATAAGCTCTGTGCACTGGCCAAAGAGCTGCACACACAAAAGGTGCCCAGTGGCAAGAGAGAGACAGGAGAGGGAAAAAAAGTAAATGATGGAGAAATCCTGCAAAGGCAGTCAGGTCTGTGTCTGTGACAAAGAGGATGTACAGAAAGGCTTTTTTTGTTTTGTTTTTACAAACCATATGTTATTGTTTAAAGGAAAACATACCACAAAACACCATTGGTCATTAGCTACCAGCCACTGGTAATATTTTAAGTTTTCCTGCATGGAGATTCTGAGTAGCCCTGTCATTACTAAACTATCCCCGTGTTTTGAGTTGGTTGTGCACTTAAAAGACTAAAATAGATCAAATATATGAATGAAACACAAACAGGACGCTCCAAAGATGGTGTTCTGATACTTTTTGTATGCAGGTATTTATGCAAAGTGTAAGGGATTGAAAGCAAGCTGTACCAGATGCTGGACTTTAGTTGGTGAGTGAACAGTACCTTTTTTAATTGTTTTATTTATCCAATTGGACATCCTCTGACCCTGATAAGGACACACAAAATGAAACGTCATGGTACTGGACTCCAGGCTTTTACAATAATAACTATTAATGTTACCCAGACATCACATCCAGAACATTATTCAACACAATGTAGGAATCATTTATTCATGTAACTGTGTCAGCTTGGTCTATGCATGAACATTTCATCTTAGCGACTCTGAAAGATTGCTCATCTTTGCAGGGCTACGTGTTTTTCTACTCTTTGTCCAATGCTTTGGGTTCTCTTTATATACTCTTAAAATCTCATTTCTGTTCTTTAAAAAAGCAGCTTTGCAGAAAAACAGACTCAACATGTGTGGTTCTTTCACAACTTATCGAGTTAATGGGTTAAATATGGACAGCGTCTTTCAGCAGTTGAAGATTTTGTATATAGTTTTCTACTTATACCAATTGTATTTATAGCTAATTTAGCTTTTAGGTTATCTACCAACCAGAGGTGATCGTATGTAAACAAGAGTCAGGATCTTAATAGTAATCCATCAAACCTGATTGCACAAAAGACTTAGAAGTCTACTTTCTAACAATGGAAATATATTTAACTGCTTCATTCACTCAGCTGGTTTAGATAATAACACATTATTTAAGGGCCAGAAACTTGGGTTTCTGGGCAGCCATCCAGGACTGGTTTGTGCATTATCCAAACCCTAATTTAGCATTTTTCACAGCCTCAATATTGTCAGCACTATTATGCTGGGTGACAAATCTGCTCAATCCCAAATGCATCAAACTCCCAAACAAATTTGTTTGAATCCAAAGTTCAGAGTAGTTTTAGAAAAATGCACAAGTTGATGGATCTTTATAGATCCAGCAGAGCAAGGCTGTGGGTTAAATGCCACAGACAATTAAACGTTTGGTGGAGATGCCTCGTAAATCTGTTTTGAAGTGCTCAGCATGTTTATTTTCATCAGTGAATATAAATCAATTGTATTCATAATGAAGTCATCTTTTTTTCTGATGCATAGTCAGGAACCTGCCCACAATGACCTGGAACTTCACCTCCCAGTCATAAATAATGACTGAAGGGTCATTAAAAAAACAGAGGAGCAAAGAATGCTGCGCAAGCCTCTCTGAAAGTCTCCGGTCCTGTCCCTCACTATTTCATAGGTGACTGACATTCATTCACAAGAGCTAGAGTTTAAAGGAAGACGCTTAATATTTTATTAGTCTGCGCAGGAGCTGAAAAAATAGAGGCATTGTGTTGCAAAATTCTTCATGTGTTTCATATTCTACATAAAGAACAATGTCAAGATGGGTTGTGATTAATGTAATTTCTTTTTTGAAAGCACCAAACGCTCTAGAGCAGGATCGGTTTGTCGTCTGTCCCATGTCTTATTTACCTCTCCTTTGTTCTCCTATATATTAACACTCATGCCATGTAGAACTTTTAAAAAGTCAGTGCTTTCTCTGTGCCACACCAACAGGATAGTAAAGGCCTTAAGAAAGACCCGCCGTGTTCGCTTTGCGATCATTGGGCAGCTTTTTGAGAGAGGAACATTCTTTCCATACTAAGTAAAGTTGTTTCTTTAGCACGTCATGACTTATTTATTGCAGGATCTCATGCAAGTTATTTTCAAAAAGCCAGCTTTTTTTGCGACCAAGTAAATGTTTATTTTTTTGTTCTGTAAATTTGGAGCCCCTCACAAAGGCCATCAGTCGAGATAGCTTTTCACCTCTGCCAGGCTCCTTTTCTCTGACCGGAACATAGAACACTTTTATCCCCATCTTAAACGAGTGTCTCAGATTCAGCCATAAACATCTAACGAACACCCTACATATCGAAGTGTTCTATCCATCTCAATGTGAGAATGGAGCTCAGATCATGCAGTATTTCCATTTAGCAATTTCCAATTTGTAAAGATGCAAACACTCTTTTGTAAAGAAAATAAAGTATTTTATCTGCTGCCCCAGTCTTCACACATATGTCCATTCAAGCATTCTGTCCATTAGGAGGTAAAACAAGCCATGAAATATGGAGAACTTCATCTAGTTTTATTTTTTCTTTCCAAAATATAATATTGCATTAACTTCCCAAATGTTCCCAAATTTTGATTTGTCCAATAATTCTTATCTGTACTGCATATCTGTGTGTGTTCCACTGATATAGAAGTCAGAGGCAGATGTATACAGGGCAGGATATGTACAACATTAATGTTGGGCGTCTAAACACGGCACTTCCCACATAAAAAACATCCAACCTATTCAGAAGGGAATGAGCAGTGACGATACAAACCCGGGACAACATTTCCCCGGGGGTGGGGGGGGGGGGGGGGTGAGACTCTGTCAGCAGCGAGCTGCAGCAAAGCTCTCTGGAAGAGGCAGGCATGCGGCAAAGCGCTGACAGTATGAGTGCGTCTCTTTGATCCGGAGCATGTGTTTGGCCAAGTTCTGCAGTCGAACAAACCGTGCCCTGTGTCGTTTCCAGTCCTCGCTCTTAGACTTTCCTTCCTTAATGTGAATTTTGCCGTTCAAACTTTAAATGTTTTGCCCGTGGTCTGAGAGGGCAGTTCGTCCACGGTTCGTCCACTCGGCCTAAAAGCAAAGTCTGCCGCTCAGGACACGTTCACGGTTTCTTTCACCTACCTGTTGAGAGCCGTTGGCTCGGGCAGAGTTGCTATGGAGTGCCAGGAGGGCTTCTCCAGCAGCGGGAGGGGTTTTCAGGCTTTTCCTGTTGCGTAAGATCGGCCCAGAAATAACCTGGCAGCACGACAGGTTGGCTGATCAAAGTTTCATAAACCTTATCGGATATTAAGCTATTTCTAGAAAGTCGCTGATCCAAAACATCAGCCCCACGCTGTGGGGATATTCAGTCAAGCGCACACACGTACACATGTGCACACACGTGGCTGCTGGTGCGGCCCTGGAAACATCTGTAGCAGAAAAAGGACAACCGCTTTGTGAAATCGATTTCTCTGTGTTCCGCCTTGTTTGTTTTATTTATGAGGCTTTTTGTCCCTCCCGGTCTTTTGACTCAACCATTTGAGTAAATTGTTCCTGATGTGTATCTCTATTTAAATTCTTTTCTATTTAAATTCTCACTTTGTGGGTGCATCCACCGATATTGAAGGTGTCAAGGTGACATGAATGATTTTGAAGTATCACACATAAAAGAATTCTGCTCTAATTTTGCAAAAAGCTTTCTGAACTCCTTCCTTTTACAGAGACACCTCCTCTGTTTTCTTCCCTGACTTTCTCTCTCCTCCCGTAGAGGCTGAGTGAAAGCAGAAGAGGAGAGGCACTGGGTCTACATATACAACTGTCTGCTGTTAGTGCGAGTGAGAGAAAGAAAGGGATGCAGACGTTTTGGCAGAGGGGGAGGAGGACGATTCAGTGGACCTGTCTGGGTCTCTCATGTCACATTTACGCCCTCAGGAGCTGACCCCTTACTCTCCGACTGGAGAATAACCTGGAAAAACTCGGATGGAAACGGGAGTACTGCCCTTTGGAAAGCAGGCGAAGCGACGCACCTCCTTCTGCAGCCGCTGCCTCTGTGAGAAGGACTGAAGAAGTGAAATGGAGAGGAGAGAATGACCGGCGTTTTTAAATTGTATCGACATAAAACAGTGAAGAGGAGGCAGATGCTTTTGTGTCAATGTGACAGCTGTGGGGAGACAGGCAAGATTTATACATCTAATTGTACAGTTAGTGCTTGTTGGGTTTTCTTTGAGGGAAAGCAAAGAGCACAGAGCGGAGGAAAGGGGAGGAGAGTTCAGATCCCAGAGATTAGACGACAGAGGAGTAAAAAGCGCGAGAAAGCAGAAGGGTACAGAAGAGGATAAGTACTTGGCATTTCTGAACTGTGAGTATGTTTTTTTTTGCACATGATGGTAACTTCACATGATTACTACAGTATGGCTGATCCTAACATAGTTAGTGTTTCCCTCCTTGCTGGTTTACTTCTCCACATTACACTCACAGGTCAGCTATCTTTAATTTTATCTTGCAATGAATTATGTTGATGTTTTTCTTATTTTGTTCCAGCTCTTCGAGCACATACTTGGCTTTCTTTGCAGGTTATGTTTGTAATAGTGCAGTAGGAGAAGAAAAGGGCCCTGTCACATTAGATTAGTGTTAGAGGACGCACAGAGGGAGAAGTATGCTCTGTGTGTGATGAGCACAAGGTAAGGGAAATGTGTGAGGGGGGCTGTGCGTGCATGTGTTTCTGCTGGAGTAAAGTGTGAGCCAAGCCCACATAGCTATAGCAAAGACATTGTTGGTTTTTTTCTACCCACATGGAGAAGGGCTATTGTGCTGAAAGAGAAATTGGTCAGACTGCTCAGATGCAGAACTGAAAAGTGGGAGGAAGATAAGTATCATGGATGGAAAAGAATTTTACACTGACTTTATATAATTTTTTCCTGTCCTCAAGCTGGAACTGTCATATAGATGTTTGTTCATACAGCTGTAAAATTCCACTGAGCGTATGCACATTGGAGCAGAAGCCAGGTCTTTTAAGATGCTCTAAAGTCATGTGATGCAGAGCATGCTCTGCTGCCATGGGCCTTTATGGAAGGTGAAGTTGAGATCAGCACACATTATGTCATTCCAATTTTATTCACTGAAACATGTATGATACTTCTTGAATTGGTTGAGAGAAAAATGCTAATGGATTCAGGTTCACAAACAATCTGACTTGGTGTTAAATACCTTATTTAGCAGGTTGTCTCGGCTACAAGTCAAATCAACACATTACAATGAAATATCAGTTTTTGTTTGCAGGTGCTTCATTGGTTGTTGGATTGTTGGTTGTCATTTACTGGATTTTAAAATACTACTGAAAAGTTTGCATTTTTAATTATGCATTATCTTGACCATTTCTGACCACTCTTAGGTGTTTCCTCTCCTTGATTATGTAATCAGCGTACACAGCCTTTGCTGTCTAAACCACTGGGCACAGTAGCCATAATGAGCTGGACACAGGCCAAGTGTCTCACAGTAATGTCATTACATAACTCTGATGTTCAGCTGTCACACGGTGAGCACTGGTCTGATTTACCACACTCACCTCCGTATCAGTGCCTGTCTTTTCTCTTTCTATCCACAAAAGTGAAATAAGTGCAAACTAAAAGGTAATTATTTAATCGTTAACAACAAAAGGTTCTGATTCATGAAATCATTTCAAATTGATTGCTAATATCTTGAAATATTTTGTAAAGTCACATTGCATTTTGTTAAAAGGAGAGAAGAAGAGAGACGGGCAGTCGCCTCCTGCAGCATTCACACACAACATCCCAACTGATCCTGACAGTCTGTAAATTTAGAAGTGCTCCGAGGTTGTGTCACATTTGTGTTAAAGGGCACTGCTATGTCGTGTTATTCGTTTTTCTGTTGTGTCCTTTTGCACTAGCCAAAATGACACATTGTTTCCTGACAGCTGAGTTGGTTTTACAAGTTATAAGACGGTAAAACCAATAATAAAGGGCCAGAAATGCACGTTGTTGGGAGGGCATTTAAAGAAATTCAACATTCTCCCCACTCTCTTCTTTTTTAAGGTAAACAGTGCTGCGTTTCTACATTTTCTAGAGCTAAAAATTTCCTGGGAAATTAGAACAGTTTGATATCCTCTTGGAACATCATCCATTTTTCATATTTTGGAGCGCTGCCTTGTATATACAGCATTACATAGGAACGATCTGTCATGTTCAAAGATACCTGGTATGTTTTTCAAAACTGATATATGTATATAATATATATACATTATTTATATATATATATATATATATATATATATATATACATGCTTGCACAGAGGGTTCACAGATCACCAGTAAAATATTTGCAGATTTAGCTCAACTGTGCTGTGGATTTCCCCTTGGTCCATTACAGTGGTTCTTCTTCATACTGAGACATGAGACATTTATGCAAGATGACATTGTCGCGGTTTGAAGACTGAGTGACACACACCCTGCAGCACGTGTGCTACACAGAGGTCAAGCGTGTGCCGGTGGCTGCTTGATGAATACATTGCCTGCATGACTTCACAGTGGTCAGGATGAACAAAAAAAAGGACAAGACTGGTCAAAAGGGCCAACATCAAGAGTAAGAACAGAACACATATGAATCCTTTTTTGTAACATGTATTGAAGGGCCAACATGTGAATACATACCTCCCGTCATTTGCCTAGAATACTGTAAACCCTCAGTTTTCCAAGGAATAAATGCTTTGCTGTTGTTATCCCTGACGATCCAGCAGGAAACCAGCTCAGGCATGTAGGTAATGATGGTGAAAATTGGTTGAGTTATAAAAATTGATGAGTAATTGATGGGTAAGGTATCGTACTTTCCAAAGTACTGTGACTAACTCCCACTTGTTAAAATAAGTTTAATTTCTACAGTTTGTCCACATAAATCAAATCTTAAAGGTGCACTTGAATGGAAAAGACAGACATGGCTTCAGGCACTAAGTCAGTCAAACAAAGGTGCTTATTTGTATGTCAGGAAAAGCAAAAACAACTGAATATTTTACAGCCATCGCACTCTGTGTTATGTTTCGGATCAACAGAATGAGGAAGAATGTGTTATAACCTGGCTTCACTTACAATTCTTTGAAAAGGGTGATATTTTGGAAACACTTTTTGTCCTCACACCTCTCCCTTCTGCCTCATGTCTATCATCCTTCTCACCTACCTGTCCTTTAACCTCCTCTACGAATTCTGTCAGTCCACAGAAGTGATGAGGACCTAATCTGACCTCTACAGAAGAATATACCTCTCTGAAATCTGCAAAGTCATGAACACTCCAACAACAGGGAGCTCCACCATGGAGGTGAAGGTGGTCCCTCAGGAGATGGCGTTACTTAGCAACGTACTTGCAGCCTACACCTTTATTGCAGGTACAAAGAGAAGAACTTTCCTATGTGACTGTGTGTGAGCAGACTTTATATAGCACTTTTTTGAAAAACACTAAAGGCTGCACTTTATAACAAAATTTGTAAATGGTTAAGTATCTTGTCCCTGATTTAGTAGAAAGTGTATTTGGATTAAAACAAAACATGCAAAATTACCAAGAACATTCTGAAAATGCTAAGATTACTATATGATTAGTTAAAGGGTTGAGAGTAAGGTGAGTAGGGTTATGTGGAGATCAGAGGGTGAAGTGGGGGTAGACCTGTTGACAGACAGGGGATGCCAGTCTCAAACCACAATATGTGCAAAAAGCTGACAAGTGAAAGATATAAAAGCAAAGCAGTATGTAGCTGTCAGTCGTCTATATAGCTGAATACACCCAACATCTGAGAAAAGTCTGAATTATTTGTCAATTCCTTCACAGACCAGCCGGAGAGGACAGCTCTGGTGTTTCTCGGCGGAGTGTGTGTGGGTCTTCTCGTCACACTGTGCGCCATCGTGTTCCAGATACACTGTCGGGCAGACTGCAACTACGGGAACAGCAAAGACCTCAACAGCGGCCACAGGATCAGGCACCTTCACCGTGTCCAGCGCAGCTGTAGCCACCACCAGGCCGGGGACAGTCACGCAAACAACGCTGCTGCCGTCGCCGTGGCCTCTGGGGGGACTGGACATGCCGGGGACAACCAATCAGAGGACTGGGATGACACGTCTGACCTGTCGGCGCGGAGACGCCGACGCTTTGAGAGAGCTCTGCTGCAGGCCACCATGTTCACATCAACTGAGGGTATCTCAAGTATTAAGCTGTTCAGATACACAAGATATTAGATCAGATGACAGCTGAGACACGGTAAAATAAAGGTTTTTGCAATGTGTTATAATCTCGTAAAGATATATGTATTTTTAAATATGTGAAGCCTAAAGCAGACTGAACTGTCTTCACCCTTCTGCTGTGTTCCTTAAAAGACGTCCTACAGCGGCTTTACTGTATAGTATAAAATAGTTGAAATAATTTTTCATGACATTCATTTTTCAAACTTTAGAGCTATCGAAATATTAGATTTTTTTTACCGAGATTTGGAATGTAACTGTAATGATAATATAAATAACAGTAATAATGATTAATAGAGCACAGATTTTAGGGTGAAACAGTTAAGAGTCTGTGAGACTGTTTCAGACTTTCTGTGTGTCTGTGTCTTCAGAGCTGGACCGGGCCCAGCGGCTAGAAGAACGGGAACGGATTCTGAGAGAAATCTGGATGAATGGACAACCGGACATCAGTACAGTCACTCAAAGCCTCAACAGATACTACTGATTCATAATCAAACAGGAGACAGAGACAGAGTGGCAGAAAGGAGAAGGACATCATGATGAATTGGCAGACAGACGATGATGGCTGAACAAATAGTAGCCAAAAGCACACTGGTATGATATGATGACAGTTTACACTGCACCAAAGAGAATCATATTAAAGTGAAATATTGCCTCAAGTGGCATCAGCACTGTTTGGAAAAGGGCCTCACGTGAGCTGTAATGTGTCAGTCCTTCAGTAGGAGATGACTTTGAAGAGAGGAGAAAAACAGTCCTGCAGAACACTGATGTCATCCGAGGATATTTCATAATTTCTTTATATGTAACCGCCGTCACAATGCGAGTGGGACATTCTAACTTTTGACCTTTGAACTGGTGCTTTTTTTTCAAACAAAGGAGGGGGAGCAGGAGGAATTCCCTTCCATGAGTCTACGACATGACACTGTGCTGTTGCACTTTTGACGTTGTTTCCTGCTGTAGTTAGTTACTGTTTGCAAAGTTTGAGTGGAAAATTCTTAAATGTTCTCCTTAGAGAGGATCGTTTAATCTCTGTGGAAAGGTGGAGTGATGCATTCTGGTGCTTTTATTGTGGAAATGGGACAATGATTGCATCGGGACGTGAGCTAGACACAAAGAGCTCCAGTGTGTGAACAGCAGCTCACCTGTTGCATGTTTTCTAGCACATTAAAACGATCCCCATGTTTGAGAGAGGTTTAAAATCCAACTCTGTGTGACCATACATGTCATTGAGATCATAGGTTGTCGAATTGAATTGGTCTTTTATGGACATTTTTCACGTATTGTTCAGTAAACTCCTGTATTTAAACCTTTGACTAGTAGTTTGTATTTCCTCTGTAATGGAGGTATGCCGTTATATGGTCTGCAGATTGTCCACAGAATGATCTACTGTATGTGTGATACTGGTTCAAACCAAATGAATCCACATCACAAAAAAAGAGCTTTAACTCAGAAAAGTTGTATTGTTCCCACCCTCTCCCATTCACATTCCCAGTTAACATGATGATGAATCTCTCCTAAACGTGTTAAGTAACTTTGGGTAAAAACATTTGCAATCAAATTAGCATAACAGCAGTGTTTATGGCCAATATCAGAAGAAGAAATAAAAAACACCTAGGTTGTTACTTTTAACTCAAAATGTTGGGTTGGAGCTGTGATGCTATGTTGGACCACTCTGATGAAATCCAGGAGTTCCGAATGAAAAGTAACTCTGTAGCAACACCTAGTGTCCATAAAGTATGGAGTGGTACTGCATCCAGTGTTCCTAACTAGTAACACCAGGAGACACAAAGGTACATTTTTGACTAATACCAACAGAGAATGTTGTTTTTTCAAACCAATAGGTCATGAAAGTAAGAACATACAACCAAAAGAGGTTATTTAACCAGAGACAAGACTAGAAATAAATACAGTGAAAACCAGATTTTTAACAGAACTGCTCTGCTTAAGAGGGTACAAAATGTTCCCTCTGCTCCAACTAAGTTGTAAAATAAAACGGCAAAAGGTGTTAATTTTCTGGTTTTAAAAAGTCATTCAGTCAGGTCTTCTGATTTTGTACACCCCCCCCCCCAAAGAGTCAGTACATTTGTTCCCAGTTCCTCACATCTCTCTGTTTAAGGCTGAAAAGTTCATCCTCTGTAAAACTCATCTTGTGTAAAACACCTCATCACTTAATTATATTGAATCCCAATCTGCAGAGAGGATTTATCCAGCAGTCATCAGATGGCAAATTACACATGTTTTCCATAAATATTTGTCTTATCATATAATTTGCAGAGGTTATGCTTAGTAACAACTGAATTAAGTCATTTCTTCTATGTCATGACGAAAACTGTATCAACGCTTTTTGCCATGTAGAAATTCCACTAATGTTCAAAAGTCAAAAACATTCTTATTTTATTTGTCCGTGCATCAACTTCTGTGATCAGAAAAATCTGGTATTTAATATTTCATAGAAATCCACACAGACCAAAAATAATAGACTTTAAGTTTTCCTCAAAATTGCTTCAGTAGAAAAACAAAACAAAGCAAGAACCTAAGGATGGAAAAAGAAAGCCTAACATTTTGCCTCCACACAGCAAGCAACACTCAGTTCTCATCATCTCAAAGGGCATCTATCAGCAGTCTGACCAGACACCCCTAACATCTTGCGATTACAGCAGAGAATAATGAGGATCAGAAAAGCAACTGATGGGACTATTTGCAGTTTAGCCAGACTTTTCTCCCCCCCCCCCAGCCTGCAGGAGTGCGGTGTGGCTTTAACAGGATGCTCGGGCGGTGACGTTGGGACTGGGGGGGGGGGGGGGATCTGTGGATCTGTGGGGCGGGCTGCAGCATCTGGACCGACTCCCTAACGGGACCAGAACCGAGCCGGACTGCGGACTGCCGGGATACCCTAACCCTGTGGAGGCTGCCATGAGGGACTACTCACCCGCCCCGAGCACCGGGGGCTGCATGACCTGCTGCCAAGTCTGCGTGTTCGCCTTTACCGCATTTCTGCTCGTTGCTGAGAGGACGGCGCGTGAGTCCTACCTGGGACACGCACACACACACGCGCACACACACACGCGCACACACACACGCGTATGCACAAGTAAATGTACAAATTCAGACAAATGACGCCGTGTGTGTGTGTGTGGGTCCGTTGTGTTAGTGTACCTGCGCCTGGTTCGTGTTGTTTGGTTCGGGCATGTGCGCGCGCGTCGTTTTGACCACAGTATGCGGTCAGATGTTGATGTTGAGCACGCGAGAGTCACAGTGACCGCAGCAGAGACTCTCAGGCAGAGCCGGAAGGTCCGGTTTGATCCAGCATCTGCATCCAAAAAAAGTTGCTCGTTATTACGCTTTCCCCTTTTTCTCTGGTGGTGGCATAAATAATTCAGCCTCACAGTCTGCAGTCTTTTCTGTTCCACACCGTCCATGTTATGAAAACCTGTACGTCCCCAGACTGCTGACTCATGGCACAATTTGGTTTCATTTGGACCCCTTAAACCGTGTCATTTTCTTGTTGATCTGTCTCTAATTTAAAAAAAAAAAAAAAACACAACCTAGGCGCGTTGTCATGTTTGAGCGCTCTTTTTTGGACGCGGATGAATGGACGAGGGGATGGGCGTATACCCGGGGATGGGGCCTAGTCTGCCCGGACAGCCCGCCCTGTTTTTGGCAGCTGAAAAGCTTCAGATTACTTGTGTGGAGGGAGCGCAGGGCCACAGAGAGAAGATGGAGTGTGCAGGAGCAGAGTACAGGCGCTGTGATGGACAGAGGTCACTGAAAATGCTAGTTAGTCCACATATAAACGCTGTTTTTGTAAACACTATAGTCAAATCATTGTGACACATAATACCGTCATTGTGGCATCTGTGTCTAAAGATGAAGACTGCTTTTTGTCAAAGAAAAAGTACACATACGTATTTTTCTATATCTATATCTATATTCAAATCCAAAATGCCTGATCCTCTACAGTAATGTCCATGTATCGTAAGTCTCTTTGGATAAAAGCATCTGCTAAATGCATAAACATAGACATACTGTATAGTTAGCCCACGTAAGTCATAGTTATCATATCATTCTGTAGTCGTTTTTACATGCTTTGTAAAAAAGTTCCTTCTATTTCAATAATCTTACAGCCGACTGACAGGCCTCAGCTTGTTTCTGTGTTGAAACCAAGAACAGATGTCTGAATATGTGGTTTTAATTATAATAATTCTAAAGGTTTTTTTTATTCAGTCAAGCCTTTTTCCAACTTGATTGTGGCCTGTAAATGTATTTCATATATATGTGTGGCTTTTTTTTGTCTCCCCCCAGTGATCTACTGCTTTGTGTACTACCTATGGGTGGGTCACAACTACTGCTATGCCCATCTGGCTGGTTTCACTGCCCTGTTCCTGCTGCCAGGTGACACCCACAGCCACAAACAGATCAATGAACAGAGGGCGTAGATAAGGAAACAAATCAAAGATACTACAATACCATTTAGATACACAGATAAAAATTTGTGCACAGTATAATTCTTTACACTGGACATCAGACATGTTAAAAACAAACAAACATACACAAGCACTCGAGCAAAGTGACTGATCTCCAATACAGAACAAGAATAACATCCATATTTTATCCACAGTTCCTGTAAAATCTAACTTATGTGTTAAATCAAAGAAGAGCACACTTTTACATGAACTCTATGTTATATCTACATATAGATATATATATAGTGGATGGTAAATAATATAATGCATCTTTTTATTTGAACTTTTTTTCAGGTTGGGGTCCTCAGTGGCTGAGCTACCTGTGGTACCTGTCTGATGGACGAATCCGCAGGAAGTCTCTCAGGTGGACTCACATTCTGCACCTGGGGATCTTCAAAAGGTGGGCTTCTTTTAGCTGTGTGGACATGTAAGCAAATCTGGATCATAAAGGGAGGGTCATTTTTATCTCTCAGTGATTGTCGTGGAGATATTAGTCTTCCAAATCTGGTCTTGATTTTTGATGAGTGCTAGTGACCATGACTATAATAATATTTGACTCTCTGTCTGCTCGTTGGTGGCCGTGTTGGGCCCTCTCAGGCTGTGGGAGTGTATGCGTCTGCCTGATGAGGACGTGTACGGGGAGATCATGCAGCAGGCTGACGTCTCTGCGTTACGGCTGTTTGAGGCCTTGGTCGTCACCCTCCCTGAGACGCTGCTTCAGACCTACGTCCTCATCTGTACCGATATAGGACTCAAATCCCCCGGTAAGCGGAACATATATTCAGACAAGATAAAAAATAATTATTGGAAATATTGGAAATTTTACCGATGGAGGCGATAAACTCCAGAGGAACGCTTTATTTTGTGTCTACTGAGATGTATGCAGAGCAGAAATTGTTTTCAAACACTTTCAAATGAAAAATCACCTTCACCACTCCAAATATGAAACATTTTCAATTGACATTTGTATTTGTCAAGTAGCTCTGTGAAAGTCGCAGAGCCGGAAAATGAAAAACTAAAGTACAAGCAAACAAAATAAAAAACTAATAAGTTGCCCAGACCTGTGAAGGCATGAAACACAGAGGTCAGAGTGACAAAACAGACAGGCAGCAGATGAGGATCTGACCAAAACTGCAGGAAACCAACAAGCTTATGTTGAGAGGAGGGCGATTAGGGAATGAGGTGGGACACTTAACATGGGGAGAGGTACCATATGCTTAGGTTAAAGCATCCCTGTGTCTCCATCTCTCTCTCTCTCTCTCTCCATCCTCCCCGCTTTCTCTTTTCTCCAGCCTCGGTGTGTTTTGTGGTGTGCCTGCTATCTCTGGCCTGGGCTTTGGTCCTCTATGCCAGAGCCTGTTCACTCATCAGACCAGGACACTTACAGATGACCCCGGCCGCCATCCTCTGCCGACTGCTGTGGAGGGTGGGCAGAATTAAACAACACTACAAATTATAGATATGCGCAAAATACACCCTCACACCTCCAAAGTGTCACCAGTCACACTGGGATATGTCTTTGTGACGGAGGTGTTTTCTCTGTCTGCAGGTCAGCATGTTGGGATCTAGGTTTGCTGTTCTCATGCTCTTCACGCGTATTTTCAAACAGTGGGTCCTGGGAGTTATCGGTGAGTCCAGGCCCTAAGGCCTCACCTCAAAGCTCATTTGTCTGTATAATTACTGTTTTGTAGAAGTGTAAGTGCATTATTCTGGAGGTAAAATTCTCATGGGACACCTTTTCTGTCGTGAACTTTTAAAACTCGGGATCAGTGTTTTTATGGTTCATTAGAATCTGAACGCTGTTTCAGAAGTGTGTGTTTGCGTTTCAGGTGTGCACTGGCTGGGCGCCACTTTCTGGATGGTGTCTCAGCAGACTGACATCATACGCTCAACTAATCGATGGAGACTCTTCAACCTCGTTCTGGGAGCCATTCACATCTTTCTCTTCCTCAATGTGAAGTATGGTCAATCCAGATGTCGCATGGCGGGGTTCTACCTGGTATGTTGGACATGATTTAAAAACAGACTCAAATTAAACCATACTATTTCAAAATTGAATAAAAAGAACATCCATTCTGGTAATGGAGACTGCTCATTTGTCATCAGATCATGGTGTTTCTATTCCTATTTGCAGGCCATGTTTATAGAAAACGCTTTTCTTCTTCTGGCCTCTTCCTGGATGTTTACTATGGTGTCCTGGGACACTGTGGGCATCCCAGCTGCAGTGTTTTGCAGCTTTCTCATTGGTGAGGCATCCAGCCATGTATAGCATTACAATTATAACATGGAAATTTCCTTTGAAGATTTCTAAATGTGACTATACAAATTTCTTTTTAAGAGGCAAACTTTTCTTGGATCTAAATGTTTTTTTCTTCTCATTGCTTTATTCCCGCTGCAGGAGTGATAGCCTTGGTGCTGTATTATCGTTTCCTCCATCCTAAATCTTTTGAGATCTTCCAGAGTATTCGTCACAGGGGGATAAGTGGAGCCTGCATGGAGCGTGGATCAACACTTTCTTTAGAAGAGAAAGTCTCTCCCTCTTTCCATCGCCATGCCACATTGTCAGGTCAGTTTGGTAATCACTTATGGTTATATTTATTCCAGTATCTCTATAACATTCTCTGGAATTCCGTGGTCCTAAACAAAAGGCTGTGGATTTTCTGATCAGGAGGTGGGACCCTTATGGACCTTCCTATCCAGTGGGAAGGCTGGAAGCATCATCACTGGTTCCTGATTCGCTTAGCACTTAAAACTGGTGATGTTACAAGGATTTGGTCTGCGTACGGTGAGGGGGGACTGGCCGGACTGATGGGTCTTTCTGAAGAGGTCCACTCCCCTGATGTACACCATGTCCCTCGGGTTTGTTATTGATTTGAGCTACAGTTCTCAGCTGTTTGATTTTTTTTATAATTTTTTTTTTTTTTATGCTGTGAAGTTTATCAGTAATTACATTTGTAGGTATTTTGACAGTCTATGCGAGTATGATATCTTTAGATTGTGCATATCAGTCTAATATGTGACGTGATTTGCCAGCTTCCGCCTGTCCAGCCAAAGGCCCCTCAGATCTCCCACCCAGCTCCACAGCCTGCTCCTCCAGCGGCTACTTCACTGGACACCCAAGCTCCTCAGGCAAGATGTTATGACTGACATTTTAAAACTGGGAAATACAGATTAGCAAGTTCCCAGTTTTAAGGCGTATTCTATATTTTTAATTGGATTTTACACTAGATGAGCCTATTTTGTTTTTCAGTCTAAGCAATCTCAAATTTCATTGCCAGCAGCTGCAGCCACCAGGTTATCTTAAACAAAGTCATTTGACCAGCTGTTGTCAAATATCAGTACTTAGATCAATATTCCGTTTAACACTATCTTTTGTCCAGGTGAGGGAGGTGGTTCAGCCACCCAAGCCTGTTCAAAGCAGCGTTGTGGCCCGACCAGTGAGAAAGACTCCACCCACAACCATCCAGGATTTGAGAAGGTTTCCAGAAATCAAACCACTTCAGGACGTCATCCCAGAAGAGACAGCAGAGGAAGAATCCAGCGGGCAGCCTTCAGATGAAAAAGGTTTGGGGCAGTCAGAATTAATACAAAAGTATGAATACGGGTCTATTACTCTATTCGATCCAACACTACGCTCCTTGGATTAGTTGCAGATGTTTCTCTTCCATTCATTCTTTAACACTGATTATGCATTTCTGATGAGAAGCACTTGAAAACATGAATTCAACCAGTGGCATACCTAAAGAGAGAGCTAAAAGATCTCTCCACTTTTTATGTTATAAAGCATGTGTAACCCTTCAAAACAGCTACTGTATGGTATTTGTATGGCTTTATTTAATATGAAATTGAAAATGAAGCCCTTTCTGTAAAACCAATTACATAATGGAGGGTTAAGCACATTCTTTTCAGTTCAATTTAATTATTTTTCCTTTTCTTGATCCTTTTTTTATTATTTAAACAAACCATGCTTGAATCTTAAGAAAGAAAGTAGTTTGTCATGAAAATGCTTTTCTTTTCCTGTAACAATGTTCTAGGTGATGAGGAGTTTCAGAGTGCTGCTTATGGCTCACCATCTCTATCATCTCCTCAATATGTTGGAAGTCTCCGTCACATTGACAGCAACGCTGCCTCTCTGACCGAGGCCTCCTCCTCCGTGGCTTCTCTGGACATCAAAACCCCCGGCTGGTCACCTGAGCGACGCTCTCCTCTCCTTATTGGCTCCCCAGAGAAAAAGTCAGCAGTCCCAGGAGAGTCTAGCACTACCCTTTATTTCAGTGCAGATGCTCACTCACCTTCCAGTGGGAGCTATCTTGGATGGGGCTCAGAGTTGTCGCCTATATCTGTCTACCGAAGTCCCTTCCGAATCAGAGAGGCCCGATTTGTCACATCAACCCCACGACTGGAGCCGCGGGGTGGGGCTGAAAGTCCTGGCCCGTCCCCAGTTGTGGTCACCCCTGCCACTCCTGGCACAACTCCAGGTGGGACACCTGGGGCCTCCACTCCTGTAGCTTCAACTCCTGGGGCCTCCACTCCTGGAGGCTCCACTCCTGCCGCTTCGACTCCAGGTGCTACCACACCCGGCACTCCAATTGTTCCGCTCACTCCCGTCATTTCCCACGCTCGCAAACAGATGGTCCAGTTCGTGGACAGTAGAGAGAGGGCGGTGTAAGGATAAGGAAAGTATTCCCGTTCAGCATTAACAATATTTAATACATTCATTATATCTGTTTGGGATTTACATGAATAATACGTCACCAAACATCAGGAAATGTTTGTTCAGAGTTAGCAGGTCTTTTCATTTGATTGCAGAGTGGCATGGGTATTAATATTTGTGTTGTTTTCTCACTTCAATGCAGGATGATTATATAAAATACCAAAATAAAAGGGGGAACAGTAAATATGTTACAAATTAAACACCTATGAGGGCCGTTTGCTAATACAAATTTAGTTGTGTTGGTCTTGGAGTCATCGGTTAGCTGGCTAGAACATGCATTCAGGAGCTTCTACCAGAACAAGCCTCCTCACAAGGCAAAATGGGATTTTTAAAAATGCAAATCATCAGTTTCTGCCATCAACAAATACTGATTTACATGATGACTGTCCACTTCAAACTGGGGAGAAGTGCTGAGGGGGTGGAAATTTACACATGAGAACAGAAGACCAATTGCAGTTTAGTCATCATGTCCCATCCAGTAAATATGGATGGGACAATGATAATGGGATAATGATGACAATCACACTGGTATGGCATTGTTATAAAGGCTTTGCGTTAAAACTACAAAGCTTAAACAGGATGCCAACAACTGAAGTGTTAGTTTAAATCTATGATTTAAAAAACTAGTTTACAGAAACCCATCATTCGTTTTCTATATGAGTGTGTGGTAAAATGTGTCTTTTTCAATGACACATCACATTCAGATTACTGAGCATCTTTTTGCTGAACATCTCATTTTTGTCTGGACTCACTCAGCCATCCAGTCAGTGACTGTTTAAAGTGCAGGAAACCTTTTCTGTCTATGCTCTTTGCTGATATACACAATGAAACAATTCAGCCTCATAAATTAAGCCACAAGTTAAAAAAAATAAAATAAAGAACTTTAGCTTTAGGTTCCCATCCATAATTTATTATTACTCTCAGAATGGGTGGTGACAACGTTTTATATAAAATTACTTTTTCTTTGCTTTAACAGCACATAATAACACAGAAAGTGCAGCTTTTTTATCGTTGGTGTAGCTTGATACTTAACAAAATACAACACACTTATATGTGAATTTACACTATTAAAGTCTATTAACTAAGTTTGATATTTGACCTTAATTCTTAGAGTAGTTTGGATTCATTTGACACTGTGGCCTCACAGCTATGGCCATTCCTACCACCCAGTGACTATGGGGTATACTGAGGTGTTATAGAAAGTGAATGGATTTTAAAAAATGTAAACATATCTTTATACTATCTAGAAGATATAGTCATGATATTCATCACATAATATTGACTAACAAGGACAAGAAGAAGCAAGTCGTTTTCAGAGGCACCAATGACATACAGCAATATACTAAATCCACACTGATATGCATATTGTAAGAAACTGTTTGATCCTGTCTAACAGAAAACAAGCAGCACTTATAACTTTGACAATCCTGCGTTGCTGCTCTTTTGAAAATGATGAAAGAAGGGAATAGTATGAGTGATGATCCGATGTAACACATAGAACAAGATGATAACTGGTAGTTATGTTGTTTATTTTGTGTTAATGTGCTTGTATTGAGCAATTAATTCACACCAAATCAACGGTAAGCATGATAAAAACATTGCTTTCAGTTTTCACTTTCTTATTCGAAGCTTACTTCAATATCTTTTTTTATTAAATACATTTGGCCTTTAGTTGTACACTCAGAGACCATTTTTATCTGGCATACCTGGCACCCTATGCATTTATACCCTTCTGTGGTATAAGTGGACATGTCTCAAAAATTCTTAGCTGAGAAACAATAACAAGCCCTTTTTTTCTAAAACATAGCATATAAACTAGTTAGAACTTGGGTTTTCATTGAAAAGTGGAAGTCTGGTTTTAATGTTCAATTATGATATTAAACTTTAAAAGCCCATGAATCCCACATTCTGATCCTGCAACTGCCCCATGTACAGTTAGTTTACTCTCCTACCTCAATAAAACTGGCGTTCCATGACTAAATAGATTTGATCTTTTTCAGGGGACTAGCCTTTTCTCAATGTATGACTGAGCAGTATTTCTTCAAATTCAAAAATGATTTAGCCAACGCAGTCAACGAAAAAGCAGCAGGAGTTGGTGCAGATGTTCAGAGTTATGATATTGTGATATAAATATAGAGTTCTATAGTATTAATCATTAGGTAATTGACAATATGAGTCTTCCATGTTAATTAACCAGTTTTTCTATTTTTTTACTCTAATTCTATTCTTATGCTAAACCTTAACATTTGCAGTTCTTTTTCATAATAATATATCAGCTAGAAAGTTGCAACTAAAGTCTGTAATGAGCAGGTAAATTATTGTATTGCTCATGTTTGAAAGTGTATACTATGAGTCTATATGGGAGAAAGTATTGAGAAAAACACGATTTATAGCAGAACTGCTTTATCAAATGTTATCCAAGTGATATACGTGTACTGCATGTTACTCATTTAAACAAACAAATAAGGGACAGCACTTGCTTTAACAGCACATGCACATTGTTGTCGTTTGCACACATGGTAGAATGTATGTGTATGTAGCAGCAATAAGTCAGTCGATGAAAAGCACTGTTGAAAAATATTACGCGCACACGCTTAAGTTATGCCTTTGCTTGATCATTATGAGTAAGCGCTTTGCCTTTTACAAAGAGACCTTCAGCTGCCACACATGCCAGCTTTGCTTTATGCACCTGTTGAATAAAATCAAATTTATCATTTGTTTCATTCTGTATTTTCTAAATGTTCTCTTTTTTATCACATTTCCTTTTTGAAAATGCTTCGACGTGGTTTGTGTTGAAGCTTCATGTATGAAGTTGTGTAAAATGCAGATAGTTCTTTCAAACAGACTTGAATTAGTTTGCAGATTGAATGTAACTTCACTGTGGTTTCTGGGTATCCACGTCTCATCAATATGTGTCACCTCATCTTCTCAAGGCTCTCATCAGAACCACTGTGGTTGGTAGACATGACTCATGAATTGTGCTATTGATGTGACAAAATAAAGCCATTTATCTTAACTGACGCACAAAGTCCTCTGGTGTATTCCCTCCGTTTGCTCTAAAGTAATTGACACTTTACTGTTAATTACCTTAGTTATAATTAAGTATTGTTTCACCGTTTTTTAATCTTGAAACAATCATACTGTTGGTATGGTCAGCGTATATGCAGAGCTGGGAGCAAAGTGTACCCCCTTTTTTTTAGAGTCTGTATCCTGATGGCTCACTCTACCACCAAAATCATGGTGACTCGAAGTTATATTTCTGTAAGGTGTCAAAAAACAAATGTAAATCTGAAAATGCCAACTCATGGCTTGGAAAATATTCAAAAAAACATTCACAAGATGTCAGTTTTTATAATGGGGATATAAAAACATCAGCCATTACCGGTACAGCATCATTAGGTTATGTTCAGCCTCCGGTAGATTAGAGAAGTACCAACAGAAGCTTTTCAAAGTATGAACAAAAAAAATTGTTGTCCTACTGCTTCCATCTACAGTGAATGTAAAGTGAGGAAGACTGGATGATTTTACTATCATCTGGGTGAGTTATCTAACTGTACCCAGTTTTTATGCAGTTGGTGCATAGCTGTCATGCAGAACTCAGTATTTTTTTTCAAGTCTCACCATTCTAAAAATCAGCTGATAGACTCATAAAGAGGAAGAGAAAACAGCAAAAAGTCAGCATATTTTCTAGGCTTGTGATCCGCAATCCAACACAGCAAGAAAGAGAAAAGAAACCCCATTAGTTACAAATCATGATACAAAATAAAATCATTTGAGTTACTGTTAAAATATAGTGTCTCTAAAAAAAAGGATGCAAAAGATACATTAAAGACAATTCAACCCACCAAAAACCTGGAAAAATGTATAGCTGACATGCTGCGAACAGTATTGCTTCTATTTCTCACTCATAAAGAGGAAGGGAAAACAACAAACCAATCAGCATATTCTCTGTGGTAAGTGATCTGCAGCCCAGCTGGAAATAGAAAAAAATCACATCAGTTACGAATCACAAGACTGAAGACAACAGATGTACAAGTCACAGTATAGACTGTTTCTAAAAAAAGAATGAAAAATATACCAAAAGCTAATTCAACCTGTTAAAATTTTGGAAAGATTACATGAAATGTCTTATTATGAAATCCTTATCTGGACCAAAGATGATTCTTTACGCTTCAATTGGGTTGAATTAACTATTTAAAAAAGAAAAGATTACCGACTTCTAAAAAAATGGAAGATAAGACATTTTGGAGTTTGCACACAAGTACTGACATGGTCACAAGACACAGAGAGAAACGAGATAATCAACCCAGAAGGAACAAAACAAACTGTTAATCACATCAGGTTATATAGAGGAAAGAAACCCTTGAAAATACAAAAAGACACCCCAAAAAAACTTTGCACACAGAAAATCTTAGATTAATTTAAAGGGTGTTTTCAGTGATAAACTGAATGCATTTTTTTATTTTATAAATGACAAAATGCTTCAAACAGCAGTTCCATGTGTTGTTTCCTAATTGGAGTGTAGTGTAACTCTACAATAATGAGCTGTCTGAAGATGACACTTGAAATAGATAAAATCTAGATTTAAAAAAATAATATAGTGCTCATCTTAGAGGTTACCTTATTATTCCTAACAACAGTATATGTTTAAGAGTTGAATCATGTTTGTGAAAGAAAATAGGGGGGTGTAAAGGAGTGATATTTTATGCAAGTTATTTCCAAGTGAGCTTTAGCGCCCTCTAGCTGTCAGATGGCAGATGGCAGTATTTCAAATGAGCTATGTTCCCCACACACCACGCTTCAACTATAAATATGTATTTTATTTATTAAAAGTAAAACTGAATGTATCCCAGTTATCATTATTCATGAAGATTACAATTCATGTGAGTAAAAATATTTCTCTTGCATCCGCCCTTTTGACTGCAGTTCAAACAGAGGGGCGCTTTTTGTAACGAACAGTCAGTCAGAGATCACATGAGCTGCGTTCATGTGACTTGAGGCACGTGCTTCCCGGAATAAATAAGGCACAAGGAACAACACTCATTAGTACAATACTCGGGTGGTCTTCGCAGTGGGGAGGACCTGGAGCCAAACATTTGATACATTTTACATCAACAGGCCACAAACAAGCGACAGGTAACAGCTTTAGCCGTCCCTGTTGTTTTTGTGTTTCAGTAGCTAGCTAGGTCTGTTCCTGTTCCAGTCAGCAGCTTTGTATCCGTGTTACTGAACATTTTACGCTTTGTCTGACTTCGAAAATTATATTTTTGGTTGTTTTTCTTATGTCTTTCGTGTGCTTTACGGGTGTCTGGCTGCGTGACCCAATTTTATTATCTTTATTATCTCCGTCAACGGCTCAACATTTGACCCGGGTGGGGCTGGAGTGTCCCACTAGAGGTGGATCCATGATATTTAAAGATGATTGAAAAATCTGAATTTTCTGGGTGTCGAATCATCTTAGTGTGGGATGGAAGCATCTTAAATGCCGACAGGTAAAAAAATAAATGTAATTTAAAAAAAGTATGTAGGTTAAAGCTGCGTTATAAAACCCACATAAGGAAATGGAAAGTGAAACCGTGCCCAGGCAGAGCGGCCAGTGTGCCCTTTACCCACCGGACACACAGCCAGTCAGGCCTTTACCCACTGGACACACAGCCTGAGACCCCACAGCTGAACACACACACCTGAGGACAATGACCACAAATGCACAAAACCATTTGCTGTGTAGTCTGCAGGGTATTGTTATCTAAAGGGAGGAGGGAGGTGTGGAATTTTAAAGCGATTTCTACAGGATTTGACAAGCTTTACATGTTTTTGTTCTATGAACATGCAACAGGTGGGAAGCTAATGAAACCCAGGTCTGTCCCCAACATGCTGCAGTGTTTAAGAGAACATACACTTACAACGCTGAAGGGACAGTTGGTGAAAGAATTACAAAATGTCAAGTGAGGGATTTTCTTTCTGCCCTAGGTGTTGACTCATTTGAGGCTCTTAACCCCCACACACCTCACACGCATTGAGGTTTTAAAAGGTTTTAAAGGTTAAAGGAAATAAACCGTCGTCAAGTGTGGGCTCTTTGTCAGAGAATACTGCAGATCGCAGTGATCTGATGACGCTTTCAGCTCTGACTCAGCAGATTTGTGTGGATTGGGCCATTAGACGTTTTATTGAAGTATTGATTCCTTGTTGGGAAATGAATGACTTGCAATATAATCATGAAAGTAGCATACCTCTCAGGCAAAGACCATTAACTTAATAAAGAGAAGTGAAACTTTAGTTTAATCATGGTGCACACGTACATCATTGTATAATGGGGAAGTAATCTTGCTGACACTAATCCATCTCCCTCGATCATATGATTGAGTTTCCCCAGAACTGTGTCTCCTATAGACCTGTGATGGAAAGGGGACATTCCCCAAAAAGGTGCACAGGTGCTAAACAACGACTTGTGTTCTCGTCGGAGTATAACTGAGGGAGTGTCTGCTTTTGCGGTGTGGACATAAATTTTCTGAAAGAGGAACTGACTGATCAGTTAAGGGAAAATAAGTTCATTAAGGCTTCGCTGTACTTTCCTGATCGCACGCACTGCTGAATGTGTTGCGAAGCAGTTCCTTTAACCACTGTGGAGGACTTCTAAAGCATGACTGAGAATACTTGGGAATGTTTTTTTCACATTCCATTTGCAGCTGCAACCAACATGGACATTTTCAGTTTTTCTCGGCCGGGCAGCGTAGAGTGTATCTAAGTGGGCGAAATGGTGCGTTCAAGCGCAGCAATGCATTAACACAGGAATGTTTTCAATATTTTTCTTCTTGAGGGTTTTAAAGTGGTTCATTTGGTAGCTGGAGTGTCCTGAGCAGTCGTTTTCTTGCGTCACACTGCACTGCGAGTAACCACTTTATCATCTTTCTGTTTGTCAGACAAAATGTGGCATGCCGCTGTACTCCTACTGGCTGCCTGCTCGTCTGTGAGCCTGGCCAGACCCCACCTACATCCTCTGACCAGTGAGATGGTTAACTACATTAATAAGATCAACACAACCTGGAAGGTGATGGCTTGTGTATTTATTTCCGTTACATCTCTCCAAGTGGAAGTTGATCTCTTAGACATATTTGTCTTTTTTACACATCGCAGGCAGGGCACAACTTCCGTCATGAGGACTACGGATATGTCAAGAAACTCTGTGGTACAATGCTGAAAGGACCAAAACTTCCCACCATGTGAGTCTCGGATGCATTTTTTTGAAATTATTTTATACAATACAGAAAATTGACATCAGTCACCTTCATGTCAGTAAGACTGTCCAGTTTACACTGTTTGAGAACTGAGAAGCAGAGGTTTCAGTTCCAGAAAGCTACAAAAAGACAAAATGCATCAAGTTTCACATCAGTGTTGTACAGTAATCCTCTCATCTCTACAGGGTTCAGTATGCCGGAGACTTTAAGCTGCCTAAACAATTTGATCCCAGAGAGCAGTGGCCTAACTGTCCAACGCTGAAGGAAATCAGAGACCAGGGCTCCTGTGGATCCTGCTGGGTGAGATAAATTCACTAGTTATGACATGGGAGGCAGGCTTTTTGTCTCAAAAGGCCTTTCAGTCTGAATGGCATCAAAGTTCTAAAACACTTTATCAATTTAGATGAGAAAAGCTGCAAAAAAAACTGTAACATCGGAAAGCTTAAACTGTTGGAACTGTCCGGTGCGCCTTGTTTAGCTCTAATCTCACGAGGTGGTTCTTTCTCCAGGCGTTTGGTGCTGCAGAGGCCATCTCTGACCGTTTGTGCATCCACAGCAACGCTCAAGTCAGTGTGGAGATCTCCTCCGAGGATCTGCTGACCTGCTGTGACAGCTGTGGGATGGGGTAAGGTACTATTTATGCGGTACAACAAAAGGATCAAGAAGGCTCAATAATGACTGTTTTGGTGTGAATATACATCAGATAATTATTATTCATGCTTAAGCCACATATCTGCTGATGTGAAGTAGGAGTGCTGGGTATATTAGTTATTTATTTTTCCTTTATAGATGTAATGGTGGTTACCCTTCAGCTGCCTGGGACTTCTGGTCCAAAGAGGGACTGGTGACCGGAGGTCTTTATGACTCTCACATGGGTGAGTTTTTGTGCCTATAAATCTACGTCTACACCAAATGATTAATTTAATGAATATTAAAGACTGACATTTCAGCACTTTAAATTTTTTTTCTCTCAATTCATGCACATGATTGTTCTGTTTGGGGAAAATAAGCTTAAGTTAAAAATGAGGCCAATTTAATATTCTTAAAACATTAGTAAGTCCATTTGATATTATTGTTAGGTATGATTAAATTGAGTGTGCGTTTGTGTATAAACACAGTATTGGAACAGTCTTTGTTGAAATGAGAGCCGGTTCGGTCTCTGTAGGGTTTGGAGTTGTGTAAAGGCGTTGTGTGGTACAACACACGGCTGCATACTTGTGTGTCCTCAGGTTGCAGGCCCTACACCATCCCTCCCTGTGAGCACCATGTGAATGGCAGCAGACCCCCCTGCACAGGGGAGGGTGGGGACACTCCTCAGTGCAAAAGCCAGTGCGAGACAGGATACACACCCAGCTACACTGAGGACAAACACTATGGTAAGAACAGCTGGGGACATGTGGATCTGTTCCATACAGAAGAATGCAGTGCAGTACCCTCACTCTGAGTTTTTTTGCAGGTAAAACATCCTACAGTGTGCCATCAGAGGTGGAACAGATTCAGTATGAGCTATTCAAGAACGGCCCAGTAGAGGGAGCCTTTACAGTATATGAAGACTTTCCTCTGTACAAGTCTGGTAAGGTCACATGCCGGAGAAGCACTGAATCAGCATTATTCAACACCAACCTCAGAGGGCCACTGCCCTGCACGTTTCAGAAGTTTCCCTACTGATTCTGATGAAATGGACCCATTCAAAAGCTCCTCACAATTCTGCTAATTAATGTGAATCAGCTGTTTTGAAGCCTGGAGACCTAGAAAACAAGCTGGACAGCAGGCCTCGTGGGCCAGAGTTAAATACACCTGCACTCGATACTAAACATTGCATATAAAGCCCAGGGTTGTATAATGAAATGCTTTTTTTTTCTTTCTCAGTCAATTTGTAAAAATAATTCTTACTACTTCCTTTTTTTTTTTTTCAGGTGTGTATCAGCATGTGTCAGGCTCCCCTCTGGGTGGACACGCTATTAAGATCCTGGGCTGGGGAGAGGAAGACGGCGTTCCTTACTGGCTCTGTGCCAACTCCTGGAACACTGACTGGGGCGATAACGGTGAGCAGACACACACTTTTACTATTAACCTACTTTCACACAAAAGTAATCACTTTTTTTCATCCTGTTCTTAGTAGCTGTACTAGTTTTAGGGAAGCTGAAGTTTAGAAACTCTCTTTAGCACACAGAGTGCAGTATCTCTTATGAGATGATCAGATGGATTGTAGGTTGTGTTAATTGGAGCACGTGGCTTACTTCAGCGCACATCCTCTGGTTTTAAACCAAGATGTGAAACAGAATGTTATTACTTTGAATTTGGCTCAATATATACCTGCCATTCAACAATGTGTTACTGGCTGCAGTAGGAACTCTCAGATTGTCCTAAAGGGATTTATCTTGAATTTTTGTAACTTTGTGTATTCATCTTGGCTTGTAAAACTCTCCATTTTATTGCCCTTTTACTGTAATTATATTTGGATCAGTTTAAATTCAGTTATACCATCAATGGTTGGTCTCATATGGTGAGGATAAATTCCTGATAGGGTAAATGGATTTCTGTTTGTCCCTTGTCTTCAGGATACTTTAAAATCCTGCGGGGCGCGGATCACTGTGGTATTGAGTCTGAGATTGTGGCAGGAATCCCAAAATAAACCCCAAGGTAAGATAAGCTCTGTATGTATACAGTGTTTACCACAACAAAACTGTACAGAGCTAACTTGTGAATTCATAATTGTACACAAGCTATTCTAAATTAAAGAAGAATCCTTAATGACCCTGCGCCGCTACTACTGAAAACTTAAGAGGTTGAAGATTCATTGGTTTAATCTTCTTTCTTTTTGTCTTTCAGGTTTTGAACTGCAGCATCAATACATAATCACTAGAGGGCAACACACTTCGCTCACCTACCACAAAACAATGTTATTGCTTTTAGTCCTTTTTAGATGATAACTGTTGACTTTGCACAACAGTTTGACATATTATGGAAACAATCATGTACTGTATGGGGGATTCGGGGAATGACATGACAGAAACTCAGTGCCTGTACGCTAATACAGATTTCTAAGAAGATGGTGATACGTGTAAACAGAGCTGTTGGCATGTCTTGTGTCAAGGTGACACAGGAGGAAAGTATTTTAAGACTCCAGTGCATTTCTTTTTAGGCCAGTTACTTTGAAGCAGGTTATGGCTGATGTAGAGATAAATGAGTACCGTCAGACCCTGTCTTCGCAACTCATATTAGACGCCGGAATAAATTTAAGGCCATTTAAGAACAAATGCTGAATTAGTTTAAGTCCAACTTAATAGGCAGAGGTACGTTTTTCTGGAGGGAATTTGGAATGGGCCGGCAATTTTTTTGTCTAAATGTCTGGAAGCACTGCTCATGCCTGGTGCCTGTTGGTTTGTTTCAAATCTATGTATTAGGTGACAAATTCTACTTTTTATTCTAAGAAAATTGATGGCAATGGGAGAGATTTATGATCATAAAGGCATATTGGTGTTTTTTTATTATTATTAAATGACATTTTGGTTGTCAGCATGGTGTTACTCATTTCTTTTAATATTGGTAATTTTATTTACTCACTGTTCGGAAGGTGTTTAACTACTTGCACTAATGTAGTGATTATTTATAAATACAGACTTTAAAAAACACTTCAAATATAGAATTGAGTAGTTATAAACTGCCTCTCTGACAGAAAAATCAAAGTTATCAAAAACACTTGACTGCAAAATTGAATAGGGAAAAAGATAGAAACACCTATTTATAATTCCAGTCTATTATGTTGAATTGTTTTCTCTGACCTCAACACGTGACGTTGTGGGTCGGTGGGCGGAGTACTTCGAGGACCTCCTCAATCCCACTGGCGCGTCCTCCGTTGGAGGGGCAGAGCCTGGGGATCCGGAGTTTGGATCTCTAATCTCCGGGGCTGAAGTCACCGAGGTAGTCAAAAAGCTCCGCGGTGGCAAGGCCCCGGGGGTGGATGAGATTCGGCCGGAGTTCCTCAAGGCTTTGGATGTTGTGGGGCTGCGTTGGCTAACGAGACTCTGCAACATCGCGTGGACATCAGGGGCAGTCCCGCTGGATTGGCAGACTGGGGTGGTGGTCCCCCTATTTAAAAAGGGGGACCGAAGGGTGTGTTCCAACTATAGGGGGATCACACTCTTAAGCCTCCCTGGGAAGGTCTATTCAGCGGTTCTGGAGAGGAGGGTCCGTCGGATAGTCGAGCCACGGATCGAGGAGGAACAGTGTGGTTTTCGTCCTGGCCGTGGAACGCTGGACCAGCTCTATACCCTCAGCGGGGTCCTAGAGGGTGCATGGGAGTTCGCTCAACCAGTCCACATGTGTTTTGTGGACTTGGAGAAGGCGTTCGACCGTGTCCCTCGGGGTATCCTGTGGGGGGTGCTCCGGGAGTATGGGGTACCTGGCCCTTTGTTACGGGCTGTTCGGTCCCTGTACGACCGGAGTCAGAGTCTGGTTCGCATTGCCGGTTGTAAGTCGGACTCGTTTCCGGTGGGAGTTGGACTCCGCCAAGGTTGCCCTATGTCTCCGGTCCTGTTCATAACTTTTATGGACAGGATTTCTAGGCGCAGCCGAGGTGTTGAGGGTGTCAGTCTTGGTGGCCTAAGGATCGCATCTCTGCTTTTTGCAGATGATGTGGTCCTGTTGGCTCCATCAAGTCGGGACCTACAGCTCTCGCTGGAGCGGTTCGCAGCCGAGTGCGAAGCGGCTGGGATGAGGATCAGTGCCTCCAAGTCCGAGACCATGGTCTCTCACCGGAAAAGGGTAGAGTGCCTTCTCCGGGTCGGAGCGGACGTCCTTCCCCAAGTGGAGGAGTTCAAGTACCTCGGGGTCTTGTTTGCGAATGGGGGTAGGGAGCGTGAGATCGATAGGCGGATCGGTGCGGCGTCTGCAGTAATGCGGGCGCTGTACCGGTCTGTCGTGATGAAGAGAGAGCTGAGCCTAAAGGCGAAGCTCTCAATTTATCGGTCGATCTACGTTCCCACCCTCGTCTATGGTCACGAGCTTTGGGTAGTGACCGAAAGAACGAGATCGCGGATACAAGCGGCCGAAATGAGTTTCCTCCGCAGGGTGGCTGGGCTCTCCCTTAGAGATAGGGTGAGAAGCTCGGCCATCCGGGAGGGGCTCGGAGTAGAGCCGCTGCTCCTCCACGTGGAGAGGAGCCAGTTGAGGTGGCTCGGGCATCTGTTTAGGATGCCTCCTGGTCGCCTCCCTGGGGAGGTGTTCCGGGCTCGTCCCACCGGGAGAAGGCCCAGAGGAAGACCCAGGACCCGCTGGAGGGACTATGTGTCCCGGCTGGCCTGGGAACGCCTCGGGATCCCCCCGGAGGAGCTGGCTGAAGTGGCCGGGGAGAGGGAAGTCTGGGTTTCCCTGCTCCGGCTGCTGCCCCCGCGACCCGACCCCGGATAAGCGGAGGACAATGGATGGATGGATGGATGGATGTTTTCTCCTTATACATTGATATCATTTTTTTAGCAGAGAACTATCTGTGCAACTTTTAAATCATTATGTTGAGAATTCCAAATTGTGGCTGTTCATTCATTCCCAGATTTAAATCAGATTGCAGACAAACCTAAATTGTCGAAAAAGAGAACTTATAAGGACATACCATTTAGTATTTAGCCCTATATTTGCATTACAAATTGGATCCCAACAGAAAGGTGAGCCAACCTTTCCATGATGTCATAAACATGCGACACAAGCATTAGACAACGATCAGGGGCATTGTGGCAACGATATGCTGACTGAACGATGCTGGACTGTGGTTACGGTTTATGTACATCGCATTTATAAAGTCGATCACAGAAATAACTGAATCGAGCGTTTGTAGTTGCTCTGTTTTTTAAATGGGCGGGACCCAGGTGAAGGTGTTGCACATGCAGTCACGTGACTCCCAGGCCAATCAACGGCCGGCAGTCTGCCGTCCACCAGTGGGCGCTTAAAGTTGGGACAGCGCCTATCGGAAAATGCAAAAAAAAATAAAAGCAAACCGGTATAGAGTCGAGAAGATCCACTCTGAATAGGCACCAGAGGAACAGAAGATGAGCTAACTGAGACAGAAAGTTACACGAACAACGGAAAAACTGAAATGCAATATTAATTAGCAGAGTTCCGGATCTCCAGCCATATCCGCACCAGCACAGAGCACCCGACACGCGCTCTTTCCCAAACAGACCGAGAAGCCAACGCGCGTCCCTCCGCGGGGCGACGTAACGGGAAGTCAGTGTTCATTCTTCGAGAGCCACCGTAGTCTCATTGGAGCCAGCGATGGAGGGAGGCGGCAGGGTGCCGTGGGTGAAGTATGGATCCCTCATGTCCTTTTTGGTGGTTCTACTGGCTGTTTGGTTCCGTCCCCCCCAGGACGCCGTGCTGGACGGCCGGCTGGACACCGTGCTGTCCTCTCTGCTCCGGGCAGAGGGGAAAGTCGGGGTGAACAACGTCGCCAGACCCAAAGTGGCTATTGGTAGGTGCGACTGGAGAAGCTAGCTAACGTCAGCTAAGCTAACCTTTTTGGAAGCTGTTTTGAGGAATTGGAAGCTAATTATCTTACAATTGTGAAAGGAAAAGCATTCAAAACGCCTGAAACTCAAGTGAGCTGCTCCAGACGACATGATATAAACCTCATTGTTCGATATGATGCTCTCTGTCATGTTCAATACAGACAATTGAAGTACATTGCTAACTCTGTAAGCTGGCTAAGGTTTATGTAAAAGGAGGTAACAATGTTTTGATAATGTAAATGCGAACTTTTATATGTTACTAACGATAGATATAGGAAAACTACATTAGTTTTTTTTAAGGAATTATTCGTTTGTCAGCAACTTCTCGACGTAGGACAAATGATCTGTGTTATTAATAGATGCTGAAGCCAATCTGAGTATATATTGGAGAGTAGTCAGATATTGGAGCTCAGGAGGAAGCTAAAGAAAGGTGGTCATAATGCACAGTCATCAGGTCTGAGTCCAGCTGGAACAGTGTGTCCTGGACAGTGATCAGACAGCAACCCATCAGGCCTGCTGTGAGTCTGAACTATTGGACTGCAAGTACAGAGAAATTGAGTCTTAACGGGTTAATATTAGAAATGAAAGTGGATTAAGTGTAACAAATGTGTGGTGTGCACAAGAGAAACATAACCACTGTTTGCATACTGAAACCAGCTGAAGAGTTTAAAGATACACCCACAGCTATAAAAAAAACAAAAAAAAAAACAGTATAAGGTCAGGTGACACCAGGGTGTCTATCCATGATTAAATTCCTAAAATCTTGTCCTTTGGACTCTGATACAAACTCACAATAAAAATCATTAAGCGGTCACACTTTAACCATGACATCTGCAGGTTCGGCCACGCAGAATTTATTGTGTTGTAATTACAGAAGTTACATTTTGGTTAATCTTTTGTGGTGAAATTATTTAAACTGATTTGACATGACAACATCATGACAGTTTTCGACTTCTACAAAAACATACATTTTTTAAAAAGCGGCGGGGTACTATTATTGTCAAAGTGTCCTTTCTAAATATAGAAAATAAAATTTGAAGAAAGCAGTTTGTAAACTAAGTTGTGTAACGTTATGTTAGAATGTGCAAAATATTCAAAGACCAAAGTCTTTTTCTCACTAATTGCATGCATGGTTACATTAATTGCTGTTGTCTTGTTAACCTCTGTTCTAACTTTCCACATGTGGCTGAGGCAGAAGCTTCAGTACATTTGTTCAGATTGTTTGAATGCTCTCGATAGAAGGCAAACGCATTAACTGAATGCAACAGCATTTAGCTTAATACTTATTTTTTCTTTCTTCGTGTGTCATCCTTATGTTCTGCTGTCTTTTCTGTCATACTATTGCTTTATCTTCTCCAAACTTGGCCCCAAATGTGTATGTCTGGTTCTGAGGCGTGTTTATTGGATTTTCTTTTCCTCCATCCACAGGTTTTGGGGGTTGTGTTGACCTGATAGTCGACGGCGTGTCATTCCTGAATAAGATAGGCATCTCTTACACGGACCAGCCTGTCCATCATGACTATCTAGAAAATGCTGAACAGCTGGCTCAAAGCTTTGCCTACTTCTTCGCACCAGGAGCTGCTGCAGAGTAAGTGATATTCGATGAAGAGCAGCACACTTAAACTTTCCAGTGTGGTCCAGGAAAGGAGTCTTACATTCAGTATTGTAATGAAAATGTGCACCCACAGCAAATATAAGCTCAAGTTTCTTCTGTGTTAGAACCGGTTGGCTTAGATGTCTAATAGTTATACTAATGTATGCGTATCTGTGTTTTGTTAGATGGGAGTATGGGGAGTCGATGTGTCAGTGTCTCTCATTGAATCAGTCTACAATTTGAAAATTATGTCTTTTCATAGCTTTTCTGCTGTTGATGTTAAACAAAAACTGCATTTTCAACTAGATATTTTTACATATAGTCATATAACCGAGTCTTTCCTGAAGAACTGAATAATCCTGTTCTGGCAGTGTTAATCCTTCATTCATTGTCTTGAACAAATATCTAAAGGCAACAAGCTGACAAATCCTCTGACCGAAGAGGCTAAACAATACAACTCTGTTCCGAGATTTCACGGAACGTATTCGCCTATTTGGGTAGTTTAAGATAATAAGAAGAAGAAAACAGCTAAATGAAAATCTAATTCAGAGCTAAATAGTTCTTTGAACTGTCTTTGGTCTTTTATACATGTCCACTGGGAGTCTAGAAACTCACAGAACATCCTGTTATTATCTTCATTTTCAAAATCTTTTAGAAAATGTCAAAGCAGTGAATTCCCCCCTCAGTTTAGTTTAATTATTTTCTGACTGAGTTATACACCACACCTGCTTCCTGTTTCCTCTTATGTATCACTTTCTGCTGCACTAGTTTTATTTTCCTATTTCCAGTTTGAAAATCCATTAATCTCAACATACTTGCGACACATATTCAGCTAACAAGTTCAGGCAGATCAGTATTTAAGCCTTCTGCGGAGCTTTGTGGGTCAAACCATACTTCTCTTGTAACTTAACCCATTCAGACTATATCTTTTCTTTATAAGTGGCTTTTGAAACTTTGGGGTTTTCTGGCAAGTTTTGAACTTTTTCATTCTCAGCCTCTGAAGAAACTATAATAGGGAGTTAATTCAAATATTCTTACCGTAGTGTTTAAAAATAATTCATAGATGCACACATTTTTCTCTTGTGGACAGTCAAACCAACATGGCATTTGAAGGTTTAAGCACTAACTATCGGTTCAATATTACTAGAAAAGTCTTTCAAGAGTAACTCTTTTAATTTTCTCACCATTTTCTTTTTTATCTTGCCCCCTGCAGGCGGTTTGTGTTAAATGACACCCTCTTTAACGAGCTGGTGGAAGGTGCTCGTGACCTACCTGGAAACAGATGGTCGATTGGTGGCAATGCCCCAGTTATGGCTGGTCGCATGGCAACGGAGGGATGTGATGTGCTGCTAGGGGGAAGTTTCAGCACAGATTTTAAAGAAGTTCTGTCTCAACACATCACAGGTCAGCACACCCTCACTGTGCTTCCTTATAAACCTAATTAATCAGCTCATTTCGAATTCTATATTTGTTTTCAATCTTCGGATGAATTTGATTGCCCTCTCATGGCTTTCATTCCCAGTGGCTGGGGAAGTGATAGATGAGCAAGACATTCATCTGATCCTGGAGTATTCATCTGGGGCTAACTGGGGCAGTTATACATCACGTAGAGCCAACAGGTAGGTTAATCAGATGCTGTTTAGAAAATCTGCCGCACAAAAAGCTGGATTCCTGAGCCTCTGGGACATGATTTTGTTGCCTTTGTGGTTTGTGCTCTGTAGATACATCGTCCACAGTGATTATCACAACCCCTACTTGGCTTCCATGGACGACTTTGCTGAGAAACTCAATAGCTTCAAACCCGACCTGCTTGTGGTGGGTGGGCTGCAAATGATGGACAACTTCCCGTTCAAGTCAGGTAACCACATCAGCCACACCGAGCTCAGTGCACAGTATCCAAGCTTTGGTGCCACAACTTACTTTAAATGTCCACAGTATGAAAGAAAGGACATTATTGTGTCTATGGCAACTTTCTGTCAAATGTAGCCCAGGGATAGTTATTTATTATACTTATCCTTTAATGATCTTGAGCACAGTGGCTCAAACTGTATTTCCGATTTACTCAAATAGGTCTAACACACCCATAATTGTTCTGTCTGCAGGTATCGCCCAGCTAGACCCAAATAGGCCAAGTTTAGGCCAAATGGCAACGAGCATGTGTATAACAATATGTTCCCGAATAGACAGTGTGTCAAGCCACCATTCAGGTCACTTAAAGGGGGTCCATTAGTCCAACCCATGACACACAACCCCTACATTATTGTAGACTTTTCTCAGCCACTGCCACATTTCTTCAACTCTTTCATTGCCTTGTCTTCACTACATACATGTCTGATTTCCTTTGGTCCAAAAACTTTTTTTCTGATCTTTCTAATAATTTCTTTCTTTCTGTTTTTCCAGGGGAGCGGGCGGCTCTCCTCTCCCACCTGGCAGACCTGTTGATTTCCTCAACGCCTCAAATCGGCATCCATTTCGAGATGGCGAGTTTTGTGGAAGAGAGTATAATGGAAGACCTTCTTGAATATGTCATCCCTAATGTACGTATGACTGAGTGCTTCCTTAAGGACCATCATGAAATGAATATTTCCTTGTAAGGCTGAAGAGAAGAATGAGCATGTGAGTAGGATCTGTATAGAAAAGAAGCAGGCAGCTGAACAGGGGCAGGGAGTTCAATGTTAGGTTAGTCAAATATTTTGAATACATTTGTGAACAAAATAGTCCCCAGAGGACTTCAATTTGCCTTTCTGTATTTGCATAGCTGGTCCTGTCAGATCATTTCTGTCAATATTTTCTGTTTCTTGGGAGCCATAGTTGAGTGCAATGCACTCATTTGGATTCCTCCTGATTCATTCACAGGCTGACTCCTTAGGGATGAATGAACAGGAACTGCCTAATCTTCTCAGCCTGCTAAAAGGCTCCAACATCACCGTGCTGTCCGACCCGAGCCCTCGTGTGGCCACTGTCCTGGACCAGATGAGGGAGGTGTATCGCATTCTTAACCAGCGCTACAAGGAAGCCACGGCAGACAGCGATGCCGGCGGGGCTGAATCCAGGGGCAAGCCTCTGACCCGCCTCCACGTCCACACGCTGGCCTTCCAGGCCATGATAGTGACCCGGGGCTCTCAGTGGAAGAACACCATGTCAGCCACGGCCAAGGCCTCCCTCACCGCCAACCGCCACGTCTGCGGCTCCAACGACATCGACCCCAGCAAGGCCAGGCTCATCATGGACGACTCCTTCTCCATCAGCCTGCAGGAGGGCAGCCAGCGCATCCCGCTGCAGGACACCAGGCCGGTCAGCTGCTGGGATGAGGAGGACTACGAGATCTGCGTGGCCCCGGTGCTGGTGTGCACCGAGGTTTACCAGACGGCGGGCGGAGGGGACAACATCTCAGCTGCTGGCCTGGTGCTGCAGATCTAAAACAAAAAGAGAGGAAAAAAAGGGACTCCAGATGGTCTTTGTGTGTAGGGTTGACTTGATGTTGGCAATAGATGTAACTCTGGAAACTTGATCTCGGTGTGGTGCACTTTAGCTGTCCGGTGTTGAAAACGGCACCAGGCGGACGCCATCACCTTTGCAGCTCGCGGCCCGGGTCGAAAAGAAAGCCTGTTATTGTTCTCACCGAGCGGAGGCAGATGATGGACGGCAGTGACCAGTACTCGCACCCAAAGTTACTGCTGTCCACCCTCTGACCGGTGAGTTTAATGGCTCGTCCTTCTCTACTACTCTGAGGCCTTACAAACCTTGAGCCTCAGTCAGGATGAGACAAAAGAGGGATGAGGTTCAGATAACACGAGACGGGGACATCAGGTTGTTTTATGTAATGCCACCCAGGAAAGCCTCTGAATTATGTAGGCGGTCGTGTTTGAACAATGACCGCAGGACAAGTTATAGAATATTTAAATTATGGCTGAAATCTCCTTCCCTTGGGAGAATGTTGGGCAGGTATAGAACAACCTGTTGGCACACCGTTGCCTTTGAGCCAAGCTTTGAATGATAACCCCAATCATGTGCCTCTTCCCTCTTCTCTCTCATTTTCAAAGATTTGCCGTTGTTCTTCCCTCTATATGTGAAGTGTGCATAGTGGTTTGGGTGTGTTTTAAGTGTCATTCCTCTGTGGTTCAGTTGCAGTGCAATAATGCAAAATCCTTGTTAAGAGACCACTGTTGGTAGCTGGCTATGATGTCAACTTTTTCCTCTCTACCTCCATTCTCTTTTTTTTCCATGTTGTCCATTCATTCATGTTCTCAACACCTGCAGTCTCTCCAGTCTCCTTCTCATCCTTATTTCTCGTGTCATTTTCATTCATGTTCAGTGGTCATCTTTTCAGGTGAGGGCTCTATGGACCAAATAACCAGTGTGGGCGGCCCTAGACTGCAGTTAGGCAGAAGCTGCTGGTATGTGTGTGCCTCTCACATTCGGTAGCAGGATCAGGCCAAACTGATCTGTACTTGAAGCCATGATGGAACTGTGCAGAGGTCCACCACTTTGCGTTCACATTGTCTAGATTTTGTTCTCAGAAATGATAGAAGAATCACCCGGTGCAGGGCGCCTCATCACTGTTTACCACCACTCTCAACTCACAGCTGGTGTTTCCTAAATGGTTCTGAATCAGACTATAAGATGGCCCGTAGGCAAAAGGAAGGCACCGCAGTTAACGTGGCCATTGTCGTACTGTTTATGCTTTACTCACGCAACTGGACGTAGCGGGGAATAATTACAACTCGGCTTGTTTTTTTCACTATGTACAAAGCAAACATTCCATCACATCAATAGATCAGGTACGCTGCACAGGGAAGCTCTTCATGCCGGTTCGGCTTCCTTTGTTCAAAAGTTGCCCATCTAAATGTAACCCCCCACCCCCAACTCTTCTTTTGTTACAGAGGTATGAGGTCATGGAAATAGGAAAGTGAGTGAAATCCCTTTAATTTTTTTTCCTCTGTTAAGACTGATTTGACGGCGTTTTGTGAGGATGAAGATAAATGAGCCTTATTCTGTTTTTACTGCTGGCCTTTACTGAAATTTGAAAGTTTGATACAGACTTTTTCTATCACTCTAATTTTATTTTTTTGTTTTTCCTTGAGCCTTTGTCTTAAGTGCTGATTTAGATGCCAAAAGGGTCATGTTTTACTGTGGAATGAAATCATCCTGTAGCAGAAATCCATGCTCATGGATGGAACTGCTTGTGTTTGATACCAGCTCTTATCTAGTCTCTAGATAAGTTGCATCATTCATGTTTAAAGTTATTTAATGTGTCATGCATGCTAACTAAATGCAGAATCATCTTGAGATAAAATTATGTCCTGATCAGCAATCATTGGTTTCTTTTTGTTTGATTTTTTTTTCTTTCATACTCATTTTGCCTGCAAACTGTATGAACACAGAAGTAATAAATACACAACTCACTGAAAGCTCTTTTAGACATAGAGAATCAAACATTCCAGCACGTCTTTCACATTAAAAATGATCATTATCAGTGTAAAACATAACATTCCACAGCCTGCAGGTTCACAGCAGAGACTATGAGGAGTGTGTTCTATTTTAAGACCCAGCATGTTGTCTGAGCCTCTATTTTGGGCCTCAATGTGGGTTTGGGCTGCAGCATGCTACAGACCTCTTTCGTCTCAAATACAGAAGCACATTTCAGTAAAAGGGGGGAAGAAAACTCGATCACCAGCACTTGGCTGCAGTGTGAATGAGTTAAACTATGCGAACAGTGTGGAGTTGGAATTTCTCAAATGTGCCCTTTTGAATTATGTTTTTTAATTCTGAATTCAGGGATGCTCCTTTAACCACAAACCCTGGATTAGTTTGACCAAGTTACATTAATTCAAACTCTGACACGCAGACTCCTTCCTGTGCCTACATGTCGGGGTCAATGGTCAGCTGGCTGATTAGGTCTTTGTATATAATAAGGTTAAGGTTGCTGTCTCGATCAGTGAGCGCTGTCAGCATCTCATCCATTTCCTCCTGAGTGAAAGGTTCACCTGGTTTGAACACAAACAACTCTTAAACATATCATTTTATATATAAATGCGATCATTTATTTTTTAAACATTTTATTACCAAAGCTAACGGATTTACCTTCTTGTGTCATATACTTTGTCAGCTCCTCAGGCTCCAAAAATCCCTTCTTTTCCTTGTCCAGAACCTAGAATTGCATAATCAACACCTTTAAAGTTGGCCAAATGTCAGGCGTTGTGACACTGTGAGTCTTTTTGTAAACGGGTACACAACTCATACAAGGAAACAACCGGGGTTTACCTCAAAGGCCTGAAGCAGGTGGTCCTCAGGGATAGGAGGAAACCTAAGCAACAAGTGGCAGTTTAAGTCCTCTAGTTATGGATTAGCAAGACTTTTTTGTAACATCATATGTGCTTGTCTTAACACAAGGCTTTCAAGATTTTTACTGGTTTTAATAGAATATTATTATTTGGACAACATATGATCCATCCATATAAATATGTCCTACAGTGGAAGTGAAATGTCTGCTAAAAGGCCTTTTACTTTTTTTCTGGAGTAAAACTGATAGCTTGATAAAAAAACGTCCTCCAAAATCTTGAGTTTTCTTTTAAATTTTCTCTCATTTAGTTTTCATAACATTTAATACTGGTAAAGAGTGTTTCATCTTAGACTAGGCTGAGAAAAAATAGGATAATTCTTATGAAGTATTTGATGTCAGTATTACTGATGTCATGGTCTACAAATAGCAAAGTTAATAGCACCAAATAAAACAAAGTTATCTAAGTTAAATCATGTTTTCCCTCCAGTAGAGCAGTTTGTTAAAATGTTATGCCAGCAAAGAATTATTTGCATGTATATTATTTTTACCCTCCAGACAGACCTCATATAACTGATTACAACAGAAGGTAAACAATGCCGAAATTAGAGTTTCACATGCGGTTAGAGATGGAACAATAAATTCTTAATTACACAAGTGATCCCTAAAGGAGGAAGCCAGGGCCTCAGTCTGTGAGCCCACTGTAAAGATAATTTTTTTTATTATCTTTAGATTATTTTTTATCAGTAACGGCTGAGGGTGCCTGAGGTGAACACTGTTTTTTATTTCTTAATATTTAGTTTAATAAACCTCTGATTGTGTTTTAAATCATATTATAATGTTATGTTTTCCAAACTTTCAGGTAGTACTGTTACTGGGTTATGAAACAGCCTTGGGCATAAATTCCAGGCTTTGCATGATCCCACCTCAACCCAAACAAACAGTTTAGCTTTAGTTGAGAATGAACACTGGAGACTGAGAAGCTGTCTTACTTTTGCTCCAGCAGCACTTTGGTCATGACTGGGAGGAACCTTTCCCAATAGATGTATCCCGTGTTGTCCTCTTCCACCTAGCTGAACAGGATTTAGTTTATTTCCTCTCAATCACACATTTAAATAACCTTTAATGTATTCAACCACATCACCGATCTCAAATAACAAAATAATAATCTCATCATATTTTCTTCTAAATCTGTAACACAATCTAATAAATAAGCCCTATTCGTATATTTAACAGCAGGAGAAGAAGATCAGGATTCTAGCATGATTACAATCAGCAGTTTGGCTGTGACTGTACATCCGAAAAAGAGACTGATTCATTTATTCATTATGACCAAAATGTGAGGAAGCTCTGTTCTGACCTCCACAATGAAGTCATGCAGGCCTGCCTGAGTGGGGAAGCAACCCAGTGCATACATAATGGTGCTGATCTCACTGGAAAAAAACAAAGCAAGTCAAATAGTTTATTAGAAGGCAAGTTAAGGTGGAATCACAAACTGATCCTAATCCTTAATGACACATTAATCAATTATTAACAATAGTAAAGGAAGGAACTAGGGAAAACAGGAGGCAGGGAGTGATAAAGCATACTCTTTCCTCCTTTTTTCCTTCCACTTTTAGTTTCCTCTGGCCATCATGTGTGTATGTCCACTCAGCATTATTTACTCCATTATAGTGGACTAAAGTACACATCTACATCTGTAAATAGACCCTCAAAACAATTTCTTGAACATTTCTCCATTTTAGTGTCAAATTACAGGGTTTAAGTGAGTCTGTAGAGACAAAGTTTGAAGCCTCTGGTTGGGACCCAAACATTTTTACATAACTACTGGAAAATAGTGGGACTTAGATACTGAGCAAACTTATCTCAGAAAATGCGAGATGTGCTCTGCAGCTCAACAGAAAAATATGACATGTTCAAAGATTCGTTTGCTACAAAAGCTCTGCTTCACGGCTGTAACCTCTGTGTGAGGCTGTGGAGGTTTTTTCTGACGGGGGGGCGAGCTTGAGGCCGTTCTCACCGGACGTCCACTGTGTGGTTGGACTCGTAGTCAAACGCCTCAAAGGCTGCTCGGATCTTCTTCTGGATGTGGGACTCGGTGTTTTCTGACAGGACAGAAAGAGACCATGAAAGAGCTAGCGAGCAAAAGTTATGAGGGTACTGAATTGTTTAGGATTAGTGCCAAACATCCAGCAGATGTGAGTGACTCTTACGCACCGGGGATTTGGTTGTTCTCCGCCATGTTGGTTTGGTTGTTGTCCCGTTGCCAAGCAACCGACGGGACTCTGGGCTCAGCTTGAGCACCTTTTCACCGTCAAAATACTCTAAAACCCACACTTAGGTCTGACCTCAGAACTGTTTCAGTTTTCAGACATACAGCATATGACAAAGACAGATGAAAAATGCCCAAGCAAGGTGAAGAAATGATTGCTTTATTTTTTTCAAGCTTTACAAATACATAGCAATTAAAAAATATTCCAACAAATTAAATGCCTCAATCATTTATAAAGATTCAAGTAAACTAATGACCAAAAAATGATAAATGCTTTATTTTCCATTGGCGTGCCTTAACATAACTCAAAGGATCAAAATAAAAGTACTGAATTATGTAGTTGTAAAATGCTGTTTCTTTCTGATTTTACACAACAAAACAAAGTCACTGTCATAGTATCTCATCATGTTGGAAGACATCTGTATGGCACGCTGACAATATGTTTTAACAGAGAAGCTTCACTGAGCTGACAGAAAATCGAATCATCGTAAAATCAGCAAGAGTCGTGTGGAAATCCTCAAGCATAAAAGCTAAATGCAAATAATAAGATAAGAGTAGGGAGAGACAACCCAACCCATCAGTATGTCAATCAAAGAGCACCTTTTAAAGAAGGGGACATTTATAAGACTAGTTTTTACAAGTTAAAACAAAGCAGTTAAAAATAACCACACTAAGTCTAAGTCTGAGCCAGACCCCCTCTTTGTCAAATATAAATAGTTGACACGTATAGTTTACATTTAAAGTGCGACAAATAATTTTTAAAATAAAAATGAAGCAACTACATAATAAAAGGTTCTACTACTGATGGCTTTTACTATACCCTTTTCCCTTGAACATCTACCAGGAATTATTGCCTTCTTAAAGTAGTGGCCAGGGGTACTTTGAACAGAAACAACCTCTCACAGTCTTGGGTTGAAAGTAGAAGATACTCAGGTTTCAGATGTATCTCACAGGCTGTACTAAGAAACTCAACTGTCCCTTTTTTCGAAGGCTACACACATGAAGCCAGAGTGACAGAGTGGTGCTATCTCAAGTGTGTGTGTATATTTACATTTCTGGTTGTCCCTGATGCACAGGCACTATATGGCCTGGCTCCTGCTGTTCTTCTGCTGGGGTTTCTAGGATTTGTTGGGCATTATGTTCATCTATGTGCGGTGTGGCTTCTTCCTGTCCCGTTTTTAATTCCTGTTGAAGGTGTTTCTCCTCATTTTGCTGAATCTCTTGCAGAGCCTCCTCCTCTCTGTGCTCCACTGCTCCTGCCCTGTCCTCCTCAGGAATGGTGTTTGATAGGGCTTCACCCCCCGCCATCGCCTGCCCCTGATGAGGTGAGTCGTTGGGTAAGAAAGTGTTATATAGTTTTCATGTAGACATTTTCATAAATCATTGCCTGATTTGACACAGCTAAATCAAAGTGCAATCGTGTAACTTTGTGGTGTTTTTGTCCACACTACCTGTGTGTTAGTGAGTAACTCAGACGGATCTAGAAGTCCGTCCTGGTTTAGGTCCCGAGTCTGGAGTAGGAAATCTACCATGGACACCACCTAAACTCAGAAGAAAAAACAAAACTCATTACATCCCATACATATCGGGTCAGATGAACAGCTCAAAAAGTATGCAAGTGTTAGGCTTGCTCAAATACAAATACCAAACATTCAGCCTCCGCACACCTACAGTCACTCCAGCTCACCAGCTCATTGGCCACTTTTTCAGGTGCATGATGGAAGTTATAGTCAGAGAGAAGCTTCATCATTTCCAATCCATCCAAGAAGCCACTGCGATCAAAGTCATACATACGAAAGAGGAAGAACACTTCTGAAACATAGAGGAGAAGTGACATGTTACACACCCAAGTCATAAAAAAGACCACTACATACACTAAAGTCAATATAAAGACTGCTCAACAGCAATATTATGACACAAAATTAGCATGTTTATATTCCAATTTATTTGCATTTCATCAGTAGAGAATACCATTTACCTTGTTCCCAGGAACTGAGCTCTGGTTCTCCTTGGTTCTTTAGACTGATTTGAATGTAACTGTGTAACATCCTGTGGTTGAACAAAGAAAAATGTAGGTTACATTAAATTTTAATCAAAACATTAGGGGCCAATGGTGTCTCAAGATGGATTACAGACATGTTAGTAACATTAGAAACAGATCAAACAGAAATCCTTTTTTTCATAGATTTATCACAATCTGGATTGGCTATTCGTTGTCTTTACTACTACTATATACAATTTGCAACACTATATGGACATGTCCACAGGGACAACGTAAAGCACAGATGATGTGTGTAATATCTTATCAGCGTATGTTTTGAACATATCATTAACACAAGAGAGAAGGCAAAGTCCACATGGTGACGAGATAGAAACTGCTTAGTCCATCTCAAAAGGCAGTTTGACAAAACAATGTATTTAAAGTTCTTGCTGGCATGATATTCATTTTCTTTCTTTTTCTGAGAACATACGAACTCTTTCCTTTTGAGGAATGCATTGAAAAGTCACTTCAAAATGTGCAGGAGCAGTAAGAAGCACTCACCTGCGCTCTTCTTCTCCAGTGCCAAAGGGATTGGGAAATGCTGCAGATGGGGGGTGGGCATCTAATGATTCCTCTCTGTTGGATAAACAAATGAAATATTTAAAAGAACCTTTCCTTTCTTGGATTTAATCTATTTACATCTTTCAATATAGCATATGATCATCTGGCATACTTTCAGGCCTGGCTGAAACATCCAGTTTTATTACTCTTGACTATTTTGATATTGCAATCCCTTCTGTGTACTGTGGCTGTATATTCCTGGAATAAAAACATAAATCAGGGATGAGGGGGAGACTAGAACATAATGTGCTGCTGTAAGAGATAAAAAAGAGAAAGCGAAACATCCCAACAGGGTAGTGAGATTACCGTTGTGACCCAGGAAGCCCAGGTGCTGCCAGGCACAGGTGGACCAGCAGAGTCAGGGGCAGAACGCATGGAACCAGCCGGTCCAGAGGAGACTCTGTACGCACACCTTAAAGTACAAAGCCACATTGTTATCTCAGATCACATCTGTTTAGGCCATCCTAACACATTATTCTGCCTACAAAACGTTTTCAGTACAAAACTGAATGAATAAATATACACATGACAACACAACCGGTTAGCTCTCTGGGCCTTTGGAACACACACAGATCTGATGTCCTACCATCCTATAATGATTTGACCACTTAATGGTGGTATCTCTAAATGTTTCATGGCAGGAAAACTGGAGAAGCTGAGTGAAGATGAACTAAGTGCAGTTTCTGTCAGTAATAAAGACAGAAATGGGGAAAGCAGACTGCACTGCAGTCCTGCGCCTCACTAACACACAGTAGATGGGGAGTTATGGCTACATCAATAAGAACTCCACATCTATTTATAGTTCCGCCCAGACTCGCTCTCATGTCCCCACTGGTCAGTGAAAAGATCTGTGTCCGGCCTCTTAGTTTGCACTGACAGAGGATGGACGTGCAGGCGGCTCTGCTTTGCCGGTAAATGAGCAGAGAAGTGACCCGGCAGCCCGGAGCCCGGAGCCCAGAGCTCCGACCCGCAGCTGCCACCGGTCACTGCTGCATTACTGCAAAAAAAAACAAACCCCAAAACTGCCGGTTTCCCTTCAGCTCCCACTCTTCTCTGTTTTACTCCTAAAGACTTTTACCGAGACAAAGATTGAAAGCACGGCCATTTGTGAAACAGTAGCATTTTGTAGTGGCAAGCCACGCCTTTTCTTAAAAAACTGTAAACCAAACATTTGCATAAGCAGAAGCGGAGCTCTCCGCTCGTCCCCGGGTCCCGCGGGTCCCCGGAATAGGGCCTACCTGTGGGCATGGTTGACGGGTGGACAGTAGAATGCGCTACTTCCGGCAGGTTCGAGGTTCATATCTGGAGAACTCCTGCCACATTCCGCCCGGCTCGCTCGTTCGCTCGCGCGGGCGCGCGCGCGCCTCCCTCTCGGTCTGCACTGCGCAACGGCAGCTGCACGCGCCCCCCCCGCCCCGCCCCGCCCCAGCCTGCCACGGAGACCGGAGTTTGTTTGGGTCAATGACAGGGTCCACGTGGAAGAGCGGAGCCGCCGGCGTTTGCTCGTCGGTCTGCGGGCTGTCCCACTCCGCCACGTCTTCACGGAAGAGCATATTCCAGCGTGGGGGGGGGGAGGGGGGGGAAACTCCACGTTGCCTTTTATTTGGATTCCTTGTTCCGGCTTTGCAGCCGGGATGAGCAGAGGCCCCCACCCTTTTAGTGTAATTTGGCTGTAGGGGCTGATAGGTGTGGTATCTGGAGGTAGAGCTGCTGTCACCGTGACGTGGAGTCTTCCAGACCACGTTACTCCAGCTCCACTGCTCTCAGACTGCCGTTAGCAGACGGATGTCTCCTGTTTCACACTGTCTGCGTCTTAGAAACATGTAATGTTCTTGTCTGACCACACGGTGTCCCTGTATGTTAATGGCTGGTTTCATCAGGTGAATCACAAACATTTTTTTTTGTGTGTGGGGGGCTTCTCCTTCTTGCTGTTTGTACTTAACTTCAGTGAAAGCAAATGCGAACTTTGAATTAGTTCAGTTAAATTTTTATTTAATTTTGATTATCTCCATCGTCTTATCAGCAAGGCGGTGGAGATGGTCATGGACTTCCGCAGACATCCTCCCCTCCACCCCCACACCAGAGGATGTTCTTCCTCAGACTGCTCCGAAAGATGAACGTCTCCCCCAAGGTTTGCTCCCACATCTACAGAGCCACCATGGAGAGTGTCCTCACCCCCTGGATCCTCTGCCCACGCCTCGTGTGCACAGCGGGCCTCCTCACAGGCCTCCAACAGGAGCCTGTGTGTGCTCCGCACCAAACCAGACCCCAGCAGAGGGCCAGGAGGATAGTGGGGGGCCCACCTCACCCAGCTCCCTCCCTGTTCACACCCCTCCCACCAGGTCGAAGGTTCAAATCCATCAGGACCAAAACCACTGAGAACCTGAACAGTTTCCCCCCCCCCAGGCCACCACCCTCATAAATAAGCACAGCTCAGCCCTCCAGCCACTTTACAGACACTTAGAGTCACCTAAGAACAACTGAACATAACATAAGTTCTTTTCCTGTGTTACTTCATAATTGTACATATTGTACGTACCTATCATTTACTTCTTTGCTTTTTTCATATTTGTTATTTAAATTGTCCTGTTGCGCTGGGATACAAGGTCAACTTCCTGTGTACTCTGTACATTTGGTCCTATAAACTTATTTTTGATCTTCTGATATGATTGTTTCTTTGGGGTATTTAGTGAACTGAGGGACACCTTTCACCTTATCAAATTTGAGTTTGAAACACAGCCCAAACCGATATATTTTATGTGAACAGAGCAAAACATCATTGTTCAAATGGAGCATTGGTGTTTTACATACTTTATAATCTGAACTTGTCTTTTTTACAAGGTTACAAAGCCAGATTTGATTTGACTGTGTGTTTGACGGACTGAATTGACCTGCTCCATATTACCCCACAGTGATGTGGAGTTCCTCAGTTGACAAAATAGTAACAGTTCAGATGCGTCTTGCACATGTCATTTAAGATCCAAACCATAGAAACCCCAAACCCCTTTCTGAATCCTTTCTGTCCCGATCTGAAAATCCTGTGTTATAGATATTTTGCATTACCAGACAATTTCCTGAAAAGTCAATACACTCATAAAAGAAAACCCACATTATAAATTCTCTTGACTAATGATGTTTTTTTTTCATGTCCAGATGAACACATAAAAAAAACAGGTCTGTTTTCCAAAAACTTTGACCTAACATTTCCAAGAATTATAAAACTTTGCCTTCTATTTTCTGGCTACTCTTTCTGTTTCTCAACGCCATGTCACGTAACAGCACGGCTCTGTTTGTCTTTAGCATAGCCCGAGTGCATTCACATGCACACTCACAAAAGTATGTACACTTGCAGTCACTCATGTACACACGCATTCAGGTTCCAAACAGAGGCCTTGCCTACAACGAGTTATGTAACAGGGATTAGGTTGCACTATTTTGTGGCCCCCAACAGTCAAAACTGAACGAGCTATTTTTACCCCCTGAACCCCAGTGTCATTTCAACCTATGCTGACAACAATGATGAGGACGCTGACGGTCACTGCTGCTGCACTGAACATGTCATTCCAACATACCATATGTTCAATACATGGGCCTCCTGCAACAGAGACTTTGTCACGTCATGGGTGAAACTCCAAGCTTTTCCGAAAACTATTAAAGTCCATCAGCATCGTTGTTTTAATTTCTTTTTCTTCAGTTTTCTTCCAAGCCATGTTTGAAAAAAGATATTTGGAAGCAGTGCAGCAATGTTAAATTTAGCACCACAAACACCCGTTCTGGACTGAATGAACTCATTAAGTGGTATTTTTCACCCACACAGCTGTATGGCTGTGGCCTCTAGTTTAAAGAGAACACACTGTGCTCATTTTGTTCTTTATACGTTATTCTTCAATTTTTCTCAAATTGCTTTTCATGAATAAACAAAAACAAAAAAAGGAATTAACTACTGTCATAGACTTCTTTAAGGAAGCCAAAATACATTTTGAATTAAGCACAGCCACCTGAACCCTGTTTCAAATCTCTCTGAGAACAGTGTTTTTGGAGGGGGGCACTGTGGGAACACCCTTTCTATGAGAATGGTGATAGCTGCCACATGCTTCTCAGAATAGCTGACAGCAAAACATTTTCAAGTGAAGGCAGTTTTGATAATCTAAAGCCTATCTCAGCTGTGGGGTGGGGTACGCTGTGGACAGGGCCCCAGTTCATCCCAGAGTAAAAGAGACCCTCGGTCTAGGGGCAATTCAGAATCTTCTAACAGGTTTCTGGAGTGTGGGAGGAAGCCGGGAGCATCCAGGGGGAAAACATGCACACGGAAAGGCCCCCGGCCGGAATAGAACCAGGAACCGTCTTGGTGTGAGGAGACTGTGCTAACCACTGTGTAGCCCATGAATGGTCGTTGAGTGAGAAATCATCTAACAAACTTGCCCATGAACAAACCAGTGTTTCTGGGAAGTCCTTCATTTGCTGCCGACTTCAGGCAGCAAATGGCATCAAAAGGCAAAAAAAGATGTCCCCATCATAAGTCTATTTCAAATCTGGTAATATTACCAGATCATGTATTGTGTATATGTATTTATTTATATTTTTGTATGTCCGAAAGCGTACACCCACCTTCTGACCCACTGAAATGGTCAATTTCCTCTTTCTGGTAACACCAAAGATGGCAACTGTCTCAAACATCTTTGTTGGTCATTAAAGGACTTAAGATAGCTCAACACTAAGCAGACAGCGCTTTGAAATGAACACCAGCTGTGACTGTCACACTGTAAAATACACTACATAGTATTTCCCTGCAGCTTGAGGAGGATTTTTAAGTTTGAGTTATTCTTAGATGTCAAAAAGTGGGGACTATGTGGCCCCCATTCTGAGAGAATGTTACCTTAGCCTCCAATCAGAGTCCCTCCCTGCTTTATCAGACTGAATGCTCCCCAGAACACTGTTCCACACAACTCCGCCTTTTGAATTTCCATTCAAAACAGGCCATGGCCGATGAGATGGACCAATCAGACTTCTGTTTTTTGTTTTTATCTTTTAAGAAGCTACAAGCCACAGATGATTTTTAGGATGAACCTTGGATACTTCCTTCTATCCTGTGAGGTAGGGTGAGATCTAGTTGATCAATGCAGGCTCACCTTAATGCAAAGTGAGTGAAGCATCAGGCGGACTCCCCTCCCACAGCTGCAGCGCCTCAAGCGCCACAGCGAGGAAAAAATGCAGCATCTGCGAATTCTACCTTTCTCTGTGAGTGATCATCACAAACCAAAATCACTGCATAAGTCTTCTTTGACTTGATTTTGTCAAATGTCACCGTGCTTGAGAAAAGAACAATTGGGGTTTTTTTCGGCAGGGCAGAAGCCTCACAAGGAACTGGTGGCTAACTGAGTGTTAAAGGACTAATATGTTGTCAGTTTTCCAGTTCTTTGCAATTTGGTTATAGAGACCAATGCGTTCGACAGTATTTTCAATGGAAATTCAGCTGTTGTAAGAATGCAGTACAAGTGAACACAGAGAGGAGACACTGCTGCTGCTGCGCTGAACTGCTGCCTCTCCTCTGAGAGACTAGGAAGCTCTGTCCTTTATTAGCAAAGTTTGTCTCAGAAATGGTGTTACAATTTACAATCATACATATTCATGATTGCACAACCGTCCAGAATTTGTTCAACCATCACAGCGAAATTCCATTGACAAACCTGATGGATCATTAAAAAATGTTTCTCTTTCTTCTAAATCTTTTTAAAAAACAGTTCAGTTCTTGTTCAGTGAAGTCATCACAAACACTGAGTCTAGCTAATTCTGTCTTGTAATTAAAGAATGCCTAATGAAAATCCCCCCCACTGCTTGACAAATGCCCACTTCAGTCTGGCTCAGAACCATTATTTTTCACCCACAACATACACGACATCAGTTCCCAACAAGCTCATGGCATTTGTTTGAAATAGTGGCTGTCACATTCCACAAGCTTATTGTTTTCGATAAACCTGTGAACCATAGGCAGCACAAATTATAATGCCATGGCTCTTACACATACATCCATTGACACTCACACTCTTCTGCACACACAAACACACACACACACACACACACACACACACACACTGTCTCAGTCACTGTTGCATTTTCCATTCTGAGTCACATTCACAGAGAGGATCTTTTTCTTGCACGTAGGCAACCTATACTGTACTTACATACATAAACACATTCAGAGGGCAGTTCTGCTTCATGGGTGCTTAATTGGAGTCTTGTGTCCACCCATCGCATAATGTTCTGAGTACATGTAGAGTCATACTTGCACCAACTGAGGGGGCCACTCATTGTTAACGGTGATTAACAAAGGCCCCTTAACTGCTGCTACACACGCATGTATGAACAGGGTTTGTATGTGCACACATGCACTTATGCACAGTGATTTATTGCCTTATAGACTTATAACCCTAACCTAAAACACACAGCTGGTTTGGGGTTTCAGTCAAATTTTGCTTATTGTGGATGTCTTCCTGATTTCAATCATGAATACTATTGTATGTGTGGTCCTCAAACTTCTTGTTGCCTTCCATTCTGTCAAAATAGATTTACCTTTCACAAATTGCCACTTTATCGTGAGGAGAGATTCGAGTGCCCCAGGAAACCCTGGAGCTAAGTTGTCAGGGTCAGTTTGTCCTTAAAAACAAATTACTGGTGTCCTGTCAGAAATAGTAAGATTGAAAAATACCTTTGACTAAATCTGGCATTCTGTATTCCCAGGCAGAGATCGACAGGACTCACTCTGGAATCAATTGCTGTATGCAAGTGCCTATTGATAAGGACTGTGCCCATGGGTTCTGACCAGACACATTACCCGTAAGCTGCACTGGACGTCCTTCCCAAAGACCCACTGTCCACCTGAAAAAATATTTATTATAATATGATTACTGATATATTTGCTTTTATACCTGAAGAAGTTTAATTATAAAGTTGACCAAGGTGAGGTCAGCACAATCCTTTATGGCTTTTCTATTGGTGAGAAATTAAATCAATTCAGCTTACAGCCGGACTTGAAAGTTTTTTAAACGCTTAAAAATGTCTATATCTTTTTTTATTTTAAAGATGATCTATTTGTGGTCTTTGTCAACGTCTGGGCCAGGACAGCGCGCCTTCACTGGTGGAACAATGAGTTCTGAATGGTCCTGGTGAAGTAAAGGAAAATGTCAGCACATCTGTTTGTGAGCCCTAGCTCAGAGGAAAGTGGGTCAAGCAGCAAGGCAGTAAGCCTAAAAAGACAACTTACTCTTTCAACAAAAGTCAAAGCAAGTCCTGACCATGACCTAATGGAAATGTTGGACCGTCACGTATGTGGCGGTCGATATTTCTGACCACACTGAATTCACACGGGACGCAGAACGCCTACATCCTTTTTTTTTCTTTAATGAGACAACAATGTTTGATAAATGATTGTAAACACAGCTGCGCACAATTAAAAATCCTCTCCGTTCCACATTGCTGTTTTTCATTGGTGCTTTCATAATCAGAAGTCTGCATGATACCTCAGACTTCATGATCCACAAATTAGAAGCTGAAATTAGCTTAAATGAGAGTTCTATATTTGGTCACTGCCGTATAAATTGACTGTAACTAAGTATAAGCATCAGTGATTATCACACAACTGACTGACTTCAATCATTATGCAATCAGCTTCCAAATGATCCGCCTCGAGACAAAACACAACTCACACACATGCAGACACACAGGCATGGAACCAAAAACTGAAATAATATTTCCATTGAGTTGTAGTCATCATAACAAACCTGTGTGTAACAAGAGTATAAATAGTCAGAGAATAGGCTTGTCATAGATCGTTGAAGCCCAATTTGAAGACTAAAGCTGTGAAGTAGTGTAACTTTTTGTCTGCATGTGGTCGACAGCCAAACGCTTTTGTAAATAAAGCAGGAAAAAGGGAATATATCTTCAAATACAGGACAATAAAACATTAAAAACAAAGTAATAAACTAATGCATTCAACTATATTCTCAGCAGAATAGTGGACAAATCCAGAAAGGCGGGGGTGAGACTGTTGTTGTGTTCTTTCTAATACACACACAGCAGTTTATACTGACTGCAGAAACGCACATCACACCCTCACACTCTGCATAAAGTGTCCCACACACACAGTTATTTACACAAAAACTACATGTTAGCATATTAATTACATACGAATATGCACCAGAAACCTACACAGACAAATCCATGAACATAGTTTCTATGTTTAGCTGTACAAATGGGTGGATAATTATGCTTAATTGTTGGAGTGGTGAAGTTGAACGAACATTTAAAGTGCTATTAATTTCTCCTCAGGGTCTGAGACAATGAGAGGGAGGAGTGCAACCAATTCGGAGAAGGGCAGGAACAAAGGAAACAGACCAATTTAAGCCTGACAGAGATTATGATTGATTAGAATGATTCAAAAAGCAGTGTGTCTTCTGTAAACAGGGACGATTGAGAGATGGCTCCAGAAATCAACAGAAATGCCAAACTTGATTGAAGCTATTGAACGGTTCATTTATGCCACAGTTTTCTGCCTCTGCACCTTCAGGGCCTTAATTAGTCTGCGAAAATCAGCTGTATTCATGCACACCAACGTTTAGCCGTCAACACTCTGCACGTTTAAAACTGCCAAAGCAAACTTCAGTTGGAAGTTACAGACTAAACTGGAGCGTCCCTGCAGAGTTGCCTCAAGTTTCTGACTTTTTCTTATTGACTTATTTGTTCTATTTCAAAACAGAAAAAAATGCAGGTGAAAAAGATACAAATATGTACTGCTTGAATGTTTATATTGTATCCCTGTTTTTCTTTTTCTTTAAATCTAAATGGAAAGTCTGAGTTCAAACTGTGACCATGGCAATACGGGTACACATCCTGAAGCAAATAAGATGTGCTAGATTGAGGGGAATACGTGTGATAATAAACTGCTCTCTGTTCACTGAGAGCTCGTTTACAGCAGCTAATCTGGTTAAACATTGCATGAAGTCTCATGCCGCAGTAGAAATACTGAGCTTACTTTGTTTTCCACCAGAAAGAACACTGAAGTTCTTTTCAGATATTAATAACTGCACATTAAAGCACCAACCAGTGTTTGAAAGTAATGGTGATAGTGTTGGTGGAGGCTCTCATTTATCCAGGTTATAGCAATCATAAGAACTGGAGAAAAGACTTCTTTGATCTTGAAGATGTGTCATTATTCATTCAAAGGATTCTCCTGTAATGAACTCAGATGAGAAATAATAATGATGGTGACTTAGCATCAACCCTAAACTTTAGAGCAATGTATCCCAATATGTATTTTGTATTTTATATGTATGTTTCACCTTTCAGTTCGTAATTTTTAATGAATTTGTCATTTTAAAAGGGTTTCTTTCTCTTTCTTATCTTGTTCAATATCTTTTAGCCTCCAAGTTCCCCCTTTAGTGAACTTTCCAGTCATGTGACCAGCAGGAGGATCACAAGCAGCACATAAAGTGGAGAGATTGTCTAGTCAAGAGTTTGCCATGAGATGAAAAGGAAAAGGGACACATAGAAGGCAATCAGACAGCTCCTTGTGAGAAGGGGTTATACATCAGGAATGCATAGCCAGGACAAATGTACACATGTCTATTTATGTGTATATGCAAGTACGTATATGTATGTACATATATCAAGCATGGGAAAGGGCAGACTCCAACTATAAATAGGTCATGCAGGAAATTGCAAAAAAAGGAAAATAGACAAAAAGACAAAAAACAAATCTAAGATTAAGACAATTCAACGAGAGATTTGTCACCATTCCCAGAAACAAAAAGTCTGATATCCACAGTCCGTAACACAGGTGCTTCTTTTTTAAATCTCTGCTTGCAGAGTGAAGCAGCACCAGAGCCAGTAACCCAAAGAACCAGAAACATAAAGAACATTTTCTCAAATCACGTCTGTACATCAGAGGCTCGGTTGGGACTTGATGATAAACCTTTAAAAGTTTCTTTGCTGTGGACATGTAAAACGGAGATCTGTGTGGGAAGAGCTAAAGAAAAGTGTTTTTTTTTTTTTACTGCCAACGCTTCCATTTCAACTGAGGATTTATCTGCACCTCCCCTTCCTCGAACCTCCACCCCTCATCCCCACACCTCTCCACCCCTACCGCTCCGCTCCTGCAGCGCTGCGCTCAAAAGCCTGAGCGCAGACGGAGCGCACTGGATGCTGCAGGGCCGAACAGAAGAGGAGAGGACAGAGAGAACTCTCTGTCACACGTGGAGAAGAAACATACGACCCTCCGTTCCCGAGATCTGCGCGGGTTTAGCGGTAGGAGTCGTGAGCAGAAGCAGAGGGAAGACGGAGCGCCAGTCCTCCGGGCAGCCTCAGCACCGCCGGGAGGAGACTCACAGAGGAGGAAAGATTCGCCCTAACGCAGTGACAGCCTTGGATGAGGAGAATAGGAGAGCGGAGGGCATCGGATAGCAGCAACGAGTAAGTTCAGAAGCTGGGTGTGGAGAGAGGGTGGGGGCAATACTTGTAGAACTTATCTGGAAACTTCATCTGGAGCTGGAGTAGTTGTGGAGCAGCAGGTGCAGCAGGCGCTGTCACAGGCCAGCAGGTCCCATTTAGTCCATGTTTATGTGCAAGGCAAACATTTCAGTGCTATACTGACACGCGTTAGATTGACAGATCCAGATTCCACATATTGTGAGACTTTCTGCAGTTCTGTCTTCTTCAGTTGATTCCTTTAATGCAAAAATACATTTTCCTGCATGCTTATTCTAAATGTGTAAAATTGAAAGTACAGTATTTTTACACCTGTGCTTATATTGATGTGATTTCTGTCATTCCTTTTAGTACGTTTTCATTTTTTTTAAATAATACGATTTAAATACATTAAAGTTTTGATCTCTATGGTTTATTACAGACAAATAGTTATTGTAATAGCTTCACTTTTAGGTTGCAAGACACAAAAAAGAAAATGGAATGAAAATCAGATCACTTTTTCTGGAATATACAGGCTCTCTCTTTGGTTTTAGACAGAACATTTCAGGATTTGTGTCTTTTTTTCCTCAGTTTGTGAAAGCCACAGTGGAAGTGAGCGGCTGAGTTGGCCCTAAGTTGTTCGGTTCTCACAATAAGAAAACAGGATAATAAAAGAGATCACATCTGTGTTACTCGTAGAGATGTTTCTAACTTAGAGGCTCAAGGCTTGATTTATGCTCTCACTGCTATCAATGATTTGAGAAGTAGGATTTGTTAGAGTAACAGAGAATCATCTGAGTCTCCAAATAGAGACATGCAGATATTTAATGAGAGGCAAATTCTGAAGTTCAGTATTGTTTTCTCTTTTCTCTCACAGTGGCAGCTCCAGACTTATTGGACCCTAAATCTGCCACTCACAACACCAAGCCTCGCCTCTCCTTCTCCACAAAGCCAATCACACTGACTCCTCGGGAGGAGAGTGAGGTGAGAAGAAAAAAGTAAACCAAAACTAACAAGTTGATTTTTTAAGGGTTAGTTTTTTTTGTATTCATAAAGATTGAGTGAACAGCTGAGGTGTTGCAGGTGGTTGCTACAGTGATGAAATGGAAGACAGTGACAGCCATCTTTCTTTTGGTGGTTCTGTACCTGGTGATGGGAGCTGCAGTCTTCAGAACCCTGGAGCAGCCACATGAGAGGTAAGCAGCGTAAGAGCATCCGTCTTTATGGATTTACATTTTACCTGTCAGCATGTCTGGGGTAAATCAGTTCTCTCAGCCTTTTCTACAAAAAGCGTCTGTCCACAAAGTACAATGTAGTTGCTTGATTCTATTACTCACACTGAGATGTGTTGGAGAGAGAAGTTTCCCTCAGTTCTGAATATGTTTTGTTTTTTGTGTTTCACTGAGGGAAGAGACTTACAGCATTTGAAAGATGATGACAGAGCAATGATATGTTCCTGTCTTTTAGTGCCCAGCGTTTGGCAATTCTCACCCAGAAGCTGGAGTTTCTGTCAAGACATTCTTGTGTCAACCAGAATCAGCTGGAGGAGCTGGTTAAGGTGGGATACATCTAATATTTTAACGGTGTGCGCATGTCCTGAATAGATCTCAGAATCAGTGTGATTATTATAGCTTTATGCCTTGGTGATAGTGATATATCTACTAAGACCAGTATTGTCATATTATGTTAAATCGGACTGGATTTTGCTTGAGTATAAACCTTTGATTGATTGATTGATTGATTGATTGATTGATTGATTCCACTAAATTGACAAATTTATTTGAAATAGTGATGTGAAACATTTAATTCTTTACTGAATATCCAGTAAGAGGGATGACCACTATGAGCGCCACTGGGGGAACCCTTTTTTGTTGTTGTTGCCAAGTGCTTTGAATGGAGAACACTTAATCCCTTCCACTGTGGGAGTCAGTGAGAGAGCAAACAGAGTCCAGCTGTAGCACCTCAGACCTTTGTCATCATTCGGCTGTCATTGTGTCCTGCTGCGCAGATGATCTCAATAATTTTGCTCAGAGATGATCAACCATAACTGGGGCATTAGAAAGGAGCAGATCTGAGTTGAAAGTATTCTAAATATAGCAACCACTTAACTCACTGAGGCCTGATTTAGAACACAAATGCATTTACCTCTTTGGACTGGTACAATGGTCAAATCAAACTCAAATTTTCAACACAGACAGTAAATGCATTTGAAATAATTGTTGATTAATTTGAAAATTTAAAAGATAAAAAAAAAACATAGCCTCAAAATATCCAATAGTTTTATTTTGGATTTAAATGGTTTGACTCTTTTAAGCTGATCACGATACAGTCCCATGAAATACTAAAATCTGATCAAAGTTGTAAAAGAACCATAATCTTGCTCTGTACGACAGTATAAAAACACAGAACTATTTTGACCATACAATCACATTACAACAAATGAGCTATTCTGTTTTTTTAACTGACAAACTGAGATCAAACCATGACAAAAATACACCAAGCAGTTGTAGCAGTGATGTGAAAAGAGTGTATTATGAGTGCTGCTGTTTTTATGTCCCGGTGGAGTGTACTGGCTCTGAGGAGTGTAATGTTTAGCATTATTCTCTGCTTGTGAAAGTTGAAGCTGGTCAATATTTTGCATCTAATAAAAGTGAAGAAAAAAATGGAACTTCATTGGAACCCTGCCACTCAGAGACCTGTTGGCCTGAGGAAATCCTTTTAGTGTTTGACCTGCCTCTGCTCACACAGCAAGACCAGAGTCAGGTTAGCTAGTCAGAGTCTTCAGCACCACGGACAGCTCCTCAGTCTCACAGTCGTGAAAAGAAAGAGCGGCTCGGCCCTTGAAGTTTGTTTCTATTGCTCATTGTGTTTGTGACATAACCTGAGGACATTCTGCTTATCAGCTCCAGTTCTAGGCTGCTCTCACAGACATCACAAGCTTCTCATCCAGTCTCTTTTATTTGTTGTACAAGCAGACAAAGTAGTCTTGTTCCTCAACATAAAAGCAAACGTCCTAAATAGTCTCTGGCAATGTGAGAATATAACAACTTGTGGTTTTCAAACTGGATTTGAAAATGTCTTATGGGAGACTTTTTTCTCGCCTTGTTCAGCAAGTTGTGGCGGCTATCCGTTCAGGGGTGAACCCCGCAGGAACGCTGACCAACCACAGCAGCATATGGGACCTGAGCTCTGCCTTCTTCTTTGCTGGGACTGTCATCACGACAATTGGTGGGAAACACAAACACAACAAGTCTATATGTTTTGACTGATGCTATTATGTAGTTGTGCATATGTTAATGAATGGATAGCTATTTGCCCATTAATTACAGTTTAATCTTCCATGAATTCCAATAATATGACGAGTTTCATTACGTAAAATTCTAGTTGCTTGGGACTTTTCCGTTACATAACGGTGGCCTGGTGTTGTGGAAAGTGCAGTTTCTGTAGTCATTGATTCTCCATCTGCTTCCTGGATATAATCAAACTAACATGCTTAGCAACGATTTACACTTTATTTTGTGTGTGCATCTGTGAATCATCATGTGTCATGGCTGTCGTCAGAGATCAGTTTTTCTTTCCTTGTTGCCTTTCTTTAGATTGATCTTCTTTGGTTACTAAATAGTGACTAATAGCACTAGCCTGTGGTACAAGCTCTCAACCCTTATAATTAAATGTGGCAGCAACTCTGATGAAATTGTCATCATGTTGCTTGTATAACTCTCCTTTGTTCTCTGAATAAAAGAAAAAATACGTTTTGAGAGATTCGCTGGATTTGAACACAATGTTACACTGATGAGCCAGATCCTGTTTGAAGGTCATTTCTGAAGCAAAATGTGCAAAAAGAAGGCAAATATCAATTGATAGAAAAAACTCAGATCACTGTTTACGCATTTCTCTGTCTCAGTTCCCAACTGTGCTCCCTACAGGATTTGGAAACATCTCCCCGCACACTGAAGGTGGGAGGATATTCTGTATTGTGTATGCTCTGCTGGGGATACCTCTGTTCGGTTTCCTTTTGGCTGGTGTTGGGGATCAGCTAGGCACCATCTTTGGCAAAGGCATCGCCAAGGTGGAGAAAATGTTTGTGGTGAGTAAACCAAAACGCACGCACATTCACAGGCGGATGGACAAGAAGGTCTTGTAATTATTTACTCCTGTCACAGCAAGTCTAATGCTATCATTTATTGGAATCATCTGAACGATTTACTGCGTTAGCGTCAATGATTTACTACAAGTGTTAGAATGAGCCTGATGATCTAAGAAAAGAAATGAAAATGCATTAAGTTTTTGTCATCTTTTTACATATTACAGAACTTACTAAAAGCCTTAGTGATTTCGAATGGATAGAACAAACATCTGAATACAGAATTTTCCTCCTGCTACTCCCTCGCTTTCTCAGGGGACTTGATAATGAGCATCACGACTGAGGGCAGAGGACAAAAGTTCATTGTGTGTGTGCAAAAGCCTTATTGGACAGTGCAAGTTGTGTAAGACAGCAGTGTTTCCCACAGCTAATGTCAGTTCATTTAAACGGCTTTGAGGGGACCAAAAAACGAATTTATGCTTTCATTGTTAACATCGTTAGCTTCTTTTAACATTTAGCATCAAAAAGAGTTTTCTCTGCAAAGGGTTGCTTTGCCCTCACCAGCTGTTATGCATAAAAAAAAAACGTTAACACTTTTATGATGCAAAAAAAGTAATACAGCTTTGCTTCTCCCCTGCAGCACTGGGACATCAGCCAGACAAAGATCCGGGTCATTTCCACGCTGCTGTTTGTTCTTTTCGGCTGCCTGCTGTTTGTGGCGCTCCCAGCAGCCATCTTTAAACACATCGAGGGCTGGTCTGCACTGGAGTCCCTTTATTTCGTGGTCATCACCTTGACTACCATTGGATTTGGGGACTTTGTGGCAGGTGACTTCATCACAGAAACACCCGTTGAGCCTCAGTGTTTCCGACCCCGTGCTGACATGTTTCCACACTGTGTGTGTAGGTGGCTCTGAAATTGAGTACCTGGACTACTATAAGCCAGTGGTGTGGTTCTGGATTCTGGTGGGGCTGGCTTACTTTGCTGCTATCCTCAGCATGATTGGAGACTGGCTCCGAGTTATCTCCAGGCGGACAAAAGAAGAGGTACAACACTGCCGGTTTTCATTTTGTGGCTTTGTTACTCCCGTAGTTTGCTTCTGCCAGTTCTGTTTATTTTCTGTCGTGCATTACTCCTCAGCTCTTTCGTCCTCTGAATTTTTCTGTTATGTCTTTACATTTCTGAGTGCGCTTCTTGGTTACAGAGCCACCTCCCAACGTCACCTTTTGCCCTCTGTGTAACTTAATTGCAGTAACACAGCTGTTTTTCTAATCCCATCCACCCCCTGCCATCCAAACACATAACCACAGACACATATCATCAGCATCTCCAGCAGAGGACCATTTAGGCAAAGTGTGATGAGGTTCCTTTTTGGAAATTAATAAAGAACTATATTTATACTAAATATAGCTCAAGTTATGGAAATGAATTCAGCTGTTTCCATGGAGGAACAACTGGAAGATTTCAGCCATTCATTTAAAAAACCCTGAGGTCTCCCTCCAAAAAAATAGAGCTGCCCCTTTTTGATAATTGGATTTCACCAATGTGCGTTAATTTGGAGTTATATTTCAGGTGGGTTTTAACCAGTAAACATCTTCTGAGTGACAAGAAACACCACAATGACACGACACAGAGACCTGATTAGTTCTATATAATTACCTTAATGATTAGGCAGAGTTGATCTTCTGTGTGTGTGTGTGTGTGTGTGTGTTTGTATTCACTCATGCTACTTTGGGCTGTCATGCTGAAGTCCTGCTGTGATACACCACAGTTTCCCTTGTAAATGTATTCATGTTTTTACTATTAGTCACTGGAACAGTTGGGAATGGAAATATCAGATGAGTTGCGCTTAGGCCTTTTAAAAAAATGATTTTGTTTCACTTATTTTGTCTGAGGCTTAATAGGAGGGGCTCTGAGGCTGCTGAGACCTCACAACAAAATTCAAGTCTCTAATGAAATTGAATGAAAATTAATCAACAGTGATGAAATAGTAGACAAGAAATTTCATATAGCAACAAAGTATAAGAAAATATCAATCAAGTGAATGTGATGAGACCATTACATTAATATAATTAGTTAATCTCTGCTCATTATCAGATAAAAAGTCATCTGTGCATGCTTTCTGAAATATTATACATATTTTCATCTGTCGAAATAGTCCCATGGGATGGCTATTTCGGGTATTGTGTTCAGTTGAATGCTTGTTTTATATTCCCAGTGGCAAGTGAATACTGTGTGCAGCCCTGTTTGGATGCAGATACATCGTTTTAATGCAATTGAGTTGACTTCCTGGTCAGTTACATTGTCATTCTCATCTTCACTGATGTTCTGTTTCTCTTCCTCTTGAGCCAAGGTTAAACATAGAATATGCAAGTACACTAAAGGCAACAGCACACACAGATTTGCTGTATTCCTCTGGATTGCTAATGATCTCCTCCGAACCTCAATGTTTTGGAGCCTTGAACTTGAATGTTTAACCATAAGAGGAGTGACTTTTGGGCAGCTCAATTGATCACAACCATTAGGAGGCTTAACTCAAGGCACACATTAAAGAAATCACTGCTGGTGACGTATATCCAGAAATCCAACAGACATCAAGTAGTGTTCAGTCTGAAGCTTCCATAGATTTCATTGGAACTATCTTCAGTTTACATGTGGCTCACAAAGCTGTCTACACTCATAAGCAGTGACATAGAAGCCATCCCTGTGTTCTACTTTACTAACTTCTCACAGCTGTCTGGCTCCGTGTCCCTCCAGGTTGGCGAGATCCGAGCTCACGCCGCAGAGTGGACAGCCAATGTCTCCGCAGAGTTCAAAGAAACCCGCCGCCGTGTCAGTGTCGAGATCTACGATAAGTTCCAGCGCGCTGCGTCCATCAAGCGCAAACTTTCTTCCGAGCTGGGATTCAACTCGGCGCCCGAGCTCACTTTGCCCAAACGCAGCGTGTCTGTCAACTTCAACGATGAGCGGGACCGGAGCGAGAAGGAGGCTGTGCCTCTGGCCAGAAACGGCTGTTTGCCCGTGAATGGGCTGGACCCAGAGAGAGGGGAAATCTCGATTATTGAACATTTTAAATAGAGGCAGGTTCATCCAAAACCTCTCTGTTTGTCATGGTTGCTGATATCAGTGCTGAGCCCTGGAAATGTTTATTCCCAACAACTCTAGCAATAATGAAGGTATAGTACTTTGTGGTGCCAGAGAAGTAGTCTTCACTCTTCCATGAGAATGTAAGAGGACTAGGTGCTGTTCAGTAACTCTTCAGTGGACATTTTGCCAATTGGATTTGTGTCACCTGACTACCTTCGCCCCACCAGCAAAGAAAAGAGCCTGAAGAACATAGAATGGCATCACTGTCTACAAATCTCTCTTTTGAAATGAAATACAAAATGCATTCCCAATTCATTGTGATCAGCCATTGACATATAAAGGACAGTCCAGTAAATTTAGAATATCACCATATCTGGAGACCTGGTACTTTAAGGTGAGATATCTGTGGATAATGGCTCTATATTCTAATAACTTATGTTTTGTAACTTTTCCAGTATTTCCTGTCTTTGCTTATAATTGACTGCAAAGACAGACAGGGAGTACTAAAAATCACAATGTTAAAAGTAATAATATCAGAAAGGTGTCTTTGATGGGCATAATCACTGAACTGAGCTCTTATTACCTTTGTTTGATTTGATTTTGTAAACGAAAAACTGATCTGAAACAGAATATCTAAAAACAAGGTAAGTTTCATTGTTAGCTTTCTCATCTAGTGTTTTTTTCTTGATTGTTATTATTGCTATAAATAATTTTTATAAGTTTTTCAGATCATAAACGATAATTAATAGCCACTACAGGTAAACTATGTAAACCACTGTGATATTAAAAGTATTTACTTTTATTTGGCTATGCTAACTAAAGCTAGTACATCTAGTCTGATTCACAATCAGTGCTGCAAACAACAGGTATAAGCCAGAACTCATTGTAGGAATGTGATATGTAGTTATTTTCCAGATATTCATCTGAACTGGAAGATGAATTTGATCATGTGGCGATTTTCCAGTCACGCCCCTGTTTGCCCTTTTTTTATGGTGCCCTCATCTATATGTCTATGATGGGGCTCCATTTCAAATCTATTTCAAAGATGTGTTTCAAATGTGCCTCTATTCCTTGATGTACTTACAGTGTTATGTAAAAGAAAACACAAAAAACACTGCAGTGCCTGAAACATTTCATGTTTAATGTGTCTGTCTCTCAACAAATGAAAGCCAGCCATGTCCAGCTGTTTCAACAGTTAAAGTTCTAACTGGACCAAACTGATGGCCAAAAGCTTTCTTAAAGCTCCAGAGGAGCTTCTGGAGCTGCAAAGATAGAATCTGTGTGCCTATCTTGAGGAAGGGGAGTCCTCCTTTAACTCAACATCTCTCTTTGTCTTTTAATAAATCTTCATATGATTTCCACCTGACCATAAACATAACCATAACTTGGATTTGACTCTAATGAGTGACATTTCTTTCTTCTTCATTACACACACCTAATATAAAAATGATATTTTGTCGTCTTTTATCAGTCCTAAATCTGAAATGTGGAAATCAAAAGATTTGCTGGACAAGGTGCTTAAGAATGATGCAGGCTTGTACGCCTTCTTTTTCTCTGAGAAAGAAGACAATGTTCACATGTCAAAGTTATAAATGAATGATGTGGCTCTCTAGTCACAAACATTGAAATGTTGTTTAAAACTTTGAAATGCAGTTAATTAACCTGAGGTCTCAGATCCATGTGTTCACAACTTTTTTAATACCATTCAACAGCTTATCAGAGGGAATTGTTGTTTTCCTGTTTAAATGCTGAAGCTGTTGTTCCATTAAGTTGACTTTGGTCACTACTGACTAACCGAAAGCTGCTATGATTCACTCTGGTTGCCTTTACCGGGTACAGATCCTGTATGTATTTCAGTTTTCTTTTTCTTTTTTTGGAGGGGGGAACCTGTTGAAATGACAACAAAATGTTCAATCTTTATTTGTCTTCACCAGCAACATCTAAGCATCCCTGAGGAACATCTTAGGTTTAATTGCATAGTTGAAATCAAGTATTTGAGGTTTCTTGTTCTTGTCATGAAACATTCAACCATTGGATTGATTACTCATGGAGGAGTGGCTTTGTTTGTAAAGCTGTGGTGCAGAGAAATGGGCATGAACGTTTTCTGATCATTAATGTTTTGTTACCGAGGAACAAGATCAGAACCTGTTTTGACTCACAAATAGTGTAGACATTTCTTCTGACTTATCTTGTCATAAGTGGTCTCATTACACACATCATTTGAGATGTAGTTCGTTTTTACATCATGTCATAGCCTTCACAGTTAGTCAGCCATTCTGTCAGGCTTAGATTGTTATTATGTGGACTTTGTGACACAGTTTTACAAGGATTCCTGTTACAGAGTGTAGACTTCTGTTCTCAGAAGTGCCATAGGTCCTTTTTAACTCTGTGGAAGCAATGATTTGCCATCCTCCTTCAGAGCATCACACAGTTAACAAGATTGAAAAAGTGAAATCTAAGCTCTTTAGGGTTTTCATTGTTGTGCCTGGATGGTTCAGTGCTAACACTGAATGATGCTGCAGCAGCTTTACACTGTCAGCCTGCTGTTGGCTTCTTTGCTGTTCAGCATTCCTTTTGTTACACAGCTGTATTTCTTAGCCACTCTGTGATGAAAGTAACCATTTCATTTTCTCTCTGCGCTCCATCTGTTGAAGCTAATTTTAATACCGGCAGTATTTTTCTAAACCTTGTTTGTACTGGTAGAGATTCCATTCTGATGTGGGACATTGTGATTATAAAGATGTCTTTAGAGCTAATCTCAAATGTAGCAAAGGTTTTTCTACAATGTATGACTTGAAAATATACTGATTCCAAGTTCTCCTTCTGTTTCGTTTTGCTTTTTATGAGCCTTCATCAGATTGCATATCAGAGCCTGCAGTGGTCCAGTGCACACTCCCATCACAGCCATGGGAGGTGAAAATAAAAAAGGACATAACTCAGACTTCGCTCAGGTGCAGAAAGAAAAAGCCACTTTAATAGGAAACTAAAATCATGCAGATCAGAAAACAGAATATTAAAATCTAAAGATGTAGGTCAATATAAACAGGGAATGAAAAACAAAATATTTAATTTCTTAAAATAAACATAACTAAGCTAAATAATTAATAATAAAAAAAAACATTTTTACTGTTCATTGCAATTTTAAAAATGATTCATTCAGAATTAATGCAAAACATCAAACCACATTTCAATGGCACTAAATTCTTCCCACCATCACACAACCGCATATTGAAGCACATTAATCCTTATGTTCTACTCTCTCACAGAGTCCACAGCCTCTGTTCCACCCAGTAATTATTAGTGTTTAAACTTCCTGCATGAAAGGGTGGTCTGGTGAGAGGGACTGGCCAGTGGTGGCAGAACTTATGATGCGTGAGGTAAAGTTATGAAAGCAGGAAGTACAGAACAGAATCAACACTAGCTTCAGAAATACTGTCCCTGACTTTCCAGTATATTTCCTCCATCCAACGAGCCAGCTGTGGCTTTTAAGGTTTAAATAAGGTTGAGGCTGCAGCCTGAATGTGGGCAGCAGGGTCACGGCTTTTACCCACAGAACAAAGTAAAGCACGTCAGTGGGGCTGAGGGTTGCTGCTGCTGGTGAATTGACCAATTACAGTCCTGATCATGATCAGGGCAGCGTGTACATTACGCATTTTGGAAACATGTCTGGTCTTCAGCACAGTGGTATCAAAGGCACCGGTCCAAACTGGCTTCAGTCTTTCTGGTCAGAAAGGAGTTTTTGCAACTCTTGACCCATAGTCCTGAACAGCAGTCCGTCTCTGTGTTCCGTTTGGGTTTTTTTCACCTGATGCTACACCTGGGCTGTATTTGAACCATGACATTTCCTAACAGTGCCAACAGAGCTACTGCCTGTCAAAATCCACCTGTTCTGTGACTAAATTGTTAAGTGGTCAGATGTTTTAAAACTCGGGCGTGGTTGAATCGTTTTAGAAATATAAAAGAAAATACAGCTGAAATGATTGTTTTAGGCATTTTGCTGAATGGTGGCCGTAATGCTCTAAGTTTGCTCATCTCTATGAAGCAATCCTGCACAAAAAACGGCAGATCAGCTGAGTGGTTTCTTCAAACGAGAATTTTTTTTTTTTTTTTCATTTTCGGAGAACATTTGGTTAGAATGCTGCAACCTTCTGATCTCAGAATCAAGCTGGTTATCATTTCATTGTTTAAAGCTGGTTCCTAACACAGAAGCATGCTGACTGGGAGGAAACCATGTGATCACACCTCCCCCGGGCTTGTGCACCTCACTGGGATTCATATTGGGTTCAGTGTCCATCTTGAGTTTTTCTTCAGTGTTAAGCTTTAAAAAGGTGAATCTCACTTGTCTGGTTTTCTACACAAACACGATCCAATGAGTTATTCACCACGGTTCTTTCTACACGTTCCACTTTCCAGTCTCCAAAACAGGGTGACGGAGCCTTTTCAATGGCTGCTCCTAAATTGCCTCTTCACATAAGAACTGCTAAGATGCTGTTAGGATTTAATCCGCTACTTCAACAAATTTCTTCTTTTTTTCCCCTCATCTGTTCATAAATGACTTCAGGGAACATGTCAGTAAATCAGGCAATACAACAAAAGCCTGATTAATTTCTCTCTGCCAAGAATGACTTTGGAAATAATCTCACCTTTTTTGTAATAAACTGGTTATTAAGAGCAGTAAGCACACCATGTTTTCTAATTTATCTTATAAAATTTCAACTCCAGAGCTCAGACAGCTGAGACACTGGCTGGCACCAACAGCTCTGCCTGTGCGCATCTGATCTCTACTCAGGTTGAAGTCGGGAACATATGAAGTCATCACAAAGAAGGATAAACATCTGAGATGAGCCAACATATTCAGACCAGATCAAGCATTTCTGATTTTCTGCCCTTCTGTCCATTTGTCTTCTCTGACAGATGACTCTGGTGGGTGAGCTGGCTGCTATCTGAAAGATGGCAAAATAAAAGCAAGGTCTTTTTAACAGGAAATGTGCTTCATTTGATTTTTTCTGACTCATTCTAAGTATCACTGTTTTTTTCAGCCTCAATTCTGTAGAGATTTTCTTTGTCATCTTGAAATATGGGTCAAAATCAGAAGTAAAAGTGAGCTTTCAAGAGGCTCAGTGTCAGATGAAGTGTTTCTTGGTTTGGCCCTTCTGTGCTGCATCCGTAGACCCTCTGATTTGTCCATACAGAATGAATATGCTGTTCCCTTTTTCCGCTGGCAAGCTTTTCATTTACCACAACCAGAGGGAATGATAAGAGCTCTTTTAACTTACGATTCAACCCCTCTGACTATTTGTCTGTAGCATACTGTAGTCTTGAGCCTCTTTTGCATCTGACATCTGTAAAAGGTCAAATAATGACATGAGGGAAAACTCAAAAGACTCATCCGCAAGAAACTATTCTCTGAAACAGCTATCTGAGTTATCGGTGCGTTTAGGGCCCTCATTATGAACAGAGAGATGAAAAATTGAAATGAGACCATTTCCTCTTGCATGAAAGATAAAAGGTTTTTTAGGCATCACAACTTTGGAGGTATAACTTGGATGTTGAAGCTATGTAGTCGAACTGTAGCTGTAGGTGTTACATCTGGATTTGAACTTTAGCTTTCAGCTTAGTATTCCTAAAACGTTAGTGTAATATCTCCTGTTTCTTTTCTTCTGTACTGTTCCTACTCATCAGTTTCCTGACAGTGACCCTCTGTGGCCCTGCGAGCTGCTGCTTACACAGTGTTGCTGGGAAAAGAATAGGGCAAATCATGCATACAGCAGGGGGATCGACAGTCGGTCAGTCCGTCAGTTTTATAGAAGGACACACTCACACATGCATAGACAAACACACACTCTCCAGTCTGAGTGGCAGTGATAACATAGCTCAGCGGACCCATCTCCTCATTTCCCGTGTCCTGGGCCAGAGTTGGTTCTGGCACTGCAGCTTCCGCCAACAGCTCCAGCCAGAGACACCAGAGCACAACTGCATCCGCTCTGAGGTGTGTGTGACTTTGTCGTCTCTTCTCTGTTCCCATAACCCAGATATGCCCTCCTGTCCCCTCGCCCGCTCCCGACCAGAGACGCGGACAATAGTGCACGAGAGGGCACGGACCAATCAGGTGGATATCAAAAGCCCAGGACCTTCTAGCCTGTACATTTAACCCATCTCTCAGCAAAGACTGGTGAAGGTGTCTTGAGTTCCTTCTTATTGCAATTCTACAAGGTGTGAGAGGACCAAGAGGTGAAAAGGTCACCTCACATCAATACCTCTGTCTCTAATGACTAAAGAGGAGATTGATGTTTTGATCCAAAGCAGAGTTCCTCCGGTTCACCCAGAAGGAAAAAAGAACTAATCACATTTGACATTTGCATCCGACTTTGTTCCACTGTAAGTGTAACTCCAGGGGGAGTCAAACCACTGACACCAGCAGCTGTGCAATCCCAGTGTGTCTGCCAGAGACCTGCTGGAGAACCCGGAGAAGACAGGAACCGTGACATCAATAAATAAATAGCCTTCAACCTCCTCACTCTGAGCCATTGACTCAACAGCACAATCGAACCAAACAGAGATTTAAAGAAATCAAGCCATTCAGCTTGTACACTGGAAAGTAAAAGTCAACATTTGTATCGTCGAACATGTTGAGTCTTCAATCATTCTGGAGAAAATTATTTTAAGGTTAGGACAATCATTTGATCAAGATTTTCCAATGAAATGAAAATCTCTTCCTTGGGCCTGGACAGGATGGAGTAGATGTGAAACATGAATGGATGTCACCTATTGAATATTCTCATGGTAACTGAGCAACTCAAAATACTTTTTTAGCAGCATCATTCAGCAGCCGTTGACAATGATCAGAGGCCATTTCTGTCTCCTTAACTGATTCATACGGGAAGAAATAAATGATCAGCCCTATTCAGGTCATGTCACTGCATGGCTGCTGAATAAAGGCCAAACTCTTTCTTGGCCATTTCAAAATACAAATTGTAATCTATTTAAAGCCTGTGGTTTTAAAACCTTTCTGCTTTGGGTCCTTGCCTTGCTAAAATTCATTCTCTGAAGCATAAAGTGATAACCCGTCATCAAAAACTCCATTTTGTATTTCCTGTCCAGGTTTTAGGAACGTGAATCATACCCCTCCGCCGGCAGCTGTTTCATACGTAATCCATACTGGCTACAAATAAATAGCAGTTTTTAAAGCTGCACTATTGCTCTGTGTGGCTAAGCTTCTCCACCCTGTGGTGACTCCACTGTGTGGATATTCAGCAACACTCATGCCGACCCTGTAACGGTTCAAAGGTTATTATCCCATAAGAGGACTAAAGACATGTCTTTTATGTCTGTGACAAAGACAACACACAATTGAAAGCAGTTTAAAATGAGTTTAATTAAAAAAACGGTAGTAATAACTATTTACAGTGAGCCTCAGCACTGAGGTCTGTCTTAATAACTACAGAAACATAGAGCATAAAAGAGAAAAGGGAGTTTTGTTATGATCGGATCTATCAATGAGGATGAGCAGAAAGGGAAACTGTCAGTGCATGAAATCTATAAAACGTTAGCTGCCATTAAAATTCAAGATATGTGCTACTGTGTTACAGGGCTACTAATAACTGTGGACATCTTGTCAGAACAATAAAGAGAGGAGAGTCTATACTAAACACGTACAGAAGTTGAAAAAGATAAGACAAGTTGTGACAGAAGAACAAGAAATGCATCATTAATATTTAGAGGCATGAGAGTGTTGGAATATTTGACACAAAGCAGGCTGTTACAATCAGCAATTGTTGTTTTCTTTCATTCCTCATGATGCTCACCAACAGGAAGTGGACATAAAATTTAGGGTGAATTAGGACCATTTATCAGTTTTTTCCTTCTAAAAACCACCAAATATTGTGAAAGAAAAAAGACCGTGCACATTTTAGGTGTCACCTTAGTGGAATAGAGAGCTAATGTTTTGTGTGTATGTGCTGTGTTTATGTGATTTACTGGACGTGACAGTTGTCTCCTTGGTGCGTTTCTTCTCTCGGAGGTTGCTTCCTGTCTGGTTCTGTCAGCCGGCGGTGAGACGCTCTCTCCTCGCAGCTGGGGGACAGACACGTGCTGCCAGAGCTGTCTGCTGGCACGCCGGGAGAAGGACTCTGGAGAGGAATGGGCCCCAAAACCTGAGAGAACGCAGCCACACAGAACCGCGCAGGGCGTGGGATATTTCCTCAGTAATGTCACACAGCATCACTTCAACACAGCCACCAAGTCATGCAGCCCTGGTTGGTCGGGTGGGGGACATTTCTTTCCCGTTGACATATTTGACCTGAAACCTCTTAATCCTTAAATCCACCACTGTTTCGCTGACCTGGAGTGACCCCCAGTGGGTCCTGATATCCTGCTGATATATACTAGGATTACATATATACTGTCCAGAGAAAGAAGTCAAAAACAAGGAACTCACCTGCTGTGAACTCTATAGAAAAGAAGAAAAAATCCTCTGAGGAGTTTCACAATGGTGAAAAATGACCCTCTGGCTGAACTTTTACACAAGAGGGAAATCGCTCCTTGGAGTATTTGGCGTCTCATTGTATAACTTTTATGTTTCTTGATAACATGCTTTCTGTTCTTTGATTCCAACATAGAACAGAGAAACATGTAGATACAATTTCTTTTTTAACTTCTGTCAGAATTCAACATCTTTCTGAGCACGATGTGCTCATAGTAATTATCATTGTGCTCATATCGGGTCACTCCTCTATTGCTGTGGACAGTATTTAACCAGACTGCTTTGATTGTATGGCCAGTGTGCACACGACCACCTGGGCCTAAAATGCTCGACGGTGTGGTTTGACGGGGGAAAGCCAGGGGCGTGCTGGCTGGTGGCGCTCACCTTGGCATCCGGTAGCGTGTGCCTGCCAGCCAGTCGGGGACTGTAGCGCCGCGTGGTGGTTCTTCTTATGATGAAGGGACTGGCCTCCCCCAGAGGAATATCAGCAAACCCTGCAGTGCAGCAGAAGAATTTGTCTCACAGCTCTGTTCATCGGCACAGAAAAGAGCTTCTGATGACGTGGCTTCATTGGGATCTCTGCGTCACTAACCTTTCTGCACCAGCTCAGGAAGTCCCTCTGGTCTGAACTCCTCATCCTCCGGCCCAGCTACAGCTTTGGGCGTGTTCATGGCGTTGGCTTTCAGCTTCTTCGTCAGGTTGTGCAGGGCCTCCTGAGCGCTGTCTTTGTCGCTGACGTCCCGATGGCCTCGTTTCCCCGGGGAGGGGCGCTGTGGGGACCTCTGGGCGGAGGGGGCCGTGTTCTCGGCGTCGCCGCGGCCTTTTGCTTCCTGGGGTTTGGAGGACTTCCTCCTTTCTGAGCGCCGGCGGCTGTCGGTGGTGTTTTGGTTAGAGATCTGCTCCAATCTGGTTTTCAGCGCATCATTGGTCTCCTCAAGTTTGTGGACTTTAATCATCAAGCCGCAGTATTTGTCCATGCACTCATCTGCCTCTTTGCTTTTCTCCTCAAGGAGTTGGCTCAGCTCGTCCAGCTCTCTCTTGGTCTCCTCCAGCTCTCTGTCATTCTCCTCCAGTTCCCTTTGCTTTCGGTCGAGGGTGACTGTGAGCTCCGTCACCTCCTTGCTCTTTTCCTCAGCCTCATTCCTCTTCCTCTCCAGGGAGGTCTTCAGCTCCTCCACCTCTCTCTGTCTGTCCTCTGCCCTGGGCTGGGCCCCCTCTGCCACCACCTCCTCTCCACTTCTTCCTTCTCCTGAAACACGAGTGTGACCAATGTTAAAATACAACTGCCCTGTCCACGGACGCTCTCGGCAGGTTCGTTAACGCACAAAACTAAGGCCAGTAGGAAATGTCAGTGGAGTGGCTTTCTGTCAAACACAAACCCTGATCGGCTCAAAGGGATCGTTTCGAATGTAAAGTGGTTCTTAAATGTGCTCGTACCTGAGCTGTGAAGCATCATTTGCTTTTCCTGCTCCAGCTGTTTGCAGGTTTTCATCCAGAGGTTCATCTTGCTCAGGGCAGAGTCTCTTTCTTTGGTCACACGAGCTGCATTAGATGTTAACGCAGACACCTGGAGGGGAGCAGAGTTTAAAGGGGAATCGGTCTTACATGGAGATAATACAGTAGGCTTTCAGGCTGCTCGGATGTATAATTTTATTTTATGTGGATGATCAGTCATGAGCGAACGTACCTTTTCAGAGAGCTGTGAGACCGTCAGCTTGTGTGTCTCCATCTCCCTCTCCATGGAGGCAACTTCCCTCTGAAGACCCTCTTTTGCTTCTGTGAGCTTATCTCTCTCTCCTTCAGCTTGTTGCTTCTCCTGTTCCACCAAAGACAGAGCAGACGACAGCTTCTCCTTCTCCTCCTCGTTCAAAATCATTTCAGCCTGTAACTTCAGTTTTTCCTGCTCCGCTTTCTCCTTCTCATCTTTTAGTGAAGTAAGAGTCTGCTGCAAGTCATGAGTCTGCTTTTCCATGGAGGAGAGGCGCGACTGAATCTCAGCTTTCTCGTCTGTCAGGACGCTTTTGTCTTGAATGAGTCTGTTTTTCTCTTCTTCAATGGATTTTAGCGTGCAGCGCAGGTTGTTTGTCACTTCTTCTGATGACAGCAGACCTGAGTTCAGCCTCTCCATTTCCTCTGCCAGTTGTCTGTTTTTTCCTTCTAACTGTTCTTTTTCTGCCATGAGAGATGAGATTGATTCTGCAGCAGCTCGTCTCTCATCCGCCCCCACCTCCCTCTCTTTTTCCAGACTGTGTATCTCTTCTTCTTTAACTATGATGAGTGTTTTTAGCTCATTTAATTGGATCCCTAGGTTGTTTCTTTCTGTCTCCCACTCCTGTTCCTGAGAGCGGAGCTTTTCCTCATCCGTCCGCCACTCCTGCAAAGAACTCAGAAGACACTGTTTCTCCTTCTCCAGCTCCACCAAAGACAACTGCACCTTCTCTTTTTCTTCCTCAGTCTCTGTGAGTTTCTGCTGGAGTGAATTCTTGCTCTGCTGAGAGGCTTCTAGCTGTGTCTGGAGGTCATCTACTTGCCTAAGTTGTTTTTCAGCTTCCTCTCTCATTCCTTTCTCCAGCTCCTCAACCCTGAGTTTCTGTCTTTCCTCTTCTTCTTTTCTATCTGCCTCTGCCTTCTCCAAACCCCTCTCCAGCTCATCCTTAGCAGCCTTTAGTTCCTCCAACTCCCTGTTCTTTGTCTCCAGCTCTCTTTCCATGTGCGCCTTCTCATTTCTCAGGTTGTCCAACGTCACAGAGAGCTCAGACAGTTGCTCACTGAGCTCCTTCTTCTCCTCTTCCACCTGAGGTTCCAGGAGTAGGAAAACACAAAGGAGGTCATTATCATTCATTGCACTTAGAACAGGTTCTGTGTTTTATTTTTTGCTTATAGAGAAAAACAGATAGATAGACATGGCTGTACCTTTCTCCTCTCCTCCTCCAGCTCAGCTTGGGCTACTTCAGCCTGTTTTTCACATTAAAAGGTAACAAAAATGTCACAAATCAGTGTTAAAAAGATGCAGTGATAAACTTTGGCTTTTTGGACTATTTGCAGCTAAATACCTGCAGCACAGATTCCTCCAGGCTTTGCTCTAAATCCTCCTTCTCTCGTTCTAGAGCCTCAATGTGATCCTGCAGCGAGTCCGACTTTCTCTGGGCAGCTGGAGGCACAGAGTCACACTTAGACCAAAACTTCACCAGACACAACAGCACATGTAAGTCCCTGTGGTGTCCAGTTACCTCTGAGCAGCTCCCCCATCTTCTTTTTCTTCCTCTCATCTGACTCAATCCTGACCTGAAGCTTTTCTATGCCGGTCCTCATCTGCTGGACTTCGTCTTGAGTGGAATTCAGACGAGAGGCAATCTCTCCTTTTTCAAGCAGAGAGGACTCCAGACACTGTGAAAGGCGGCCCACCTCTCCCTCCAAAGCCTTCAGTTAAATGGGAAGAAAACAAGTATGAAATAATCTGTGCACCCTTTCTAGGAGCATCCTTTCTAAGCTTATTATTTGACAGATATTTCAACATACAAGACAACTTTCTAAAATCATGAGTATTCAGCAGTATTTCAAACTTAGCAGAAAGAGTTTCACCCCGCCAAAACATACTATGATGGGCTTCTTTTGGTATAAAACTTCCTCCTCACCTGTATCTTGCCGACCATGGATTCAGAGTTTTGATCGGCAGATGTGCAGTCTTCTTTTATTTGGTTAAGATGACCAAGGAGTTCTTCCCTCTCCCCACATTGCTGTGAAACTGCCTGTTCCAGCACCTTAATCTGCTCCAACAGCTTTGTGCAAAAGGAAAGGAATCAACCATTAAAAGTTGTCAACTGTTCACTAAATTATATAGCATACAGTGTCCTTTAAAGAGCTTTTCCATTGGAACTGAGGCCAACAGTAGTTTTTAGAGGGTCTTATAAAGATTGATTGAACGCACAAGCATTACTCCAGAGCCCACAACCAGAACCAAACCAAACTATTATAAAAATTGATGAAATGGAAGTGGAAAGATAAAAACTAAGCCCATGGGAATAAAAGGACATTAAAGACACTGCTATCCCAGAATAATCTTTAAAAAAAGCACGTCTTTGTGGATTCTTCCATCAATGTACAATACCTGTTCCCTCTCAGCCTTCACTTTCTCCATGCTGCTTTGCAGGGCCTCATATTCCTTCCTTCCAGCTCTGATGTCGTCCTCCAGGATAGATATCAAGTTCCTGGTGTCACAGTTGGTCTTCTCCAAACCATGAGCTCTCTCTCTGCACTGGCCCAAAGACTGGCTCAACTCATCTCGCTCTTCAGTGCAGGACACGAGTTCCGATCTGAGCTGGGTCGCCTGGAAAAGGACATCATGAATGAACACCATGGAAACTGTGACAGCTGCGGAGCATGTTTTAAATACGTCGATGCGTGATCTGTTTTTCCACATTAATAACACTTTAATATATATTCTCCCCACAGTCTCATGAAATAAAGTCTTTAAAACATGTTTAAAGTGCTCACTTCTGTCATCAAAGTTTCTATCTGTACTTCCATCCCTGAACATGTCCTCTTCTGAGTGTCCAGCTCATCATTAAGTCTGGTGCTCTGGACCTGCATGGTCTCCAACTCAGACTCCATTCCCAGGATGTGCTGCTCCAGGTTTGCTTTTTCAGAGCGAACCCTCTTCAGCTCACTCTCCTGCTGAAGAAACTTTTCATCCCATCCACCTACAGAACCAAGTAAAATACTGAATCACTTCCGTGAAAAAACAACCGTTGAACTATTTTGGTGGCATTATCACTCCATATGTGAATTAAAGCAGAAAGTTTGAGTTAAAGGCTAAAGCAGGAACCTTTAGCCATCTCGAGTCCTTCCAGCATCTCCATTACATCAGTCAGCTGACATTTAGCCGTTTGCAGCTGCAGAGTTAAGGTCTCGTTTTCTTCTGACAGCTGAGTCAACTGAAAAAAGAGTGCAAAGTACTCATATAAAGACATGAAAATAAAGACCATTAAGACAGAAATTTAAGACACAAATTTACTATGTTTGTACCTCCTGAGAGAGGCTTTTCTTTCCCTCTAAGGCCATGCTCAGCTGCTGTGCTGCAGCACACGCCTTTTCCTCTGCAGCATCTGCTCTCTTCTCCAGGTGTTTGACTTGGTCCTGCAGTTCGGAGGTCAACTCTTTCCTCAGTTTGAGGTCAGAAGTCAGCAGGTCATGCTCTGAGTGCAGAGTCAGAAGTTCATGCTCTTGTTTAGAGAGCATTTCCCTATAATGGCTGAGGTCATCCTGCAACTCTGATGACTCTGTTCCTGAGGATTAAAAAACAAAAAAAAAAAACAGTTTGATTCTTGGTCCGAAGGTAAATCAAACTGAGGCAATGTTGATATTAACAAACCATATAACAATCTTTAAAAAAATGTTTTAAAACATGTCCCTCTAAAATGTGTGGCAGCTCTAAAAAACAAAACAAATTATGAAAAGCTGTTTTGACATATTTATGAGAGACTAAATGGAGGCAAAGGAAAAAAAAGAGCATTGTATTTTGGGCATCACATAATTACTCACCACAAGATTTCGAAATGCTCTTTGAAGCCTATAACAAGATAAAAACACACATACATACAAAACATTACTTTTAGATTCTGTAACAATATTACAATAACATCAAACAGTAGTTGTGAATACCCCGATAGAGCTCAAACTTTGGAGTGAGGAGTAAAATGAAACGGTCACAGAAATGTTTTCTACCTGTTGATGAAGTTCTTGGTCCTCCTCACAGCTCCTCATTTGCTTCACATCTGCCTCCTCGCTCTCTCCCTGCAGCTCATCGTGAACCATCTGTTGCTCGGAGACATCCTCCACAAAGACCTCTGCATTGCTGTCACAGCAGGGGGAGGGGGAGGTTACAGGAAAATCAAGCTTAAAGTTACGAAATTACGGCTTCTGATGGGGGAAGAAACTCCTTGTACCTGAAGGCCTCGTGAGTCTGCTGTGGAAGACCACTCGGTCCGGCCGCTGCAAGCTGCTGGTTTGATGGACGGATCTCTGTACTGTCACCGCAACCTGCATCAGCTGCTGCCTCAGCACTTTCCTGGCCCGCAGCCTCATCTGGGGACATCTCTGTCGGTGATTAAATGTAGTTTACGCTCCACTAAAAACAGAAGCAGCGTTTCTTGCCGTGACCTTGGTCGCCACTCACCAGAACTGTGGCTGCTCTGTTCTGCTGGGCTCTGGGTTTGCTGTGGCTCTGAGAGCTGCTGTATGAGGCTGTGCTGCTGGCCCACCTGAGCCAGCAGTGACTCGTACTGCTGCTTGAAGACGGCCAGCTCTCCCTGTAAGGCGGCGAGTCTCTGGTGAAGTTCGGCCTGTTCGGCCTCAAACCGCTCACTCCTGTGGTTCAACACAAGTGAGTCATTAGTTCACTTCCAATCGACTGACAGACGCAAAGTTGGACATGCAGACACACCTCTGTTTGTCCTGCTCTTCAGTCCTGTCATCCCTCACGTCCAGCAGCTCCTTCAGACCCTGGCACTCTTTTTCCTGGGACAGCAGGGAGCTCAGGATGCACTCCTTCTCCTGTTTGAGAGAAGCCATCTCCTCCTGGAGCCTCTCTATACTTGCTTGTACCTGCCGCTTGTCTTCGGACACTGTGTTCACACTGGACTGTAGCTTGATGTTTTCTTCAGACAACTGAGTGCACTTAGATTCAAGTTGAATCTTTTCCTCCACCAAGTGATTCAGTGTAGTAGCCAAGTCACTTTTCTCAGAGGTTATTGACATTAGCTTATCCTCGAGTTGGACCTTTTCCTCATTCAACAGACTCAGTGTAACATCTTGCTGGGCTTTCTCTTCCATGAGGTGATTCAGAGTTGATTCAGCTTCGACTTTCTCGAGAGCCATCGCATCAATCGTGGCCTCCGTTTCCAGCTTCTCCACTGACAGCTGCTCAGTCTTGGTCTGTAGCTGCTTAACTTCTTCAGATAGTTTGTCTACACTCTCTTCCAGCTGTTTCTTTTCTTCTATCACTTGGAAAATGTCTTTCTCAAAATGCTCTCTGTCTTCCACCAACTGCTTCACAGTTACCTCAAGGTTGTTTTTCTCATGAAGTAACAAATTAAGATTGTTTTTTTCCTGAATAAGCTGCTTGAGCTTTGCCTCCAACTGAACATTTTCTTCTGTTATGTGACTGAGTTTAGACTCCAATGCAGCAACGCTTTCTTCGAGCTCCTGCCGCCGGGCAGCGTTCTCCTCCAGCCGAGTTATCTCAGAGCTCCTCTCAAATAGCTCCTCTTTGGCCGTGACAAACTTTGTCTCCAGCAGAGAGTTCTGGGATTGGACCTCGTCCAGGCGAGTTTCCAAAACTGAGACCTGAAAAAATAAAAAGTTGGTGATTAATGCCTATTCATCCATTCAATTATATGTTTAACTTTGCCCCTCAGAAAATGCTTTAGGTAAACAATGAGCCAACCTGGGCTTTGCTGTCCTCCAGTCTGGCCTCCATGTCTGAAATGTGGGTTTGGTTGTGAGCAAGCTGGGCCTCTAATAATGCTATAGTTCCCCTAAGCTCCTCCACAGAGTTCATCACTGTTTCGTTGTCCTCTAGGTCCATCTGCAACATCTCCAGTTGCACCTTAAACAAAGACAATCGTTTAAAAATAAAAAAAATTACACTGATGGGCTTAAAATCGTACTACATTCACATGATGGTTTTGGAGAATTGTGGAGAGGCAGGGACTACGCTATAACAGAGAAAACACAAGTAACCAACCTTGATTTTGTTCATGGCAACAGTCTTCTCCTTCAGGAGATCTGAGCTTTTGGCCCACTCTGCCTCTGCTTTATTCAGCCTCTCCTTCAGACTCTTAATAGTGTTGTCTCTCTCTTCCAATCCACGAGAAGCAGCTGAGATGGTCATCTTCATGGTTTTGATCTCCTCCCGACGAGAGCTTGCTTCCATCTTGGCAGCAGCTAATGATTTCTGAGAGCTTTTGAGCTGCTCTTTTAGGCTCTTCTCTTTATTGATTACATTTTCAATCTCCAAAGTGTGACTCTGTGACTCTTTACTCATCTTCTCTGTTAGATCAATGATCTCCTTCTCCAGAGCAGAGATCAGAGTCATTTTCTCAGCTAGAGTGCTCTCCAGTTTGGCTTTCATTTCATTAGCAGAGGAGAGGCTCATCTCATGATCTTCTAGGGACTTGTTAAGGTCAGCGAGGGATTGAGTTGAACTTTCCAGTTTACTTTTCAGGACTGGAAGCTCTTCTGCTGCATTTTGGTTTGCGGCTACCCTCTGTTCCAATGAAAAAATCTGCTCCATCAGGGTGTTTGTCCTCATAGCCTGACTGTGCTGTAGGATCTTAATAAAAAAACAAACACATTTAGTTATTTATTCTAATTACAAAATTGCATAGTTATTGACAGAAACGAATATTAAGAGAAACAGGAACACAAAGAAGCAAGTAGACATGGAATTGGTTTAAAAAAAACATTACAATCAATGACATCTAAGATTTTACCTCAGCTTCTTTCTTCATCTCCTGAACCATGTTGTCCAGCTCAGACTTTTGCTTCACCAAAGACTCCATCTGAGCCTCAGCTTCTCTGAGATCCTTCTCCTTCATCTCAGTCTGGTCCCGCTGATCCTTCACCTCCTTCTTCAGTTGCTCCAGTTCTTCTGATTTTCCTTGGAGCTCCTTTTTCAGTTCTTCTTCACTATCTGACATTTTCTCAACTTCCCTCTGCAGCTGAGCTCCCAGCTGCTCCTGAACCTTCAAGAACTGCTCCACAGAATTAAGCTGAAAAATAGAGGGAAACACAACGGTGAGAACCATCAGAAAAATCTTTACAGAACAAGTAGACGTCATTAAACTGTATCATTAAACTTTAAGCCTTTAAACCATCTTTGCAAAACACATTTCAGGCAAAGAGGTAAAAACATTTAGGAAAAATAGAATGTATTATACGGTAATTTATAAGGGTCGTACATTTCAGCAGAGAAATATTTTTAATTTACTTTTAAAATATTGGTCAACCTTCTGAATTGTCATTTTTATGTATACATTTTAAATTAAGAATGGATCTAAATAAGCAGACACAAACCTTGTTTTTGCATAGTACCAGCTCTTGCTGGGCCTCCTCCACCAGCAGTTTGCTGTGCTCGACCTCTTCAGCCTTTTTGAAAACTGTCTCCTCACACTGCTTCAGCAAATCTGCCTTTTCCTCTATAAACCTAGCAGGAGGAAGAGATAGAATTCAAAGAGCACGAGATTAAAAACAACAGTCATTTACAGAACTGTATTATCAAAAAATAAAAAAAACACTGAGCGGACCATTCTCACCTGGCATTTTGCTCCTCTTGCTGTGCAGTGGCCTGTGCCAGGCTCTCCCTCAGCTGGCTGATCTCAGTCTGACCCAGCTCTACCAGCTGGTCTTTGGAGCGCAGCAGGTCACAAGCTGCTTGCTGCTCACTCTGAAGCTCCGTGTTCATCTTCTCGGCAAGTTCTGCTCGACTGATTTCCTTTTGCAACTGTGCTTCTAGCTCTTTGACCTGTTGAAATGGAAACAAAGTAGGTTTCAGGTGTTTTGTTCTGAATGTAAGAAATAGGCCTCAACTGATACTAAATCAGATATTATGTAAAATATTTTTTTTAATGGACCGATTAAGAAATGGACCCTTAGGGTAAAATCAAAGAAACCTGTGATTCAAGTTGCGCCACTTGCACTCCGACATTCTCCAGGTCTTTGGCGTGCTTTTGTCCAGCCTCTGAGAATTGACACTGCAGCTGCTTGTGCAGATGCTCTTTCTCTTCAAGCTCTGTGCTCTTGATCAGAAGTTCACCCTTCAAAGAGTCAACATGAGCAGACAGACTGGCCTTGTCTCCCTCAACGAGCAGGAGCTTGTTCTACAATAAGGGGAAAAAATGCATTCCATGTGTCTGCATCACATTTTTAAAAATGTCCCATGGCGAAAGTCTCCTAAACAGTTAAAGTGCACAGCACTGCTCCTTTCTCCTTACCTTGAGTTCGTCACTGGCCTCATTCAGCGAGTGGACGCTGCTTTCCAAGCTGAGGATTTTGTCAGTGAACTCCTTTTGCACGGATTCAGTTTCATTTATCAGAGTCTCCTTTTCCTTTCTCCACTCCAGTAGAGCTTGATGTTCCTGTGTCAGTGTCTTACATTCGTTCTGGCTGTCGATAAGGCTGGATTTCAAATCTTGGCTCTCCTTTTCAACGACTGTCAACCGGTTGTGGAGCTTCTCTGTCTCTTGTTTCTGTTTCTGGAGGTCATTCTGAGATCTACAGTGCAACAACGACAACAACAAAAACTGAAATAAGCAATAAGGTATTGTCTATTGACTTAAGATCCAAAAAGTGCGAATAATCATCTTCTTTATCAATAAAATCGGTTTTACTTGTCATTTCCGGTCTCTGCATCCGACAGTGCTTTCTTAAGGTTTTCCAGCTCCCGTGCTGCAGCTTGAGTCTGCTGCTCCAGTTTACACTGAAGTCTCTTCAGCTCCTCTGCCTGCCCCTCTGATTTAGCTGAAAAGCCAAAAAGATCATGTTAACAATGCATGAAAGCAAAAGCAAAAAAGGGAACGCCTTTTCTGCCGCTGCTCATTCCCCACACCTCTGATATCATCCAGAAGACCTTGGGTCCGCTTGAGGCTTTGTTCTGAGCTTTTCCTCTCTTCTTCCAGCTGGGACAGACGCCTGCTGCTCTGGTCCAGCTGGACAGTTGTGCTATTCTTCTCTTTCTGCAATTCCTACAACAACAAATTCATGTTTAATCATGGATGAGAAAGTCAGTGTTCCAACATGATGTCAATTCTTATTCTCTGAGATTAGAAATGGGTTGAAGCTAACCTCCATTTTTTTACGGAGGTCCTGCTCTTTAGTCTGGCTGGCCTGCAGGCTTTGTTCTGACCGCAGCATTTTCTGCTTCAGCTCATCCACCTCTCTCTCCATCTGAGTCTTCTGGAAGCGCATCTAGCAGCAAAACACAAATGTCAAAAGGTTAAATCTATTTTCCTCAAGTTTTTGCAGGACAAATGCATTTTTCAAAACTGGAAGCAACTTGAATCCTGCAACTCTCAACCTGTCATCTCGCTCTTGACAACAAGACACAGAACAAAAGTTAAAGTGAATGTAGCAATATAAAACGCCTCTAAGATGGTAATGACAGAAGAAGTCTTTAAATAGATTAAATAATAGCAGACTATAAAAGTACCTTCTCCAGGTCAGCTTGCAGTACATTGTAATCTTTTTTGGACTGTTGGATTTCTTGTGTAAGCTTTGTTTTGGTCTGGTTAAGCTGCTGATCCAGAGACTGGTGGGAACTCTGAAGCTGGGCGAGCTCCTGCATAAACAAAACAGCCATTCAATGATTTTTTGCTTTGAATAAAAAAATCAAATTAGTTCAGTACTTTTGATTAAACAGCACTAATCTGCATTACCTTCTGACTGCTTTTCTCTTGGTCTTTGAGCTTCTGCTCCAGGGCCCGTTTGCAGCTTTCTGCGTTGTGCCTCTGACAGTTCATCTCCTCAGTCACTTGTTTCAGCTTCTGCTCCACTGATGAGCACTACCAACAGAGAGCCAGAGCAACATTTAGTCATATCTGCAAGCCATTTACATATTCCCTCAAACATCTTAGCCAATGAAACCTCAGTGAAAATGAAAGACAAACTGTCCTACTTTGGCCTGAAGCTGCTGGTGCTTGTCTGTGGTCTGACTCAGCTCATTGCAGGCTTTAGACAGGTCTCTGTCCCGCTCAGCCAGGTCTTTGCGGGCCTGGTTCAGCTGAGATTGTATCTCCTGCAATTTGGAAGCTTGAGTACGAATTTCCTTCTCCTGATTGGACAGATTCCTCTCGAGCTCTGACACTCGGCCACGCAGCTCTGAGGAAAAAGCAGACATAGTTCAAATACTGATGCTTTAACACCAAAAACACTGACTAGGAATTGGTAAAAATAAATATGCTTTAAAACCTTAAGGGCTTAGACATGGATTTTCAATTTCCCGACAGGGAGATACACATGTATATATTCTACTTTGTAAGTCGCTTTGGATAAAAAAGCATCTGCTAAATGCATAAACATAAACATGATATATGGGGACCCACCCTGATTGAGGGACTTTAGCTGCTCCATGTTTTGGGAGGACACACTGGGGCTCTGGACTGTTCTGGAAGAGCTCGTCCGCAGGCTGGGTTTGATTGGTGTCTCCTCATGGGAATCCCACAGGGAGGTCCCTCGTCTCTTCAGAGGTGTTTCCATCACATCCTGAGAATGGCGGGTGTGGGCCTGATCCTGCTGTTGCCATGGGAATATGGAAGACCCAGCTTGGCGGGCTGCAATGTCCTTGTGGCTAACATTCACTGATGACTGATTCAACATCTAGAGGAGAAGAGAGAGGTTTTAACTACCAAGAAACACAGACGATAAATGATGAATAAGTACAAACAAAAGCACTCACTTTGACCTGCAAGACTTTCAGTTCAGTTTCCAGCCTTTTTCTCTCTTCCACTTCATGGTTGTATTTCTCCTGAAGCTCCTCTAGTCGGCTATCTATGAAACACACAAACAGTTTTATGCAAAATTATGCCATTCCTTTAACCACCGTAATCCAGCGATATCCCTCTCTTCAAAATGAACACACAGAACTAAGTTTGAGCCAATGGATAAGAAACCAAAGTGAAATACCCTGCTGTCGGTAGACCTGGACAGGTGCTGGTGTAGCAAAACTCTTCTGAGGCGTAGCGAAAGGCTGCAGCTCAGTCGAGGAGGAAGATAAGGAGGAAGAGCCAGACCGATCCAGCTCATTTTTGTATCTGAGCACATTGAGAGAAAAAAAAAAAAGCTGTAACCAAATACTTCACAGTCACAGAAATTCCCCTTACATATTATTTTTAAATACAAATTAAGATAACCAAAGTGTCATATAAAGAGAACAAAAAAGCACACTCACTTCTTGAGCTCCTGCTCCAGCCGTTCTATTGTCTTCCTGCAGGAATTGAGCTGACCCTCAAGGTAGCTCACCTGCGGAAAGGACAATTATTAAATTAGGATGACTGGGAGTTTACGTTTAAAAATTAATACCAGATATATACAACTGAACCTCTTAAACCATTCTCTGTCCTTTTAGGAAGATTATGTTTGTGAAACTTGAGGTTGGAGCTTTGATGAACAGCATGTTGATCGAACACAGAACTATACTTTATTAGTTTAATGGGAAGGTGTCAGGATTAGTAAATGGGGTATTGGCTTCTGCTGACACAGACAGGTAACTTACTGGCAATAAACACACTAAAACACACAGGAACCAAGCTTCCCACTAAGAAAGCACTGAATTTACTTAAGTTTTCTTTTTGGGACCATTACAGTGTCCATGAGTGTTTATGCAGCAGCAACATGGCAGCATGTTGTTTCAATTAAACGTTTCAGATTTAGGGAGTAAAAAAACAAGAACATTATATAGTGGGATAAAAATGCAGCATTTCTATTCATCTCAAGAAACTGACCTGCTGTTCTTTGACTCCGAGGTCATGGGTGACCTTTTGGCGTGACTTCTCCAGCGAATCGCATGACTCTACTAAGGACTGGTTCTCTCTTTTCAAAGCAGAGATCTCTGTACGTTCACTGTCCACCTGAAGAGAGACATACAGGGAAAAAAAGAATATTTGAACTTAGCATGCTCATCTGCTCTGTTAAGCAACATTAATTAGGAACTAAACACACCTTAATGATGTTCAAATCATTAAACCCACAAATAAACGCAGACCTTTTGTTTCTGTTTTTGTAGGACAGCTTCTAAGGAGTCCAGTTGAAACTGTTTTTGCGACCTCTCTTTTTTGAGTTTGTCCAACTGGGCCTCCATCTCCTGGATCTTCTGCAAGGCTTTCCCTGGAAGTCCATCCTTCCACTCCTCTACTGCCCAGCTCATGGCTTCAAGCTCTAATGAACACAAACCAATTAATGTACCACTAAAATGACAAAAGATATACTAAAACACATTTGCTAAAAACATTCAAATAAGTGTTTAAAACAAAAAAACAGGTGGATTTAGCTGCAGTTCTAAACCATAATTTAAAAATACTAATAACACATTAATTGGCTATTCTTGTGCTAAACAATGGAATACAAAAATCCACTTTAAAATCAAGTAGCAATTGTATGGAGCTATGAGCAGCAGCCTTAACGTCAGTATAATTACCTGCTTATAGTCTCGCGTTATTAACCGGAGTGTCAGCACAGTTTAGCTAAAAACGTTAGCACTGTTACTTGCGGCTAAATTTGAGAAAGTTGTCACTTAATATACTTACAGCTTTAAGGACGAACCGATAACCTCACAGATTAAATATTAACTAATCACCAATTAAAAATTGAGCGTTATGAGCATTCGCCTTACAGCTTGTGTTGGCCCAAACGTGAGGTTGTCATTGCTGTGTGGGGAAATGCGGCATTATGCGACGTTAATTTGGATTTGATTTTTTTTTTTTTTTTCAACCGAGCAAGAATATCAGGAGATAAAAAGAAAATACCTCAAAACTAATGAGTGATACAATCATTTTAAATGTTTGGAGTTGAGGATGTTGGTACTTACTTTGGGCGCGATGCTTTTCCTCTCGGTCAGTCTTGAACTGTTTGGGTTTCTTTGGAAAATTCAAAAAGCTAAGGAGGAACCCGCAATCCGCAGAGCTACGTGCCCATTGGCTAATGTGAGTTACGTCATTCAAACAACACACATGATTGGTTAAATTGCTTTACTGTCTCCATGGTGCCTCCATGTGGCACGTTTTAAAATGTTACCACAAGTAATGTCTTCACTTCGCACTTCTACGTCTGAACTTCTAGCGACTGTCATGAGTTATGGGGTGAGTGCAAGAACCGGTGAAGTCCTAAACTTCATTTTACTTTGGATCTATTAATCACAGTTCTCAGCTTTAAGAAGTTTTAAGATAACCCCTTATTTAAAATGGCATTTTCCTCCTAAATTATGTATATTATAAATTTACAGGAGTGCTTTTGTATAAAAATTAAAAGGTTAGACTCGTCCTGTAACTGAATATAACTGCTTTATAACATGGACATAAGATACAACGATTCAACTCACATGGAATATTACCACAGACTGTATAGAGTCCTGGCAACATTTAGACCACATTTAATCTTTATGAAAAATATAAATACGATGAAACACAGCAGCATCATTTCTAGACATTATGTTGAATAAATAGGTTTATTGGGTTTCAATGGCATGGTACATTAAAAAAACAAACAAACAGGCAAATTGTAATTACGTATTTCAGTGGTATAATTATCATGCCAGACCATTCATAAACAATAGAAAATGTTATGGACCATTCTTTGAGCCATTGTCAGGATAACATGCAAGACATGGGTGAGGATTCGATGTTTAAACATGCGCACAACAGGATTTAGCATTAGTGACATTACAGAAACCCTCTTAGCAAATTTTTTTCCTGTTACTGAAACACACTAATGAGCATTATGAAAAAAAAAACTTTTTGAAATGGTGCTTTTGGACTACCTTTGTAAAGCTCTGAGGCAAGCACCTTCTGGATGCAAATAGTTTTTAAAAAACGCAGGAGCTGCTACAAATACAAGCACAGGCAACTCATCGAGATGAGCTGTAACTGTCAGTAAGCCTCATTCGTGTGGTGCATGAAACTCCTTTAATTGGTAAAGCAGAGTGAGAAGCTACAGGCATTTAACACGAATGCTCTAACAGTGCAAAGTTTAAGACTGCAGATTTGCTGAGCATCCATTAACAGCAAATGTTTTTTTTTTAATCTGCTTATAGATTCATGTTTAATATCAAATTGTTACATACAATGTACAAAACTTGAGTGAAAAAAACCCTTAAATAAGGCCCAGGTGATGATCTTTGCATTATTTGTGAGCTTTGTTTGCACATTGCATACTCAACCTTAGATTGAAAAAAGCAACAAAATGTTAAAAAGAACTGCTGGGTGCTTTAATGTAATTTAACTTAATCTACACAAGCAGTTTTATGACCTGTGACTGATCCTGCTCTGGACATCAGAGTGAGGGCTGTGGTCACTTAAAATCACAAACTACAGGTAACACTCAGTGTATCAATGCTAACAGGACATAAACCATACAAAACCTTTATATCATTCATTATTCCTGTTGCATACTCAGATGTATAAACTTGTGGGACAATTTAGTTAATGTACAATAGTTAAACAATGATTTTTCAGTTTGAGGTAAAAAAAATAAATAAATAAATAAATTAAACATTAAAGACTTCAGTCGGGTGCAAATCCAATTTTTCTCGAAATCGACCTAATTAATTTATTATCAAAACCCCCAAAATGTTGTATTTCAAGACAGGCTAATGCTTGCTGCAGCTGTGATGACGTCTTCCCATGGGTGATGACATTCTGGATTCACAATGCTTTATAGAAAACACCAAACGGGTACAATAATGCATCTCTTTAACTAAGTGATAAGGCTACAGTGTCACCACTTTTATCACAAAGGAGCTCCGATACAGGATTGTATGTCTGGTCAATACTAAAGCGTCTTCTTTCAGACTGCTGTTGAAAACTGGTCTCAAATAAGCACCTATATCTATGGATACACTAAAAAACAGAATGGCTGCTTCCTTGTCAGATAAGGTTGTAGCCTATGTGTTCATCAAGCCTCACATGAGAAACAAAAAAGTACACAATTTCAAATGCATAACAGACATACAGACATGCAACACTTTTTTAAACAAGCAAAACAGAGTAAAAAAACCCAAAACAATTATTACTCGGTCAGAAATATTCTTTGTTTTCTTTTCTCTGCTGCTACGGAGTGACTGGTCAGTGATTTTTTCCCCCCAGTTTCAACAAAACAGAAGAGGTCATACACGTCTACAGCACTGCTAGATATGCAACAGAATTCAAAAGCACAAGCTGTGATGCGTTAATGCCCTCAGTAACAACTTCTCACCAGAAAACGCGGTGGGGCAACACTTTGCTGATCAAAATGCAACTGCAACCAGACGTGGTGATGAATCAGTCTGTCAGTCCACTCCATACTGAATGATTTCCAACTTTAAAAACTCTTCTAAACATGTAGATAGGATATTAAAGCTTTGTTTTTCTGGAGGCAGTCTAATGTTTTTTTTCCTCTGCCTGCATGTGGTTAAGAGCTACAGCACAAAGTAGCATTTTTGAATGTTCAAGATGTGCATTTACATTTTCATATATATCCCCCCCATCAAATAACATAATTTTAATTCTTCACTGTAAAGTGAACAGAAGGCAGTCAATTTCAGGAAAAAACGTGGTCATCTTCAGCCAAAATCAAAGAACTGCCAAAAAAAGAGGCAGTAAACAAAGAAAAAAAATCGGTATTTAAAGAAAAAGGGGCTATGAGATGCATGCCATGCATTTATGATGTACATGTGGTTCCTTTCATAGGCTTCTCTCTAGAAAAGTAAAATGCAAATCTTTTTACACCTTCAGCCGCACTCTTTATTTCTGCTCCTCAATTTCTCGTTTGACCTCGGCTACATAATGGTGGTCTTTTCCATGAGCCACTTCCATGACAGCCAAAGCCTGAAAACAGAAACACAGAAACAGACGAGTTACAAGCCTGTTAGGGGGCATACTGTCATCATTGTCATTTCATCAAACTAGAAGTGACAGATATACATATGGATGAAGTTATTGAAAACTAAAGACAAGATTTTCCAGCACATTGTCTCAGATCATCTAGGTTGAACAATGCTATCCCATGTCGCTGTCTAATGTCCTTTAGCGTTACGTTTGTAAGTCTAGCATATCATTAAAATATTCGATTAGGTCTCACATGCACTGTTAGCAGCTCCACCACCACTAAAATAAACATGATAAATTAAGTGAAACTTTGTACATTTACCGTAACTAAATAAGTGTGTTTGTAATAATGTGCCAGACTTCAGTTGATTATTGTCTTCTATATATTAATAATATATTAACCGTTTCACTCAGTTGAGCTCATAGTGTGTTTTAGGTGCAAAATCCACCAACAAGCAAGAGGTTAACATAATCACCTTCTTCAGAGCTTTGACTCCTTGTGTCTTCTTCTCAAGCCCCAAATACAAACGTCCCAGTTTCAGATACATAGATGCCACATTTAGAGAGTAGGCAGGATAGTGAACACTGCAGACAAATAAAAACATCTGGATTAAACACAGAACACAATATAAATGATATACTGGATTTGTCTCAACCTATTTAACTCTGAGCTGACTATAAGTGGGGAATATTAATTCCACATTTAAGGACCAAGTTTATAGATTTGAACACATAACACTATTCTTTTATGAGATCCCCAAGGCCAACAACAGTAAGTATCTCTTGGTTTGACGTTATCAGTTGACCTCTTTGTGTTTTAAGGGTCAAACACTTTGCCTTCGAGATTAAATTCTAAAAGTCGCAGTGATGATTGCACAGACACTTGTGAGACTTCATAATTCACCTCAGCTTGGGGAAAGGTAAACACCAATGCTGATGGCATAAGCGTGACAGTTTCCTTGTATTTCCCGTTACCTGTAAGGATGAATGATTTTCTCGCCATAGCTCATAGCACCATCCCAGTCCTGCATGTAGAGACAGACACCCATTGCTTGATACATCATGTGCAGCATATAGACGTTAGTGTCGGCAAAAATAGCTCCCATCTTCTCCAGGCTGAGCTCACACATCTCCAGCAGTTCACTGGGAGGTGCAAGAGAGTCAAGGAATGATGCACAGAATACAGAACAAGAGCACAAAGCATCCATTTGAAAGAAACACAGAAACAGGTTATAAGAGGAATAGGATATTTTTGTAGTGTTTGGCTCTCCTGAACTCTTCAATGACATTCCTGGCATAAAGGACCATGGTTTTGATTTCCCCTGGCTCTGGTGGAGAACTCAACTTCCTGATCTCCATTTTTGCTTTGTCCTTCAAATGTATAAAGAAAAAAGGCATAATTAAACATGACAAGTCATGAAAAATATGCAGATAACTCCACATATGCTCAGATAGATGTGTGGGAAGTCAGCGATACCTTCGACTTGGTGGTGCACTCCGTACACTGGCATGTGAAGAAGTAGGAATCTAATAACCTCTCTTTTCGATCGTCTGTAGGGTAGAGCAGGTCAATGTAACTGTTCAAGATCTACAGAGAGAGAAAGAGGACCTATTATGAAACACTTAAACATTTACAAGTCTGTAACTGTTTGGCCATGGGTCACTTACCTCCTCTCCCGGGCTGATCTCTTTCACGGCTCTGACCTCAGCCACCGTGCCTTTATATGTCACTATGACATTAGGACTGCAGCTGTGATTCATCAGGGCTACACTGGAAGAAAGAGGACAAACATTATGAAGCTCCGTAACTTTTGGAAAGCTGAACTTTTGTTTATGCAAAAGGGTGTGAGTTTTGGAAACACAACGTCTGCGGAGAATAATGCCATAAAACCTCTAAAAGTTTTAGATTTCATCAATAACAACTCATGCAATATTCAAAGTGTCTTGATGGTGAACAGTAGCTCTCTGCTACATGGCAGAAGAGAAACTTCTTACCTACAGTGTATAACACTTTACATGAATAGGATGTGGAACAGATCTAAATTATTTCACTGTTAGAGCAATACATCTAAAGCACTTTCAGACCATAACCTAACATAAATGACCCATCATGCCGATTATTAGACTGTGGGAGGAAGATGGAGCACCCAGAGTGAACCTGCTTACACAGACAGCTTTCAAACTATCAAGGAATAACTCCTTCTTTGCCTCCGAATAACAGTTTTGCACAGTACATAAAAACCGATGAGCAAGTATCTGAGTGTGTTGATGGATCCCCTACTTACTCAGGAAAAACAGCTGATCCCAAATGGGAGAGCTCCTCATCCTCTATGGTGAAACCATTACAGTTTACCTGGACACAAAGGAAAGATTAATAGGGACAAATAAAGACAGAGGGAAGGATGCAAACAAACAGGCAGAGATGGGTTAGGGAACAGGAGGGGGGGGGGGGGTTAATGATGGAATGAGAATAGACCTCTAATGTACTGCAAAATCTCCACTGAGGAGGAGGAAATACGCTGGTACAGATTAAATGCAACCCTGTGATGAGACGCCAAAGAGGTTGCTTTCATTAGTTTAGCGTGAAGAGATAGAGGCTTCAGCACTGCCAGACAGATCAAATTAAAGAGCTCAGAGCTGCTGACAGCACGGGGAGCTGTGTGAGGCAGAGCTGGGCAGCACCGCCATCTCTCCTGTGGGTCCAACTGCTACCACCTGCAACACCACTTGGTGTGCATGGAGGGGTGAAAGATGGATGGAAGTTACGACCACTCATCAACACGCTTGTGTATTCTACTATTATAAATGCTGTTTAGGCCTGTGAAACCCAATGACGTTTCAGGGATGAACATCTGAGACTGATATGTTTATGACTAAAGATGTTCAGTGTCTTAAAAGGTATTTCACGCTTTATCATTACCAAAGCATCTGCAGTTCAGTTAGCAGTCAGGTGTGTCTCACCATCTTTTTACACAGTTAAATAACTGAACATTTGATTTGACAAAACTACTACCTGGATTTTTAAGAAACTATTTAATGTATTGCTTTGGTCCATTTGTTTTAGTGGTGATGGAAGTGCTGAATGAGGTTTAGAGAGGCATGGTTGATAGAACAAAGACAGAGATGAAGGTAAACACTACCCACATTAGGAACACAACACTGTGTTTTTTACCTGTGCAAAGAGCTCATTGAGCGCCTGATGGTCAGGAAGGTCACTGATGTGTTTAGAGTAGAAATGGTGCAGAGCTGTTATGTCCACTTGGTTCATCTCATCCTTCTCACTGTCCATCTTATCTAAATCTGTCACAGAAGAAGAAAAAAAGGGGGAAGAAAAGTCTTTAAAGCTTTTTAAACTAAAAGTCTCTTAACTGCTGACTTAACTGCTGTTGCTCTGTGAGGCCTTTTTGGTTGCATTTGTCACTGAAAGGTATTTTCCGGGTATTCCTTTGCAAAAGGTTTTTGCTTTTGTAATTCTAACTTGCTACCTTTCCTGAATTGCAGTTCTAGTCCCAAAGCCAAACAGAAGCACCCTTCACTGTAAGCACGCGTAAAACATGCCACTGCTGCAGGCCATGTGTCTTTGCCAATCACACACACCCCCACAGAGCGGAGGGAGCAAGTAGAAGCCAGACACACAGCTTTGAGTGGATGCTAAACAGGTGTGAGGGTTAACTCTGTGAAAATCCGCTGGCGATATTACTGAACCCACAACACCCGCTCAGACTAAAGGATCATTCAAATGGAGCAGAGAAAATACTCTGCTGGCATGTTAATGACCAGGAATCTTGCTTTACTCCCCATTCATCACACAGTGGTTGGTGATCACCAAATAGACATGGGGGAATGAGTGGAAACAGATAAATCATTACAATCTTACAGCACAGCAATAAGCTTCCAAACTTGTATCTGAGCGGAAGTAATATAACACCAAAGTGTCTCTCAACACAAGCCCAGTTTTTCAGAACTTGCTTAAGGGTAGCGTTGGAGCAGTGAATAAAAGAAATGACAGTACCCAGAGGCTTCGGATTTGAGTCCCACAGCTCTGCACACTTGGATTGAATAATAAAAGAGACAGAACCAGGACTGGAGGCTACAGCCCGGGATATTAATAGGCACACTGCTGCAAACGCAGACACACTGCTCGATCACACACACAAGTGCACACATACACACGCTGCTTTAACTAAAAGTGCAGGAATGTCTAACTAAACTCATCTATTCAGTCATACACACGCATGCAAAATGTACTTACGCGACTCAAACTCTTTGAGCAGCAGCAGCCTCTCTGAAGGGGTGCGCTCCGTGGTTACCCTCTGTTTCCCAACACAGTGCACACACAAGAGAGCATTTTAATCAAATAACATCAATATGCAAAATACCTAATAATGCTGCAGAACACAATAACCCAGTTGTAGTTTTTTCGCCGTACTCGTTCATAAGGAAGAGTAACTCAAATTCTCTGAGGCCACTTTTATAACATGATAACGGAGCACATTCATTACACCATGACAGAAGAAAAAAAGTCAGAATAACGACATGAATGAAGATGGAAGTCTGACTCAAAAACTCCACACGCTCTGTTTACAGTGTGCGGTGCCAACACGCAAACTGAAATACAGGTTAATGACGTCATACATGCAAAGCTTTCAAATAAACATCAAACAGGCTGATAATGTGTTTCTACCACTGTCCCCACACAGTGACAGCGGGCTATTCATACATCATCTTGAAGCTTAACTTTGTTTGCAGTTACAATCAGTTAAAGTTGTCACAGAATAAAAATGCTTTCTAACAAAATTCCATTAATGGACAAAGTGTGGATTAAAAACTGAGAAACCCTACATTAGGTTTTCACTCCCACACACACTCATCCTCCCTTCGTTTCCTTCTTTTTTATGTTATCTTACTACTGCACAGGGTTGCTTTCAGAAGAAATAGGTCTGTCTTCCATATCCATGTAACGTCACCTGTTTCATGATGAGTCTGGCCACTAGTCTGACCGTCTCTGATGGACACCAGTTTTCCCCATAGGCACACATAGCTACACACTCCAACTTATGCATGGGCCAGTCACCTCTCTGCACACAAACACAGACAAGCAAAAGACAACTCGGATAAGACGTACCTAAACGAAGGTTTAGGAAAAAGAAAAGCAAGTGAAAGAGAAAAATGACCCACATAAAGCAAACATTGTCAAAGTGCATTTTACTGTGCACATCATTAAAACTAGAAAATGTCAAAGAGGACAGTATGAACTCCATAGTGGGCCACACAACAGTTAAATAATATGCTCATACCAAAAAGAAAGCATTTGTATGTTGTACTGTCTTCCCAGGAAAAGTGTGACTCACAGAGTGACTTATTAGCTTAAGATGAGTTAGACATTGTCATGTCCCAGCAGAGAGAGAAATCCTCTTACCTGACAGTCGACATCACAGTAATAGGCCTGCTTACATTTACCACACTTGAAGAGGTCTTCTCTCCTGCAACAAAAAATAGATTCAACACTTTCCAACAGCTGAGCTTTGTGAGACAGCTCTACCAAATGGTGCAGCATTGTTGAGTTTAACGAAAACATAGTGCGATATACAGAGACGATAGTGTTATAAAATATGTTTGCATGTTAAAGAACACTTCATCTACTGACAATGTTCCAAATCAGTCAACACAAAATGCTGCTTTCATGGCAACTTATTTGGGGTAAGGGTCTTCAACGTTCCAATAAATGTATCTACTGTTAAGAAGCAAAGCTTTTTTCTCTTATGGCCACATGCAGGACAATGAAAAGTCTTCACGAGAGTTCAAGAAAACTTTGATTATGTTAAGGCTTAGAAGAAAACCTTCAACAACTTATGACTTTTTCATTGATCAGTTATCAGTCGTGCCTATAAGAGAAAATGTACACATTAACGTCCACCCCTGAAAAGCATAAAAACACCCCCTGTCTTCTCATCTCCAGTCTCCTGGCCTCTTGGGACACATGGACTTCTATATTTAGCCCCCTAACCTTTTAGTGCTCTAATGGCAGCCTGGAGAGGACACGTGTGAGCGGAGGAAAAGAGAGCAAAAGCAAGTGTGAACAAAAGACATTTGTGTAACTCAGAAGAGTGTTTTGACGTGAAGTGTGGGACATATCAGTGGGCAACAGAAGACTACATCAGGGCCAATGCACAAAATGTAACCTTCTTTTAAGTTTTTGACCCTGGAATGTCTACATGGGTCCTCTTTGAATACTCACTACATATCCCACATGGTTTATCATGTGATATCAAGGAGACATCCATCTCTAAGATGGGGACCTTTAAGGAGCAGGTACAGGTTAGAATCCATTTCTTACTGAGCTGCACATTTCTCAAACCGACTGAAAAGAACCTGCAGAAGCAGTTTAAGAGAATGCCAGAGGGAATGGGGAGTGTTTTAGAGCTCGTTTGGATCTGACAGGCTCTGCAGTGGCACAGCAGAAGGCTGCAGCCTCTGTGAGGTGAGCTGCCTACAGCCCTGACCCATTTCCACACCGCTCAGCCCAGTCTGGCTCCAGAGGTTTCCCCGCTAACCTAGCAAAGACAGCAGGTTAGCCGACGTGGAGCTGGCCACCTCGCTCACTGTAGGCAACGTCGAACCAGGGGACAGCGTGTCAGCGTGTGTCATCTTCAAAAAGGCAGTGTCTTTCGTGCCGTTTCGGACAGGTGAGCTGCAGGTTACCTGGTGAAGCAGTGCTCACAGTGGGCTCCCCTCTCATTCACCGTCAACACGTAGGAGTAGGCAGGGCAGGCGAACACCAGCTCCCCGAGCGAGAAGTGCTTCACGGCCCGCAGGCCCCGGCCCTTGTCCGGGCTCACGAACCGCTCGGTCCCCTCTATACCTTCGTTTTTCATGCTTTGTTTCCGCTTGTGGATCTCCGCTGAGACACGGCCGTCCGGACCACCTGAGCCTGCTGCGTCCACTAATCAGCTTCTGGCGGAGCGCGTTCTTCCTCCCCGCTCTCTAACAAATGTCCTGCGCGCGCCATCGCCCCCTGCTGGAGAGTCCGCAACCCTACAGTAGAGCCCATTCTCTGCCATTGGTACAAATATGATTAGATTATTTCAATGTTGTTTTGGTAAGTTGATTAGTTTATTTGTAAAAGTCTTTTGGCTCTACTACTGCGTGAGCCACATCATCTGAGACTGGAGATTTTAGTACAGATCAGTTTTTCTATTTTGAGAATTATTCTTTCCTGCAGCAGAGTTCCAAAACCTTCACAAAGCATGTAAATTCCCACAGATTTATGGAATGATGTTTAAAGTCATGCATATTACTCTGTCTCGATGTTGTGTTTACATACTGGTTGTCATTTACTGATTGGTGTTGGAAACAAAACATTTACAGAGTAAGAAAGAACACTATGTATTTGGATGTTGCATAGATACCAGTACCTCTGTACCATTTGTTTCAACATTATAGATATTGCACTGTAGTTGACCAGTTTGTTTTGTCCCAGCTACCCACCTGACACTCAAGTGAGCAGCATTTCAACTTGATTTATCTCAAGAAAACGTAAATGACTAATTACTATTCATGCAATACATCGCTTGCATATCGGGGTCATAAAATGTTGCAAAATATGTCATTTTTAACGAGTTTGATCGTTTATATTTTATGTTACCTGTGGCGTGGAATACATCAAAAGGTTGATGAATGTCAGGCTGTTCCCAGTTTCACATTTTAAGATCCAAATTAGAGCATGTTAAATTGACAGTTTTATAATGTTCCTTTTTTTTTCAAAATACTGAAGTCTCAAAATACATGTAACATTCATGCACAGCTGCTTCACTGTGCATCCTAAGTAGAACACATCAGCGAGCAAACTGGCTCATTAGGACTGAAGCGTTTTAGAGCAGAAAACAGACGAATGTTTTGAACATAAGGTCGGGATCCAAAGCCACACAATCTGAGCAAACGCCAACATCAAGTATTCAACATTGAGGGATCATGTTTGTATAGATGATCGCCACAGGAGGACCGAAACACTTCTCAACATTCATCTCGTATATATATAAATGCCTTTATTTAAGTTAATCATTTCTCCTCATTCAAAGTTGGATTTCTGCAGTATCTAGAAAACAGGGAACAGTTAGAAGCGCTGTGCAGTCTGACAACAAAACTAGGAGCTGCTGCGGAGAACACTGTGTATATATGTACATACTGTACACACAAGGATGTAGGTATATACAAAAATATACACTTTTACATATGTGACCCCTCAAGTCATATCGTAAACCTCGCTACTTTTAAACCCACTTATTCCACAGAGACACATTTCTTTCACGTTACACCATTAGCTCCTGCCCCTCCCTCCTGTAATCCATAATCTGTCATCCCTGGTTAGTGGACCATTTATACAGTGTGTTGTCTTAAGTGCATGTTCTCTGGCTCACATACACCACAGACGCTCAAAGCAAAGGATGGAGAAGCTTAAGAAGTCCTGAGCTGGATGTCTCAGCAGGGATTTTCACTTATCAGAGAAGGCTCTTCTTCTGTTAATCCTCAGGGGATCTGAGGGCAGCAGAGACGGTCAGACATCCCAATTCTATAACAAATTCTAACCAAACTCCTTCCCTGCTTCAGGGAAAATCTAAGACAAAAGAAGGCAAATTTTTCTTCTTTTATTTATTTTTTTACTCCATTTAATAAACTGTTGATTATCTCCCTAAAACTCTGTGTTTAAATGTTGATTTTAATAATTTCACGAGTGTCTTTCCCCAATGAAAAATAGCTGACTACCTCAGAAAATGTTCAGCAGAATGAAACAATCTGGTCTAATTTTCAACAAGTTAAAAAAAAAAATCAAATTAGGACAATCCTATTTTTTTAAACCCACAATCCATGATGTCCCTGACAGGACCTGAGAGCAGTGTGTCTCCACCCAGCGTCTACATGTTCAACTGAGAACGTAGAAAATGATGAACAACATCCTGTAACACTGAACAAAACCTTAAAAACCAGACTCAAGACTTTTTCAATTTCCAGACACGTTTAGCTCTTTGCTTTGCCATGTACAAAAAAAATGTCGAAGGAACTTTGGCACATCGTGCTAAAGATGTAAACATTTAATCGTCTGATAGAAGTGAGGTGCTGGAGTTTTTCAATTATTCCTAATTCTCACTGTGTAAAACGTAAAAGAATAAAAATAAAACAAGCAAGCATTTCATCCTCACAATCATAAGAATGGAATGTAAATAAAAGGCTTCATATAACATGGGCACCATAGTTGCAGATAGAACTGCCCTGGTCTCACAGGTGTGTACAGTTTGGTTATTGTTCCCATTTTTTCTCTTCTACTTTTCATCGCATGTTTAGAGGTATCAATTTAACAGCAAATTTGAAAAAAAAAAGAGGAAAACACTGATATCAAGTTTGCAAAGAATGCAGAAATGAAAATCCCTCCATCTTTTTCTGTCTTTTCTTAGTCATTCATTGTCTACGCATAGAATCACAACCATGGAGGGCGTGGACGTGGACAAATAATATTTTTCAGCCTTTCCAGTGATAGAGTCGTACATATCTCTAAACGAGTGAGCAGCATCAGAATTTAAGGAGCAATGATTCCTTGAGCATAATATCCTTATGTTGAGGTTGTAGCTGTCCCATGCTAATCCTAAATCTTTTTTTTTTTTTTTAAACTCCCTTACAGCACTTTCAAAGCAACCGGAGTCGCTGCTCCTCGTAGTGTAGTGAACCAAAGGTACAAAATTGTGGTAAAATGAATGGAAAACTCAAATAGTTAGAGTCCTCCTTAGTACTGACACATTCTTGGGGAACCAAGAAGCGTTTATCTGGTTTGCACAAAATCTAACCAAAAGACAGATCTGGACCTTTAAATCTGATCTCTGAGGCAACAACAGACTTTCTTCAAATCGAAAGTGGGCCCTGGCTGGGTCTCTTTTTGGCTCCACACCCGTGGGTCACATGTCCTGCAGTACAATGCAGCAACCTATCAAGTCAAAGGATAGGCTTTTTTTTAAACGGCTGCGGTTACAGCTGACCTTCTCAACGCCCATCACACCTCTTTCAGATGAACGGATAAGACAAGGCAAACATCAAGTGCTGAAACAAAATGGTAAACAAACAAAATCAAACGACAAATAAAGATGGAAAACGTATCAGACAACACAGTGAGCGGGAGCAGCTGAGGTTGTCAGTAGGAAGCTCTGTAAAAGCTTTAGACACGAGGCTTTACCAGTTTAAGAAACGAGCTGACAAAACACAAGCGGTTGCCTTTAAAGACTTCAAGTTCAGACTCATTTACAGTGCTGGGGTATAATGAGCCTTTTCTTTTGGACACTACATCTATTCAGAGATTTTCTGTGTTAATGGCGTTGTCTTGAAAGGACCAAAAATAATTAGTCAAATTAAATGAAAAGAAACTGCGAAACTCCTCCAGCATAACTCAGACTAAAAGTTCAGAGGATCACAGCAGGGAAGATGGTGTGATGAGGAAGGATGGGAAAAATGAGCCAGGCAAAAACTTAAAAGAAAGCATGAGATCATGATCATGCAGAGAAAATAAATGAATGTTGTGTCATCTGATGGAGAGGGATACGTGTCACTGTGCTGATTGGTGACACCAAAGCATTGCTCCTTTCACTTCTGCTTTACCCAGTCAGGATCACTAAAAACTTAGCAGCCCATTATGTGCCATTGAAAAATCGGCTATATTCCAGTAGGAACAAACAGGAAAAACAGAAAAACCCTATTGGACGCAGTCCCAAACCCCTAAACAGATGGCTCAATGTAAAACAATAGTTACTGAGTTTTACAACAGAGAGGTACAGGTGAGTAAAAAAAGCTGGAGGGATCTCTTCAGAGCTTTTGGAATTTTTCTAATATTAACTCTCACTTCAGAACTTAAATAGTTTAGATATTTTGGTTTAAGAAAAGGGGATGAACCTATCGTACATCTATGAATGAATAAAAAACAATGTGACTTTAAAGGGAAAACAATATCGATTTCCCTCTTTAACTTTGCCAATGTGATTTGATGTATTGAAAGAGTAAAGATACTTATATGAGCTGGAAAATATGTCAACAATCCCATGAATGCCACTTTTATCCATTAGCAGGCAACACTTGTGAGCTTTAGAGAAGAGGGGGCTGTTAAAATCCAGTTTTTAGTCAAAATATCTGACAAAACCACTTCAGGCCAGGCACACCTTCTAGACACAGGCAAAAGAAATGGTCTCTGCAGAGGGAAAAATAAATGTTTCACAGGCAGCAACAACACGTAAAGAAAAACTGTTTTAATTGCTCCTCTGGTTTTCTGAAACTCAATACAAACTGTTTAAATTTGGTTCCAACTTTTGACAAAAGTAAACAAAAAAAAGAGAGGTGATTTTTTTTTCTGTGTATTTTTTCAGAGGTGTGAAAATGAAAAAGATTCTGCAGCAGCCAGTGCCGCAGATCAGTCAGATCCGCAGGGTGGGCTTCATCACACTTCCCAGGCAAAACCTTCCACCCCTGAGCAAAATAAAGAGGCCCTTTATCCCCTAAAGAGACAAGCTCCAGGAACAAAAATGGGTAGAAATAAAGCTGAAAACCTGCGAGCTCTTCCTCCATCTTTGCCTCAATTTTACAAGTCAATTCTGTAAACCAGAGAGCGTACCCAAGAAGAAAAGCTCAAGGGATTGAGTCCATCTCCTCCCCTCATGTCATTCCACACCCACACCTCCCCGAAACCGTAACCTGAAGCCTCCACCTGCTGTCACAAGACTCTTTTAAAATCAGAACAAGCTCCTGCAAGTCTGCGTGGAGTTTTAACACCAAGAAATTAAAAAAATTAATACGAAAATAAAAATAATTATGCCAAAAAGTTCTGTTTCACCAGCATTAACAAAAGGAAAGGAATTCACTTTGTCTCAGGAACCGTCAATGCAAAAACACTGAGGTATGTAGTTTGAAACAAAAGCCTCTTCATCGCTTTCATCCTCATCATGTCCCCTTCTATCTGCCACATGCAGTCAGTCTCCTTTGCTCCTTTAAGCGTTTTACGGGCCCCCTCCCCCAGTGGGCGTGGCTCATTTTTGGAGGGAGGGGTAGAGGTTGGGGAGAGGGGTGTACATGTGACTGACTGCACCTCTGCAGAGGAGGAGGACCGTCCAGGTTGTCGTTCTCCTTAAGACTTTCAATCTTTCATCTATGTCTCAGCGTCTTTTGTGACTCAGTTCAACGTCAGTCTGCTCAGGGTTCAAAGCGTCCCCTATGATTGTAAATTGAGGGTGAACTTCCATTGTTGGTTGAGGCTCGGGCTGCAGACCTCCACCGTGAGTCCGCCCAGCCTGGAGCTGCGGCTGTCCAGGCAGAGGTTGCTGCCCACGTGACGGAGCTTGGAGTTGGACTCGATCTGCTCCCATTTCTGAAAGATCCAAAAGGACATGTTGTCACGGTTTGCCCTGCAGCAAATGGCCACATATGTAACACTGCTAGTAAAGCCGGTGGAGACAGACGGCCCTGCACTCGCTTACCTGTCTGCTGTCATTCTCTCGACAGCCTTGTAGTTTGATGAGGGACCCAGCTGTTCGGTCCACCACAGTCAGACACAGGTCCATGTGTTTAACAGATTTATCCTTGGTGAGGGCCCATTCCTTTACAGAAAAAATCAGTATAGAGAAAAACTTTATGTCAAAACTGAGAATGAATCCCACATGAAATATAGAACATTTTTTCCATCTATTTTTTATATATCTTTTTTCCATTATGGTTAATGGACATTAATAGCATCAAGATCTGTATCTTGACGGCACGTATAACCAACATCCATGGAAAGAAGTGAGGAGTATTCCTCCAAACTTGGCTGCTGTTTTCATTTAAGGTACATTTAATGCATAGAAGGTGCCATCTGCAAAGCGCTGACATGTGCAGCCCCTGGATAATAAGTCCCCATGATGGTGGTTTTCTGCTCAACACCTGTCACTCTTTTAGGAGATCAGCAGTTTGAAAAACTCCAGAAGGACAACCGGTAATAAAAGTTAGACATTAATTTGAGACTACATCTGAAACTTCTGGTGCCTCTTATGCTGATGCTAACACACATTTAAATTCGGTCTACATTCGGTGTTAAGGCTTCAGTGGAAGCCTGGAATACTCCTGGAATAGTTCTCCTTTACAAAAAACAGCACTGGACAGTTCCTCTCCTTTAAATGTATGAACAACTTTTTTTAATCGCTTTACAATAAATTGCATATTCAGAATTCTGGATGATGAAAAGGTTGTGCTAAACATATTTTTTTTCCCCAGACACTTTTCACCTGATTTAGATATGAGTGGTACTTAATTTTAAGGTGCTCCATATCAGGAGCATGAAGTAGGACGCACAGTGGGTTTTTTTTTTCTTGTAAAAGAGTATTTTTCAGTGTTCCAATAGTTTATTTTTTTAAGTCTTTGAATAATACTTCCACAATGTGAGACTTCACATAAAGTGACTGACTTTACAAATAATGAGCTGTGCAGCAGCTTTAACCAGCTGTGGATTGAAAGCTACACCTTCACAACTATCCTGCATTTGATTCTTTTTCTTAGAAAATGTCTGCTCGAATAATAGAAAAGATCAAATGGCAGAATGGTTTTGTGAAATGTTCACTGTTACTAGAATATAGACGACTGACTCAGATTGGAAGAATAGGTGCTTTGAATGCTCGCACAAAAGATCGCTATTCTCAAAAACCAGACGACCTACTGAAAATACTATTTGGCCTCTAGGGGCCACTGTTTGCAAAGATCACTTTCCCAGTGTGCCTTTGTCACACGCACATACAGCTGGGCCAAAAATAAAATGTTGGTTTTTTTACTGGTAAATACCTGGCTTTAGTTGTTATTCAGTGTCACTTGACTTTTGTGTGAGAACTCTTTCTCTATTTCTGATGGCTAGTTTCTCTAACATATCCCATTTGACCTTTAGCGGAGTATTTTTTGTCCCCCCCTGTGCTCTAACCACATCAACCGTCAACTTCCACCCAGGCTGAACGGCGTGTCGCCGTGGTAACACTACCTGGTTTCCCCCGGCGTTGTGACACTCGTAGACGCCCACAACCCCATCAGCGAAATGCCCCAGAGTGTCCAGGCAGTTTCCTCCCTGCTGCAGGGCTCCAAAGGCAATGTCCTGGTGATCTGGGACCCTGTGCACAAACACACACTCAAATAGTTGCTAACGTAGGAGACATGGACTCTAAACATGTTCATGTAAATCACTAAAAAAATAGCATTTTCCTGTCTTTTCTTGTCTTCTAGTACAAAAGTTAGGATCATTTATAGTTATATTTGACCACGGTTATACTGTAATTACATTATCTAGTATTGATCAGTGCCAAAACATGTCTGTGAAAAAGCTCCAACTGATCCAAAATGCAGCAGCCAGAGTTTTGCTGAGAACTAGCAGCAGACATCATATTTCACTCATTGTTCATCATCAGCTCCATCTCAAATGAAGTGCTCCTCACATATAAAGCTCTTCGTGACCAAGTGTCATCATATAAAGCACTTTTCCCAAGAGAGCACTGTGCTCTCAGTCAGCAGGTCTCCTTGACATTCAAAAAGTAGAATGGGAGGCAGATCCCTCAGTTATCAGGCAGCTCTCTGCACATTTTTGTTCAACTAGCAGAGACTCTCTCTAAAAGAACATGGTTTAGATCAAAGAAAAGTCTTAGGGCCATTTCTGGGTTTCCTTTGCAGACAACCTTTTATAATTGACTCTGTATGATTTTGGAAAAGTTTAAATTGAATTAATGGGGGTTGATGGACTTATGATTGCATTAAATGGACTTGAACTGAACAGCATAATCTAAGAGCCTTAAAATGACATTGTAGTGATTTTAAGCAATTTGAATAAAACTGAATTGAATTAGGATTTGTTACAGATCATGAGAGCCATTTATTCTCACTACATATTAGATTGTACTGAATGCTGTAATATATTCACCAATGAGTGCGATCCTTTTCTCACCTCAGTTCAGGGTAAACGTTCTCCAAATACCATTTGAATGGCTTACAGCTCAATCTTTTCTTCATTTCCAATCGACTCTGGATACTGAGGGACAGACATAGACACTTTATGCATTCAGAGGTCTTTGTATGTCTCTAAAATTCAATTAAAAGTCAAAGCAGACATGGTGGCACAGGCACATTTGAGACTACATCCTTCGGGGAAAACAACAGCTTGGAGTGACTCTCAGAGGGGGCCACATATTAAGATATCTTCTCATTTGTACAGCAGGATGTGGAGCAGCAGCTTTGACCTGCTGGTGACACAAACATCAGGGGATCACAAACTCAGCAGGCTCAGTGAGGGTGTCCCCGTTCATGCAACAAACAGCATGGGACATATTCTTCGTGGCAAATGTCATAGCAAAAACTACCCTACATTTATAACTATCCTTTCATTTGAAGGTGTCTGATCTTTTGAAAACAGCATGCTGTCAGCATTTTCACTCCCTTTAGGCCATCCATGAGTAGTTAGCCCTTTTGACCTGTACACAACAGGCACAGGCATTTCACTCCTCCTTTTCAAGACCCCAGGAACTGCCTGCTGTCACTTTAGTGTAAAGTGGGAAGTAATGTTGCTGACACACTGCTGGTTGGCAACATAGTTAATTGTAGCAGGATACGGTTTCTTCTCCTGTGGTGCTGTTACTTCTCAGAACTTACTTTCCATAGGGAACATTTCTCGCTGAAGGGACAGCAGCATAGTAGAAGTTCTTGTATTCATCCATCCACACCTCGGCAGCTCTCCTCGTGTTCCTGGGAGAGAGATGAGACAGAATAATGAGAGGAGGGGAGGCAGGCCTGTTGACCGGCAATAAGAAACGGGGGGGGGGGGGGGGGAAAAGGAATGAGAAAAAAAAGGTAGCAACCAGACTTGGGATAAATATGCAGCAGACTTCACCTTTGTTGCATGAGAGATGTACCCAAACATTACCAGTCCTGTCCAAACCGGAGCAGAGCTGTGGTCAGATAAAGACACGGCACACACCCTCCAGCTCAGACATCTCACCGTCATATGACAGCAGAGTTTGACTGTATAGGCACATGTGACGTGTTTGTTTTCCAGCAACTATTGTGATGGCTCAACCCTGTGGATGTTGCATAAGCGCTGACCTTCTCTTTTGTTTGAACGCTATTTAGATTCAGCAGTCCCTGGTGTGTTGGGGAACTTGTTTCAACACTGTACAAGGACAGCAAAAGTAACCACATGCCATTCGACTTTCAGAAACAACATTCACAAACTTTGACTGTTTGCAATAGTTGTGTTATAGTTGTGTTATGACAACCCAAATCTATGCAGGAGTTAAAAGAAACACCTAGCTCAAAACATGAAGGCAATCTTCAGTTCATTTTTCATTTGCAAATGAAAACCCAATCTGATTAATTTATTTATAGCAGCATGAAAGCCATGGCTGGGATTAAGTAGAAAACAGGAGTTTCATGATTCATAGAATACAGACATATTCTCTTACAGGCAAAGTGTCACTTTGTTTGCAAAGGGGTTGACACAGCTATCGTTGGTGAATTCACCTCAGTGAACATCTATGTTTTACGTGTCAGGAGAAGTATTTTAGTGAGAGTTCTGTTAAATTGCATCCAGATATTTTCACATAGCACTTGCTGACTGAACCAGAAGCATCTGTTCAGAAACTTAAAACTCGAACTGACCATCTATTTTTCACTGTCCTGCTCCCAGACTCTTTGCTGATATTGGGATTTCTGTCAACCTGCAGCAACAGTGGCTCAACAACTGTGAGCAGGCCCCAGCTCAGAGCCAGTGGTAACTGTAAAAGCTGCTCCCTCATGAACAATTATGATGTCATCCAGGCAAACAAAACAGATGCCGTCTCGTGGCTCCCCAGAGTCACCAGCAGCAGCGGCAGGGACGCCGCCCGGGACTTCATTCAAACCGGAGGGTGAGACAGGGAACGGAAAAGCAGCTCAAAGCAGACGAGGCAGTTCTGCACCTCAGTAAAAGAGAACACCGCTACATTCACCCTAAACTGCTGGAGAGGACCGTTCAAAGCCCTACACATCAGTGTTGTGTGTGGTATTCCAACAAAATATGTACAATGACAGACTAACTATGTCCCCAACTAATATATTGTTGGAAGTTCATGAATATCGGCAGTTTTCTCTTTATGGGTTTAAGTCAGGTCAACATCCATCCAGCAGAATCTAAATAATTTATGAGAAAGAAAGTGCAAGGGCACGAGGGCATCTCCACTGTACTGTGAGGTTAAATTAAACATCTTCATGAGCCATGATGAGCACCTGTGGGAGCTTCCAGTGAATTTCCCCTTCATTTGGTTTCAAAAGACCTGCCGCTTGTTGTCTGTATTCCTCACACATCACATTTAAAACAGCAGAGGTAAACACAGCCGCACAGTCATCTGTTTGTCATCCGCCCTTATGTACTGAGCAGGTCCGTGATGGTTTCTTTGGCTCATTTCCAGCCTGCGCACTCGTGTTTGGAGACTCTTTAAAGGACAGATCCATATCTACCCATGCGGCGTGTTACTTGTTACTTGTGTTCACAGATTATGTTACGTGTCATGTGCCCCATTTATAGGCACCCTAAAGGGCAGAACAAGCAAAAATAGGTCAAGAAAGTAATCCTGCAGGTTTTAATTGATGTTTTGGTTAAATTGTCTGAGAGCAGTTTCAGTCTAATTATGCATAGTTGGCCACTTACAAACCACAGCCACATTTAATAATTCATACAGTATGTGGAGAAAATAACTACTGAACTGATGCTATATGTATAATAAATAAACTGCAAGCTTAGGGTGATATCTGATTAGAAATATGAAAAAGAAAGGTAGGGAAGGTTGCCACAGTTACAGCTCTCTGACATTGGAAATCGCCAAATTAAATTAGTTGCTTAACTGAAGAGACACCACGTTTCCATTCAGGGGTTCTTCTGAGCCTTTCAGTCATGTCACATGAGCTTCATCTGCAGACAGACTTTGCCAAAGACTTTTTTCAAATAACAGTCATTGATCTATCCTTTCTATGAACACTTGGAAATACTTCAATTCCTTGACTGTAAAATCTTCCAACAAGCTCATTTTGAAGGCCATTCCTTTGTTAAGCTTCCAATTAAAATGACTACCACAAATAAAGTCCAATAATGATTTTTTTTTCATCTCCAGGACAACAGGCAAATCCACTGTAGGCTTTTCTTTCCGCCTCAGGACCTCAGTTGGTCTGTACACAAATTGTTGTTTTTGTTTGAAAAATCTCACTCTTCGTCTTTATGGCTGCCGTTTCTTTAGTAAAAATCAGCCCGTACACCCACTTCTGGGATCCCATTGGTGTCAAACTGAACCGGCGCAGTTTAACACCCGTGTCCTCGGTAGTCACTTGATATGCGGCTGAATGCCAATTAAAAACGGTCACGTTGAATTCAATAGCCATTAGCTCGTAGGTTTTTCTTCTTTTTAAAAGGGTTTATTACTGGCTCTCACTTGCAGCTTGGTGATGTATTTTTTGAGCTTCCAGACCAGCTAAGGTTTATTTTAAAATGTTTTTTTTTATGTTTACCCTATGTTTGCATGCGTGTCTAGCAGACAACCACAAGTCAAATGTCTCCATTCAGTCCACTATGCTCAATACAGAAATTAATGAGCAGTCTATGCTGTTGTAGGAAGACCATCAACAGCAGTAAATTTGTTTAAAAGCAACTCATTTAGAAAATTAAAACAATGTCACAAAGTGAGAGGTGCTAGGCAGCTCGTAAAGGTTTCCCAAATGAACAAAAATAAACACTAAAATTGAATCTATGCAAGTTACTTAAGAAAGCCTGAGCATGTACTTCAGTTAATCTAAAACATATCTTCTTCTGGACACACTCACACATACACAACGTCCCCCTGACGGCATGCAAAGCTCAGGGCAAATCATTGGAGACATTTGTAGCTTAGTAAAAGCCTAGTTTTTACATGAACACGACATGAAAATGTCAGCCACAGCTGCCTGATAACAATTCAAGTTAACTCAGTGTCATATCATTGAGAGGAGTCACAAAACCGGACATCTGATGTTGACTGAATAATTTAACAAAAGAGAAAGCTGGAGAACGGTTGGTTAATGAGTGTTTAACCTCCTGGGTGTGTGTTACCTTGCAAACACCGTCCCGCTGCCACCGGGGAAGGTGTATGGGTGCTGCTTTCTGAAGACGTGGCCAACTCTGCTGCACGGGATGATCTCAAGGCTGCCGCCACACTGCCACACACGAAACGAGATCTCTAAAGACGCACAGACAGGTCCAAAGAAAGCAGGGGTTTCTTATTATCACGGGCTGCTCGTGAGATACTTAGTTCAGGCTCAGAAATGTGTTAAAGTGCTAGATATCATAAAGGTCTCATTTCAACATGCGTGGGTCTGACTGAGTGTTGTCTCAATGAGCACACGAGTAAACCAAAGCATGAACTGTCAATCCAGCTCTAAATCATTGTGTCGCCTTGGGAGAAGTGTGAATCACTCTTTCAATAGTGCAATTTCCCAGATGATTTCAGACAAAGACACCAGAGAGACACATCATTGCTCTGTTTGCAAATGTTCACCATTGTATAGACTACTGCTATTTTCACTCAGCTTTGAGTGTAATCATTATCACAAGAATGCTGTAATTTAAGATTCACTGTACTGTGGGAGGCTCTTTCACCCAGACATAACAATTACTGGAAGATTTTCTGTTCATCAAGCTCTTGGCATGGAAACACAGATGATCTGTCGGCACAGTGTGAGACGCACACTACTTTACTACTAAATACGACCGGAGAGTGGAGGCAACATAAATAGGGGCCAACGTGTGGTAGTGTGTTCAACTAAATTCCAATTTCATGACAAAGGCTTTTGTGTGAATGAGATCTTTTTCTATTTAAACCTGGAGTCCAGCTTTACTGTTGGCTTACTGTGAGCAGCTCCAACTTCGCAGGCTAACATTTGCAATGTTTGCTTCTCAAAATTTCCAACTAATCCTTGAAAGCAAAGTGCATGACAGCAGTCAGAGAAAGCAGCCATAATTTTCGTAACTGCAGCTGCCACTGTAAACTTTCTACTCTCAAAACACTTCATTTTATTTATGTTACTCATCAACCACTCTATTCTTCAGCCCATGATTAATAGGCACCATCAGTCTACAGTGATTGAGCAGAATCCGCCCTTACCCAGGTTTTCTCCTCCCCATACGTCCATCATCATGTCGTACTTTCCCAGCAGCTCAAAATACTCCTTGTCCATTACAAAAAGACCTCCTGCAATCATTGGAGTCCTGTATGCACAGAGACAAGCGGGGACAGTCATGTAAGAACACTCTGGTAATAGTGACTGACTTTATTTCAGAGTCATACTGTGTGTATTTGTCTTACTTGATGGGGGCAATAGGGTTGCCTTGTCTGGCTCGCCTCTGCTCCAGAGTCATATAGTCCCATTTAAACACCAAATTCCAGTCAAATCCTATTAACATGAACACACATGGACAGCGAGTCCTATTATGGTAATTTACTGAGGCTTAAAAGTGGTGTGTTTGCCATAATCAGGTTTTTCTGTTGTATATTAGATGGCTGGAAACATCTGCACAAGGGCAGTATTAGCAGAGCACCATCAACAGTTTAGTACACTCAAGTCAATATAATTGGGTATGTGGATACATAAACTCATTTCAGAGTGAATGCTACATATTTAAAAAGTTAAAATGGCCCATCAGGTTGTGACAGGAATGGTGTTTCTATCCAGTAACCTACTAATGTAAACCCAGTGGACACATGCTTTGCAGAAGTAGCTCTGAGTCTGAGACATAAACAACATTCATAAATTCTTTTCACAAGATAAACGTTAAATACAAGATTCATGTTGTAATGACTGAACTACAGCAGACTGCACCAGATGGGGCTCTCCTCGAAGTCTGTGTACCTTACCTCCTTTCAGATCAGCCGAGGCCCCTACATACTGAAAGTTGTCCATGTTGATAACATCAATGATGGGAGATACGACTCTGGTCTTATCCTAATAAGGAGGGACAGAAATAAATTAAACTTCTTTCTTAAGCTGCTGCAAAAAACACGGGAAAGGAGTAACAGGAAAAGGGGCTCATCAAAAAATCTTCACTACAAATCAAACAACATGACAGATGCAGAGGTTGAACCTCTGGTAGAACCTTGGAGCAGAGTAAAGATTCCCCTCACTGCCAGTGATTCACTAGTTTAGGTTTGTGCTCTATGTCTGATTTATTTTTGTGCTTATGAAGTAAAACAGAGAATGAGGCAGCTTTGTCATTTCCACCCTGGTTTGTGGTGTAATGTGGCTCCAAAACCCATTGAAGTACATCCCAGAACAAAGGATTTCTCAATTGATTTGAATGACAAAAACAAACCTGCAGGTAGCATCTTAGTTTATTTCTATTTGCATGAGGCAGTTTTATGCAACAGACAAGGCTTTAGAACCAGAAAGACTGCAGTGATGGTTGGATGTATTATTTAGGAAGGCAGCAAAAACAAAGAAACAAAACGCGATTTTTCTGACAGCTAACTCATTTGAATTGGGATTCTAGCGGCTCTTTAATCTTGGCAACAAAAAAACACCAACATCCAATAAAAAAATTTGATCATTTTCTGTCAAATGAAATGACTATTTAGACAACAAAAGAACATTCTCAGACAACATCCCACTTGAGATTAAAATAACTTCAAGTCATGAAAGAACCATGCTCAATCTCACTGAACGGTTGTTTGTGTGTAATGACGCCAAGTTTACATCTATACAATCTTACTTTCATAAACAATTTGGGAGGGACCTGTCTGTGATGGTCCCAAGACATAAAAGTGATGTTGTCATGTGATGAAATATGCAGGGTGACCATGTCGGGTCGGAAAGAGAGAACATGAAGTTCTGCAGTTTTGGTTCTTTTTTTTCTTTTTACATCCAACATTTCTGAGGACTCAAGACATGACATGACTTTTTTGTATTTCGCATTACTCTGAATAAGCTCCACAGACACTGATTCATAGCACCCCCAAACTGTGTGAGGAGGGGGTATGGGGGAAAATATCCCTTACACCAGAGAATGAGGAGGGAGTAGTGAAACCACAAAGGTTTTATTAGTTAAATGAGCGAAGAACATTTCAGTCGTATTTATTTTTACACATTATCAGCTATGCTATTTATCAATTGGCTGTGTGAAAATATAATTACAAGCTAGTATGAAAGGACGGATGTGTCTGGGTGTGTACCTCAGCCACTCTCTCTAGTAGCGGCTCCAGCCAGTGATCATTACATTCACAGTGAGAGTCCAGAAAGGTCAGGACTGGTGCTGTGGCGGCATCTGCACCACGGACCCTTGAACGCATCAGTCCTGGGTGATGTGGAAAAAAAAAGAACAAAGTTTAACACTGCATATTACACTGTTTAAAACAAAACAAAAAAAAACTACCTTCTCTTCGGTCATTTCTTAGTATGCGCACTTTCTCAATCTTCCCCAGCAGTGCTCCGTCCTCCGCTGGACACACACAAAACAACACCTTTATTTACCCACTTATACTATTACGTTTTTTCATTATGCGTTTGCATACATAACTTACAATTATCACTGTAGTCGTCAACCAGAATGATCTCTTTGACCAAGTGAGGGGGGCTTTTCTTCAAGACACTAGGGGCAAAGGGAATTTCCATGAAGATAAAAAAAACATGTAAAAGAAATCCCAGCAAACAAGTCAAAGTAGAAAAATACACACACCATTCACCTACCTGACCACAGTCCGCAGAAGAGCCGAGCGAGCTTCATTATGAAAGGTGATGACAACACTGGAGGCTGGCAGGTCGGACCTCCATTGTTTATGTCTGCAGCTGCACACACACACACACACACACACACACACACACACAAACCACACAAATTAGAGACGGAAACAGGAACACAAGAAAAAGGACAAAAGTCTAAACGCTCACACATGTGTACAAACTCCCACACACGTAAGCATGTTGCTGAATGTGTGAGCCAAAGCCTCAGACTGGAACTGCTCCCTGAACATGAAGACACAAAACATGATTTGGCACCCACCCACACACACGCACACACACACACACACACACACACACACACACACACACACACACACAGACAGGAAGGTGATGCATGAGCACACACTTTCAGGGCAGCGCTCTGATGAAGCAGGGATTGACAGAGGGTTTTGGAGACCAAGGAGCAAAATCCTAGGAGATTTTGTGTGTGTGTGTGTGTGTGTGTGTGCCTGCTTTTGTGCTTGTTCAAATAAGCAAATCCCCCACCCCAGATTAAAACTGAGGAACACTGGTGACAGGACACGAAAGAGGGAAGTGATGAGATGAGAAGAGGAGGGACACGTGACGACGTGCCAAACTGTGGATATGACATCCACGAACTGATCAGGCATTACATTCAGAGCGTGTAAGTCCTCCTCAGACTTTAAAAACAGGCGTGACCAGCAGAGATAAGGACCTCAGAGGGTGTTCTGTGGCATCAGCCACCAAAGATGATACCACAGATCCTTTAAGTTGTGCAGTGTGCAAGTTGAAATTGATTGGGCTTCCCCCCTCCCTCATCCCCTCAGAACATCCCACAGATTTTCAGTCAGACTGAGACATCTGGACTATATTACCTCACTATTTCTAACACACTGCACCTTTGTTACTTTGCTAAAAGAGGCTGCAGCGTGGCCTGCAGCAACAATTCTGCATATATCAGAATATTGTTGGGATTCATCAGGCTTCTTTATTGGAATACACCTGTAAATCTAAATCAAGCTTCAATGTACTTCGTTCACACATCTTTATATAATTTGTAACATTTTCCCTTTGCCAAATTCGATTTCCTCCTTCCCGCATATTAAAAAACTGACTTCACTTGATGTCTAAAATATTGCTCCCTTTGACAGGTGCCATTGTAACAAGACAATCAATGCAATATCCCAGACCTGTTAGGGGTTTTAATGTTGCTGCCAATTGCTTTATGTGTACTTTTGTTCCTGCAATCCATCTATCACAGCAAACCTGGCTTTCAAACTTTTTCAGATGCTGCTACATTAATCTTGGATTGACGTCCTCTTATGCATTTATAGTGAGCTATTCTACAACAGCCTTTGGCAAAGCCTAAAAGTTATTTTGATCATGTGCTGAAAGCATCGTGTTCCTGGCCTGCATGGGCGGAATGAAAAAAAAAAAAGGAAACCTTTCATTCCTGGAAAAACTTCACAGTCTACATTGATGCATATGGCAGAAATGACACATCAGTGCCAGATCAATAGGAAACCAATCCTTGCCCTTTCAGTGGGCTAATGGCTCCAAATGTCTGTGAGGTCAATACATCAGCGTGCCTTTCTAAAAACAGAATTCACATGACTCACACGTCACATTCACCTTACTCCAAGTTATGATTAACATCAGCATCAGCCCAATATATAGTCCTTCTTCATCAGGAATTAGAATAAAATTTGTGGACAGAGTGACAAGAGGAATGTATCGTGTGACTGAACTAGTAGAGCGCCGCGGAGTTTTACACATAACACTTCAATTACTTTATCAATTAAAGTCAATATAAAGTATTATGTCATTGCGACTTCATGCATGTATCTATGTCTCCCTGTCCGTGCAATAGCCAAAACAATCTGCTGCCACAGCAGGGGGTTGTTTTGCATTTGGGGAACAATGTGTGACAGTCGTCTGCACAGCAGCTACTTCCTGGTTCCATCTGATCCACCAAAATAAAGGGAGTTCCCAGGAGATCCGATCCAGTCTGGTGCTAATTAGTCAAATCAACAGGCAGCAAAGGGAAGCATGTACACACACTGTCAGCCATGCAGCAGAGGAGAAGGGGAGGGGCAGCACGGTACGTACTGGTCGTGTCTCGTGTCGGGCACGGCTCTGTCCATGCGGAGTTTGTCGCTTTCCACCTGATTGAACTTGTTCTTGGCGTATGGGTCCTGCCCCGGTCGGACCACTGTGGCGCCCACATACAGATCCTGGTCAAAGTCCTGCCAGCGCACCTTACCTGGACACACAAAGAAGCATATCAAGGCCCCAGCAGATGTGTCCTGGGAAGCAGTTAAATGTTAATCATTTGAGCGTGTGTTTGTGGATTTTAAAAGCAATATCAATCGAACAGGAAGAAAGTGTAAAAATGAAGTCAACTTAGACAATAGTTCAATCAAAACACAGCACACCCCGATAAGCAAAAGCCACCATCACAGACCCTCACAAAGACTCAGGACTGGGTGTGGAGATACATCAGTGGGAATGTGACATATATGCAGCTGCCTGGATGATGGCAGAATCTTTCATAAGAGACAGAAATAAAACCTCGCTGCTCCAAGCTGATGCTTAACAAGGCAGCAATACGGCACACAGGGAGGCTGACGGGAAACTCACGCTGCTGGTATGCAGGAATATGCTGAAAAGGATTCAAGAGGCAGAGCGAGACTACCCTGGCAGAGCTAGAAAACACTACATAAACATTTATTATGCCCCGTGCAGTCAGAAAATAAGAAATTTGTCCAATTTGCCTCAGCCTAAAATATAACTCCGGACAACAGGATTCAAAGGCTACAGTATGCATCATCATCCCATCAGCACTGTGTTCAGGTGGAGTCTGACCAGAACGGTGCCCTACATAGAGATAGATGTCATGTTTGATTTCATAGTTCATCGCGGACTACTGAGACAGAGACAGACACACACCAGTAATAATGCAACTCATTAGCCAAGTGCAGCTGCTATTCTAATGACTTGTGTTAAGCATATGGCAGTGTGAGATTACAATATCTCAGTATACGTGTGTGTGTGTGTGTCTGCATGACAGACAGTAACACAGCCTGACAAGTCAGTGGGCATGTGTGCGTCTCTTCCCAGACTCCATGTGACTGTGTGCGGCATGTTAATTAGCAGAAGCTTGTGATGATCTGCTGGAGACCGTAAACCACACTGGAGACACTGCAGAGACTGACAGAGAGTGATGTCCTTGCTGATTTCCATGTTAATGCCAGCAAGTAATTACTGTGCGACTCACTTTGCGAGTCTTCGCTTTCAAAAAGCCTCTCATTGGACTCATTCTCTCTATAATCCAGTTTGATTTGTGCGGTGAGCCAGAACGCTTCACTTCGACTCCGGTGACGTTTTCTCAATAGTCGGCGGTGCTTGTAGCTCAAACAGCCATCCAGTGGAAGATGGCGGTTTGCCGTCTTGTGCTGGTGAGGGTGTGGCCTGCCAGGGGCAGCTACAGCTGTCTGAACGGTTTTTCCTTCATCCCTGAGCCGATGCAGCCCACTGCTACCTACTGGCTGCTGTCCGAACAAACCTACTCCAGAACTACCTCAGCAATTTGTTTGGGTTTGTTAACAGGGTTTCTCTCCTCCATCGTTGTTGAGCCGTTATATTTTACACCTGGAAGGGCTTTGTTTGGTTTTGCGCGTGACGTTTCTTCCCTGATTGTGTCTATTCTGGCTCTGGAGCCAACAGGTACTATGTCAAGTTCCTAAAGGGTATCATAAACCTGGTTAGACCAACAGGTGCTCGGGAGGAGTGAGAATCCCATGGCAACTTGCAACAAACTGAATACGCCTGGCTCTACAAGCTAATGTTTTGTTTGTTATCCTCAGATTTTACCAATAATTCTACACACAAACAATTTATCTTTTTTAACTGGCCCTGATCTGTTGACTCTTATCAAGGAAGCTGTGACATCGGAGCCATTGTTTCTGAATAAAAGTAGCATGACACTTTAAGGCCACGTTCATTTAGTAACCGTGCTTACCAAGGTCACACCACACCAACATGCAGTTCCATTTTGAATAAGTTTTTCTTTAGCACAACCTAGTTAAACATTAAAGTAATCGATTAATTATTGAAGAATAAGCATTTTTTAAAGGAAATTCACCACTTTTGCCCCTGGATTCCGCTTCTCATGTATGAACTACATCCTAACTGAATTTGCATTGTACAGTCTCCACTGACACTAATGAGGATCTTAACGAGCTACTTCTGTGTTAGGATGTTCATAATTTAAAAAATCCAATAAAGGGCAGCTCAAAGAAGAATAAAAAAAACAGGGACAGAGAAACGTGTCTCTGTGTTAGGTAAAAAGCTATTTAATCTTGTGAAACAGAGTCAATTACTTCTTAATATTAAGGTTAAAAATAACTAACATTCAACTTTTAACTGATAATCCAGTTTTTGCATTAAGAGAAATGTGTATGTCTGTATTCAGTTCAGTTGCCAAAACTTATACAACACTTGAAATATGTCAAAATAAATCATTGCTAAAACGCCTGACTGTTTTAAAACAGCAACACACTTTTTGGAAATATAAAAGTTACTCAATCACCTTCAATCCCTAAATTCTTTCTCAGCATCATTTGTTTTTTTCCACCATCTTTAATCCTCCCGTCTCATCCATCTTCCCACCCTTCCTCCCTAAGGTGTGCTCCCCAGGGGACGGTGCTGTCACACTCTGTTGTCTGGTGCAAAGTCACCCTGAAGCTGAAACGCCCTCACTTAAACATTCAAATCCATTTGCATAGCTGGATCAGATAAGAAGGTGTTCAGTGGCCACAGGTCACGGGCTGGAGAAGGAGAGGCAGCGGCTGCCTAAATGTTGAGTCCGGCTGCCAATGGGAGCTGAATCATGCATCAGTGCCATAATACACCCCAGGCTCCTCTCAGCCCTTCTTCATCATACTCTGTCAGACCCCTGACCATTTGTCAGAGTCGGGGTGGAGCCGTTTCATGGTTGGAACTGTGGGCTTGTGAACTATTTAGGACAAGTTTTAAGTTGGTAGCAGGCAGTTGGTTGGGATTGCTCCTACTTTAAGAATGGAAATGTTCCTCTAGTGATCAAACTATGCGAGGGTGTTACCACATGCTGAAAAGGAAATGCTTTGGGTTGTGGGAACACAGTGTGGATGCATGACTGCAGCGTGCACACACTGAGCAGCTGGGGTGTGTTTGCTGAACCTTTTGTACAGTCACAACTCCACATAATGGGATACTCAACTCTTTCCCAGATCCTGAGGAGCACTGGTCAAAACCCCACTGGCACAAAGCTCCTTTTAGGGGTTTGCTTCACGCCTTTACGCACATGGTAAATGAGCATAGTTTCTCCTGACAGACTGAAGTGTGTAATGCTCTGTAAAGTGCATGTTGTGCAATGTAAACAACGCCTCATCACGACAAGTGCTGGAGGCAGTCCAGACAGCCGAGCTACCAGCATGCTGCCAAATCAGTCAAAGAGCTTTTATGAGTCAAGCAGAACAGATTGGGACAGAAGTTTAGAAACTGCTGTTGTTTTAATTGAACCTGCGGGGTCAATAACATCAGCCGACACAACCACCAGGTCTGTGGAAACATGCCAGTGACTGACAATAAGAAGCATCACCAGCCTGTGATAACGCGTGGGGAGAATTTCTACCTCATGACTCCAAAACACATGCGATGTATCTTATTTTACAGAAAATAATCAGTCATTTACCGTACTCCCATTTGGAAGGGGCACTGACAAGAGGTTCATTAGAAAAAAAATATTCAGGGAAGCAAACCAAGTCAGAAAATCATTCTGAACTTCACAGTTAAAGGATTTAATCAAAAAGGAACCTCCTTTAAAATGAACTCTGAGGAGGCTCTTATGGAAAGTGGCAGCTGTGGCTGAGGAGACAGAGGGTTCGACCACTGATCAGAAGATTAGCAGTGGGGTGCCGGGCTTCCCGACTTCTCATTTTCAAGTGTTCTGCTGAGAAAATGAGCCCCACTTCGTCGGTGCTCATCAGTGTTTGTAGGGGCCACTTTATGTAGGTAAAAAAAAGCCGTGAAAGGCTGTATCAAAGCTGCTCTGACCACAGATGGAGCTGCCCATGTCACACACATTTCAGTTGAAGACTAAAAGGGGTGTGTGTTCGGAAAAAGAGTCAGCGTGATGCGTCAATGGACAAAAAAGGATCAACTCTAAAGTCTTCTATATAATTTCTGTTGTTTTATTTTCCGTCTGTTAGTTCTGAATTGACTTTGACATCATTAGGATTTCAATAGCACAAAAAGACAGGAGGGGTGGAGCCACTGGGAACCAACGGGGAAAAGGCAGTCAAACAATGGGTCTGATGAGGGAGGTGGCGTTTCCTACCTGGGGGCAGAGTCTCCACGCTCTGGGCCTTGTCATCAGTGTTGTGAGCTCTGACCCGACTGGAGTCACTGGAGCCCCACTCATCCTGAAAGCAACAAGAAACGCACATGAGTGTCAGGCTCAAATCTCAACCTGAAACGCAGCAAAACCATCAAAGAATCGCCTTCTCTGACCGAGCAACGAAAAAGTAACTGAAGAACTGCAGGAATTAGTTCGGCATGACTTATTTCTGTCTTATTTAGGAGTCCTCAAAAACCAGCATTTTAAATGTATATACTGTCTCATTACGTAAGATACCTGCAAGGTCTCTGAATCATTTGAACCCATTCAAGTCACATTTTGCTTATGTGAAGTAAGATATAAGCCTTTTTACTCTTGTTCCTGAGGGCTGAAGTTTTAACACTGACTGTATGTGATGATTTATCAATAATGTTCTGCTTCACCATCAACTCAACTCATGAAGGGCAGTGATTCAGCAGTCTGGGAGGAAGTTCAAATCGCCCACTAACCAACCCTTTACACATAATTCCATTTCATTTTCCCCTGCTCTTTCATCCCTTGAATTCTGCTGAGGAAAACAGTTATGCTCGTGGCTCCAGCGCTCACAGAAATGAACGGATAAACGAGCCGTTCATCCTTTTGTCAGTGAGGTGCCGCTAAAGCCCGGGATCGATACCCAGGCAGGCCGAACCATTAGCCTCATTCAGCTGCCGTTCAGCTTGCTGACCTTGGCTCCATAAAAAGCTATTGTTCAACACACTTTCTTAATTCAACGGTTCAGCTTCACCTTCAGCCTCCTTGCATAGTACTCATCTGCAAGATATTCACCTATTTCTTCCCTCCTCTTTGAAAATCCACTAGCAGAATGCTTACAGTCTTGTCCGTCATAATCCCTGCATAGTAGATTTCCTAAGCCACACCATTTTTCAGTGACTGGTAGCAGATTTAACTGTCCATAACAATATATGTATATAAGATGGCTGTGAGTGTTGAGAAGGGAGGACTGTGTGTTCAGTGGGATGGTAATGCTCCCCATAGGATGCAAACTAAAGCCGACAGCGTTCTCACCTGCTGAAATAGGCTTTGACAGCTTCAGGATAGGCTGTCTGCTGGAATAAAGCTACACATTAGTCCTGAACATGTGTTTGGCAGAAAAGGTTTGGGCGCTAATATATCAAGGCCCAGCCTTCAAACCACCACATTTTCTGACTTCTGAGCCAATCTGCACGCATTTTAAATAACTGTGAAGGGTTTTCTAATTCACTTCAGAGCCGTGGGGATCTCTGAATTTCCTCAGGTTTTGATTGTTCATTACAGCAGTTCGGTCCTCCAGCAGAGGGGAAATAAAAAAGTAGTTTGCCCGTTTAAACACATGGATGCCTCACAGTCCAACTACAGAAACTGCCTCCAAGTGAGAAAAACCCTCCCCAGAGCATCTCTGCCCGCGCGTTAGCCAACGCTCACAGCTGAGCTCAGCAAGTGCAGGGAGCCGCCGCACCTTCCCCCTCAGCAGCTTCTCCAGACTGTCATGACTCACAAAATCCACTTCCAGCGACTGACTTCAGCGTTGTGGCAAAGTTGTCTTTACTTATTCATAGTCATCTCCGACTTAGTGGAGCAAAAGCGGCACGTCTCTGTGGCACCTTTTGGTGAGCCGCGACAGCAGGAGCAGCTGGCCCGCGTACAATAGCTGTGCTCATAAGTTACCTTGCCGAGTGAACTTTCTCATCTTGAAGGAAAGGCCGCTCAGAAACAACACTAACTCTGTTCTGTCCTGGCGCCGACGTCATGGCAGTGGTGACAATAAGTCAGCCGCGCAACCAGCCGCACTCTGGAATCCTGCCTGGGTCACTTTACGACTCATTTCTCCCGCCGTGTCCCACAGCTTTCTAAATCTAACGGAAGAACAAGTAAAGGGCTAAGTAACCGAACATGTACGGAGAAAAAGAATGAAGGAAACAAGGAAATTGCTCACAAACCGGTGAAAATCAACCCAAACCCTCCAAAGAGTGCTGAAAGTCTGTCAAGATAAGATTATCCACAGCTTCCTGTCAAAAACAAACCATTCCCCATTCCCAAATTGCTTCAGGTTTCAATCCCTTTGACTCCCTGTTTTTACTCGGTGCTCCCACAAAGAGCTTGAGCGCTCACGTTCCCCAGATATGCACAGAGATGCAAAATCTAACTTTTTTACGACAAAATAAAAGGACGATGAGACAGAACATTCATCCAGGTAGAGCAAAGGAACAAAGGCTAACAAAATGCCCTCCAGGTGCTTCTCTTTGATTTATGGGAGCCGCAGTCTATCACAGATAACAGCAAGGCAGAAAACAACAGACAATGATGAGGACAAGGCAGCGCTTCAAGGAGCAGTTTGTGTGATTTAGAAACAAACGGCTGCTATGAATATGGTTTATTGCTGATTGAATCATCGTTTAAAAGGATTATAGGGCAGCAGACGTTAGACAGCTATTTTTACAACACATCACATGGAGGAATCCTGGTGAAAATGGCCTCAGTGCCCTGCTCTGCCTCTGTGAAAGGACGCTCAGCCCTGAAGACACACCTCAGCTCCATCCAGAGATACTCTAAAGAGGAGGAACACATTGTGGACATTCCTTATCACTATGTGCTCTGTTGTTCTCTTTATTTTTTTTATTGCTTGTGCTCAGAAGAGTGGCTGACTGAATTAAGCAGCAGCTCAAAAATTCCAACATAAAAACAGTCTTGTCCCTTTGTGTCGGGGGGGGCCTGGGACTGAAAATATGCAACAGACTCGTCTCTGGCTCAGGCCGTTTCCTCGTCCGCAGAGCGACGTGGTTCGGAATATGTTGTTCCTCAGAGGTGGAAAGTTGGAGCTCACAACCTGTTTGTGTTCGGCGTGTGGTTATTTGTTAGCTATTAACAGCATTAGCTCATCAGTAGCTGGACCGATACTTAGTGACTTAATGCTGTTCCAGCTCTCCGTCCGTCAAAAGTAGCTGGTAAAAAAAGTTCATGGTTACTTAGAAAGGTTTCTCTCTGGGGAACGACTTTAAAAGCAGAGGTCTTGATCATGAACTCTGGCTAATCTCATTTGTTATTGAAAGCAGCATCACGAGGTTAGAGCTGTGAAATGAGCCTCTCACACAAACCGCTCTGTTGTTCAGCTCTGCAGAACGGCGCCGATCGAAACATCGGCTTCTCGCCCCGCAGGACACCAGAGCCCGATGAATACACTTTTATTCTGAGAAGAGTTTACAGGGTGGTTGGCAAGCCCACTCTATAAAGGATTACTCGAATAACATGCATGCATATAAAGGAGCTGAGGAGTGTGAGAGCCAGTCTTGCCGTCAAAAGATAGCACCAGGGGTGTTTGTTTTATTTTTATCTATACATCCATCTTTCTATCTTTCTGTGCTTCTCGGTATAGATCATGATCTGTTTGGTCTTTCTGCCCTGTGCTGTCACCCGGGCAGCAGTTTGCTTGCTCCGTCATCTGACAGATGGTTATGGCACACATTTTTCATCAAACACTCGTATGTACGAGGGCAGAAGAGATTTTTGGCAGTTTAGTTTTTTTTTCGTTTTTAGTCACAGTCCCAAAGACTTTCAGCCCATTTGTCAGATTTGAGTGGAAAAACTACACATGTATTTTATTAATGTATTCGCGATCTTTTCTCAGCCATATTCCTTTGGTCCAAAGTCTGTTCACTGGCTGCATGTGGACCGAACAGCATTCTTAAAAACACTGCAGATGGTTTAGAAAGCTTTAAATGGTGTCAAGAAATCTCAGGGTATCAGGACCAGGTTTGAGTGAATATTCAACATGACACAAAGAAGCTCCTCTCACTTTTTACGCACCTCTATCACCTTTCGACCTTTATTTTCCCCCGGGGAGTGTCAATTTTCCAGTTAAATCCTTCTACATAAGTGAATTTACCATGCCTTCCTTTAAGGTTGCACTAACAGAGTCCCGTTTCATGCAGTTTAGGACACTGTATCATTTACTCAGACCGAAGCGTACAGCGAAAACTTGATTCAATATGGCGGCACCATCTGCTCAGCTATGAGTAAACCCTGCCACATGTGCTGTGCACAAGAGGAAAGGTTCACGCTGACAGCATTTTTCATTCTCTGTTAGGCTTTCCAAAACACTTCATTTTAGCAGAAGTGCTAATATGTACAAATATGAGTATTTACAAGTACCTGCCATTTAAAGTGAAATTTGCTTCTGGTGCTGCGGTTGGTTTGTTCCTCTGTTGTGATCCACCTAACAGCAGAGCAGTATGTAATCATCTCTGTTGCTTCGGTTACAGTTTAAATAAGCATCGTACTGAATGTAAAGCATTGAGGAATTCATGTGGGTTAAGAACACAATCTTTGTGAGGCTGTGTGTAGATGCAGACACTCCCACAGAAAATGAATTGACGGGAAATCGAGTGTGTCACGTTTATTTCTTTGCAAACTGAGTGATCAGCACAGGGCACAACTGACTGCTCTCCTCCGATAATGGGATGGACTTTAAGCTCCCACAGACCAGAACAGGCATGCGAGTGTGTTTTCACAAGTGTCAGCCTATATTTGTGTTTGTGGGGCTTTGTAATATCACATGCTCACTGAAGGCATGTGTGTGTCTGTTATACAGTCTTATCCAAGCCTCTAATAGTGAGTATAATCCAGTAATCTGATCACATCCACTGATAGATTACTACAGATGGAGGTCAACAGTTAATTAACACACACAGAAACACAACACTCTGAGGTGTGTGTGGCACAAACAACTGCTGTGCCCAAACACACATCCACACACCACATCACTAAGTCTTAGCACCTGTTTATGACGCCTCAGAGTCCGAGGTGTTGTAAACATGGTACAGCACCAATCAGACGAGCAATAAAGAGAAGTTGTGACTTGGGTTGGATTTTCACCATAGAAATCCACTTTAAACCGTGTTTCTGATAACACAACTTGTGCCCATGATGGGATTTCCTCTGTAATTCGCTTAAAGATCAAAGCACGGGGCAGGAAATCAGCCGTCGGCATCAGCAGGGGTGACTATGCGCATTTCAACGTCTCTACTCATATTTCTGTTTGAAGAATGTTTTCACTTGAAACACGAGCTTTGC